CCAGCTGGAGTGGGTTTGGCTCGTGACTTTTTGCTCTTGGAATTCCATAGAGATTGCTCATGAAATTGGAGAAGCCTGGAGCATATGACTGCTTCGACCCCACTCAAAAAGAATATTTTGAGAAGTCTAATTACATCGAAGGGTTTGCATGTGATGAAGGAAGAGGGTTTAGATGAACCATGTCTAAGGGCAGGTTAGCAAGGGCCGCTGGGGAGTACTGGGCAGTGCTGCAGGGTGGGGGCACCCCCTGCAGGTGGACCAGAGTGTCTACAGCCACCGTGTTCCCTTCATCCCGCAGAAGATACTGGCCTACTCGTTGTGTGACCTGGATGAAGGATTGACCCTTCCTGAGGCTTTGAGGTTGACCCTCTCTGAAGAAACATAACGCACACCTTGTGGGTTTGCCATAACGACTAGAGAGGGCACCCAAAGCGTTTGCACAGGACCTGGCATACAGTAAGTCCTCCAAATGTGACTGTCAGCAGCCCCATCATTACCATTATCAGCCTCATGAGCAACAGTAAAGATGCCACACAGTGTCCTAGCAGAAGGGAGAGGGCTTCTCTGAGAACCAGGCCAGGCAGGGCTAGGGTGGGGATGGGAAGAGATGGGGGCAAGAGGCCTAGTAACGTTTGATTTGCTACCTATGTTTACTCTGATTCTAGAACTTTCATCCCCTCTTCTCTCTAGAGAAGTGCCTAATTATGCACACGTACCCACCCACAGTGCCTGATAACACCGCACTCTAGAGGAAAATAGCCCAGCCAGAGAGCTGGATGTTCTTGAAGGAGACTAGATGTTTGCCAGCCTTACAGCAGTGATAGGCCTGCTTGCTTGATGTGCAAGCTGCGGGATCCTTCTGCAGCTATGGGAGAGAAGAAAGCTGTGGCCTTCCATAATTCAGGCCTCAGCCTCTCTGTGGGGTCTCTGCTCTCCCTCTCCCTGTGGGTCTGAGGGCTGGGCCTGGTGGAGGACGGAGCAATGATGGTTGTTGATCACCCCATCCCCTTCTTCATTTGGGTCCCTGACAAAGCACCCAACCCCCTTGATGAACCCAGAACTTCCCTGATACTAATTACAGAGAAGCCAACAGGGGTTAGTAAGACCTTAAGATACAAGGGAACTGGTTGTGGTGCACATCTGTAATCCCAGCACTCAGGAGGCTGGGGCAGGAGGATTGAGTTCGAGGCCAGCCAGGACTCCATAGTGAATTCTAGGCCAGTCTGGTTTACATTGTAAGAACCTGTCTCAAAAAAAAAAAAAATGGCTTACACCTGTAATCCCAGCTACTTAGAAGGCAGAGATTGAGAGGATGGAGGTTTAAAGCCAGCTTTGGCAAAAAGTTATGGAGACCCCTCCCCATCTCAACAAACAAGCAGGGAATGGTGGTGCACACCTGCCATCCCAGCTACGAGGGAGGCATAAGTAGGAAGATCTTGGTCCAGATGGACTGGGTAAAAAGCTCAAGACCCAACATGAAAAATAACTAAAGCAAAAAGGACTGGGAATGTGGCTCAAGTGTAGAGTGCCTACCTAGTAAGTCTGAGGCCCTGAGTTCAAACCCTAGTACCACCAAAAAAAAAGCTCCAAGGGAGATGAAAAGTAGTCAAAAGAAGAGCAGCCCCAGGTCGGCACCAGGATGGAAGGAATCTTGCTGACACAGTTCTCCCGCTTTTCTCAAGAATGCTGAAACTTATGCCATTTTATGATCATGAATTTTTTGCATTTTAAAAAAATATTGCATTAAATCATATTGATCTCGATTGCAAGTTTTTGGGCTTCTTAAATTCTGTGTCCAAGGTGAGGGCTTCTCTAGATTCACTCCAGTCAAGACCCTGAGAAGTGGAGCTGCCTGAGCTCTCCCCTGGGCTCCCCTCTCCCACAGCCACCAGGAGGTCTCCATCTCTCCTTTCACCTTCTGCAAGGAACACATTCAGCTCATCCTCCGTTTTTTATTTATTCCTTCATTCAACCAACCAGCATTTACTGTGCACCTACTGTGTGTTAGGTTCCAAGCCAGGCACTTTGGAAACAAAGAGAATAATGAATATTCGTTCATTATTTACTGGCTACCAGCTGTGTGCCAGTCATTGAGCCATGGCACATGATATCAAACAAGGCAGATATAGTTTCTGACCTTGGCATGGAAGGTTCTGACAACGAACACATTCATACAAAATTCAATTACACCTGTAATTCCAGTACTTAGGAGGCTGAGGCAGGAGGATTGCAAGTTAAAGCCAGCCTTGCAATAGCAAGACCCTGTCTCAAAAAAAAAAGAAAGAAAGAAATCAAACAGAGCTGCAAATAGCAATAAATACTGTGAAGAAAATAAAATAGAGTGAATGTCCCCAACCTGGGCAGGTAGGCTTGTAAATGAGTAATTGTTGAACCAGGTGAAAACTGCACTGATGGCCTGTGTTAAGGATATTTTGCTGGGAGTGGTCACAAAGTGACTTTTGAAGAGAGGAGAAAGTTGAAGTTGGCAAATTGGCCATGCGAATATAGAAGAAAGAGCCTGTGATCCCAGCCCTTGGGAGGTGGAGGCAGGAGGTTATCAAATTCAAGGCCAGCCTGATGCAAAAAACAAAAAAAGAAAGAAAGAAAGGTGGGGGATGGAGCCTACTCCAGATCTAAGACATGGTGTTGTACAAAGGCTCTGGAATAAGGAATGAGGAAGGGAGCTGAGCAGGCCTCATCACAGGGACAGATGAGAATAGAGGGGCCCGCAGGGCCCTGAAGACCTTGGGGGCCGTAGTGGCAGTTAGTGGCTGCTGGTATGTGGAGGGAGAAGAAAAGGGTGACACCAGTTCCCAGCAGGGAGGTGGTGCTGATAAGGGCAGAAATGGCAACACCTCCTGCAGTATGTACAGTTTGGGACAGCTTGAGTTTTAAGAGGGATGAGGACACCCAGATGGAGATACCCAGGGGACAGCTGGGTAAAGGGAGAGGATCAGCCAGAGAAATGGAAGAGGCCAACAGCCCTGGGTCAAAGACATGTGAACTGTAGATAAAAAGGCCCTGGAGTCCCACCACAGGGGTCAATTACAGTGAAGTGGGTTTGTCTCAGAGGCAAATAAACCTCCCATGAAAAAGATCACCTGATATTTTCATCTAAATCCAATTCTTGTTAGTCCTCTGGCTTGGAGGAAATCAGCCAGATTTCTCTAAATTACAAGATACTGGATTACAGTTGATTGTACAAATATCTTTTTTTTTTTTAGACAGGGTCTCAAAATAGGGACAGTCATTCCAACCTCAAAGGGCTGTCAGGAGGGCTAGAGAGACGCCTTCGTAAGCACATTATAAATGGTGGGGTTCAGGAGAAACATGGAGCATCCAGTGGAATGTCTGATGAAAAGCAGTATGTCACTCTCTAGACAGATGGAAACAAACCAACCAAAAACCCTAGGGTCTTATCACAATGACACCTTGGGAAGATAAGTCAGGAGTAGGACATGAAAACCCCTAAGTCCCTTGGCAGAGGTACCTTTCTGGAATCTCAAAGTTCAGGCCCGAGGCACAGCCACCCAGGAATTTATTATCCTGCCCCCATAACTTTGAGCTCCTCAAATCCCCATGAAGCCCAGGAATGATGTGGCTGTGGGGCTCCCCCTCCATAAATCAAGTTCTCCTTCTCCTGGCCTCAGACTGCAAACAAAAGGGTAGTCACGTATCCAAAGGTGGCATCTGCCTTTGACATGAAAGAACCTGAAAATACCAAGAGGACCAGTGCTCTAGAAATCTATCCTGTGCACACCCTTCCTTCATCTTAGGAGAAGTTAAAGGGAGAGTGATATCTTTCCATGACTTCAGCCAACCTGGGTGGCCCAAGAGGTCCCTGGGGACAGACTGGAGGAGCCTATTCCAGTGCTGGGTCAGCCCTATTGAAAAGTCAAGGTGACCTCTACCTTGGCACCAGTTGCCCCCAAGGCAGCCATGTGAACCATAGTATCTTAAATCAGCTGGCCCTACCCCATAGTGATTAAGGCAAGGAAACTATAGTTCAGACATAGAGAAGGACTAGTCCAAGGGCACATGACCTTGAGGGGAAGATTCAAGGTGAGCTCCAAGGATCCACTACACACACTGGCAGTGTAGCCATCCTGAGGAGGACTCCAGAAACTTATCCAACCAATTCTTCTGGCCAACCTAATTTCTCCAGAAGCATTTAAATGAGCTGTGTGGAGACCAGCCTATCAAAGGCACCCTTCCTTTGTCAAAGCGAGTGGGCAGAGAGGGCAAACCATCACTCCTGGGAACGTGGAACCTGCAAAGTCACTGCCCTACGTGAACACCTGGGGAGCCTCAAGAGAGCACAAAGTGACTTGGAAAACCAAAGCCACCACACACACAAGGTAATCAAGTCCCCCAAGTGAGGACCCACTTGGGACTGAGAGGACCCACGGAGGACGATGGGAAAAAGCAGTTCAGACGACTAAAATGGAACCGTAAAAAACCAAACCAAAGCTTTCTCGCAAGGCTGTTGTGGGGATTGAGACGATACGTCACAACACTTGACGCATAGTGGAGCTCAGAGGTTAATGAAGTCACCAAGGGCAGGGTGCCCTTCGCTGGGGTCACCCCTATCTAGAGCAGAGCTGCTGTACCGCAACTGTCCATCACCTGCCCATCTCCACCATTAGAGAAGGAATGACAACTTAAGTCATCTTTGTGTTCACGTCAGTTCATTCACCACCTGTCCCAATTTGCCCCAGGACTGAGGGGCAAATTTGCCCTCAGTTTTTATTTTAAAACCTGAACAGAGAGGAAAGACTAGCAAGTTTTCAGCAAGAAAGCGGTTAAAATCAGGGCTGGTATGGAAATGGGAAGACTCCGCCCCTTCTTGGCCTTAGCCCCACCCCCTTATAGCCCCACCTCCTTATGGAAGGAGAAGGACTCCTCCTCCTTCAGCCCGGAAGGTCACCTTGGGAACGCGCGAGGGCAAATGGGCATGCGCCTGCTGGCCGCTAATGCGCATGCTCGCTTTGGTTTGCTCGCGGTAACCGCCTTCCGCTCTGTGGCTCCCAGCAGATAGCGGGCCCTCGGGCGCAGGGGAAGCCGGCTTCGTGCCGCGGTGTTCGATGGGACGCCGGCGGAGAATGACCTCAGGGTTAAGGGGCGGGGCTGACGTCACGAGCGAAGATGGCGGCGGTGGTCGGCGTCTCCTTGAGGCGCTGGTTTCCAGCTACGACCCTTGGCGGAGCGTGCCTCCAGGTGAGCCCAGGATCCGGGGACAGCAACGGGGTGGCTCTCAGGTTACCGAGGAGTAACCTATAGTTGAGAGGACCCCGGAGAGGCGGAGGAAGCCGAGAACCAGGCCTCGGGGCGGGGTGGGACCTCCCACGGCGCAGTTTTGACTTTGGCTTAGAGCATCCCTGTCCGTTATCCTGAGCCTTGACACAGTTTGTGAGCCAGGGCGGAGCCGATTTTTTAAAGATAAAAAGAGAGAGAGAGATTCAGAGAAGGAACTTGACTTGTTCAAGGTCACATGGCAAGCGATGACAGTTGGCACCCGAATTCAACTCCAGATCCTTTTTCTGCCTTGCAGAAAAGGGAGACCTGTGACTTCGTCAGGGATGGGAGCTGTGGAGTGGGATTGGTAAAGCAAAGGATGTGCAGTGTGGAAGGAAGTCACCAGGCCCCAGGATGGAGGGAAGCACCCAGCCCCCTGCAGGATCAGGACCGCTCCGTGGGCGCCTGCAGGAAAGACTTAAAGCAGCGAACCTATTCTCCTTTAGGGCGTATTAATGCTGACCTCCGAGTTGGCATGGGATGACACAGGTACCCAGCTTGGCGCTGTTTTTATTACCCTACTAAATGTAAGTTATAGGTTTTCCCCAAACGCCTTGGGTCCTCAGGGCACTACATACTTATGAACTGCAGTCTAAATGGTACCACTGAAAAGAAGGCACCATTGCTGCTTAAGAGACCTAGGATACAAATCCTCCTCTGGACTTCTCAACAACCACTTTAAGGTGGGCAACAGGAACTCTGCCTCCTTTTTAGAGAGTTGAAAACAGACCCCAAAAAACCTTTCTGGGAGCTAGGCGAGTGGCTCAAGTGGTAGAGCACCTGCATAGCAAGTGTGAAGCCCTGAGTTCAAACCCCAGTACTGCCAAAAAGAAAGAAAAGCATTTGCTTGCTCAAAATATCATAAGCCAAGAACTCCTAGATCTGGAACCATTTTTAACAAAATACCTGAAAAACACCTTAGCACAGATCTTGGCACAAAAAGTAGTTCCTCACATGAGGAGTTCTGTCATCTAAAGTACCTGCTGTGGCTGTGTAACTCAGTATATTGTCTGAGCTCTAATCATAGCTCTCTCTAATGTGCTGTACATGAACCTGGACAAGTCATTCACTCTGCATTTCTTTCTGAAAAGGAGAATTAGAAAGAGAGGATGCCAAGATTGGGAGTGTGGCTCAAGTGGTAGAGCACCTGCACAATGCCCAGAGTTCAAACCCTAATACTGACAGAAAGAGAGAGAAAGAAGAATGCGTACCAGAGCCTCAGGCTGATGTCTTCTGAGCCTTCAATTAATGATTGGTAATGACCTTGTTTACTAGTTCCTTTCAGAGTTGCTGAGGAAGCAATTAAGTTGTTAGAGCCTTACCAATGTGAGTGAGTTCTAAGGTTCAGGCCCCTCTTCCAGGAATGAATTGTAGAAAAGGCTAGTTTCCTGGGTTGGTATTGTGATTTCAGGCCTTTATCAGGCCTTCTGAGAGAAAAGAAAGAAAAGAGCCCTACACCCTATGGGAATGTGTACCTGTACCCACAAAAGCCACCTCAAAAGAATCCAGCAATGAGCTTGATGTGTTCCTGTGGGTAATAAGTTCACAATCTCGTGGCTGTCGTCTACACCACTCTGCCACAGTTCTGCAGGTATTTAACTGTAATGTATCAGCTGTTTATGATGCTTTATTTCTTCATATACTTGGTATTTATGTATTTACTTACTTATTTTGGCAGTACTGGGGTTTGAACTCAGGGCGTTGTACTTACAAGTGGTTGCTATACCACTTGAGACATGCCCACAGTGCTTGTTTCTTCATCTGGACTATGAACCCTCGTGGGCAAACACCACCTGCTTACAGTTGTGCATTTCATTACTCCTAGCACTGGCAGGGCTTAGGACATACATCTGCCAGTCAGAATAATACAGAGTCTGAAAATGTTGCCAGTATTGGGAAGCAGAGATTATTTTGGGGCTATGCTACTACCCTCCCCTTTACAGAGGAGGTAGAATCAGAGAGGTTAAGTAATTCGCTAAAGAACACACAGCTAGAAGTGGCAGAGCTTGGAATGAACCAACACCACTGTCACACTCCAGAAAAAAGCCTGCACCTTCTGTTTTAGGAAAGCTTATGTTCATACAGGCCTCCTGGCCTCTTCTCCATTTCCCCACCTTCCTCCTCTGCCTGCACATCCCTACTGCTTTATGGGGATCCAAGTCGGCTCTCTAAGGAAGCTTTCCTGTGGAAGTAATGACCAGCCTTCTTCATGATCCAGAATTCACCCTTCCCCCCTCTCCTCAGTCCACTTTAGTCCAGTTGTTGATTATCTTTTTATTTTTTTTTTTTTTAGCAGTACTGTGGTTTGCATTAAGGACCTCACGCTCGCTAGTCAGCACTCTTACTGCTTGAGCTACACTGCCAGCCCAACTATGAACTTAATCTCATCTGAGATTTCCTAAAATGCATTCTGCCTTGAATACTTACTAATCTTCTTCCATTGTGGATTTTTGGTATAAATTCCAGGGCAGGTAATGAAGGAGGAATCCTCACACCCTGTCCACCTTCTTGCCTCTCCCCCATATTCTTCTTTTTTTCCTGTTACTGTGGGAGAACTAGCAAGGCTCCTCTGGCCAACCCTTCATGTCCCTGTCTCTCACTTCCTCAGAGGTAGCGCTTCACTAGCTCCCTTTCTCCCCTGAACAATTGGTTTGTCCACCTCTATGGAATCTTTATCCTCAGCACACAAGCATGCTATAGTTTTTCTGAAACATGTCCAGCTACCAGCCCATTTCTCAGTTCAGTTTTATAGGAGAACTCAAAACAGTTGTTTAAATTTACAAATTTCATCTCATCATCATCATCATTTCTCTAAAATTGCTTATGTCCAGATCACCAGTGACCTTTGCCATGTTGAATCCAGCAGTCAATCAGGAATGGTGGTGTAGGCCTATAATCCAGCACTCAGAAGCTTGAGAGGAGGATGATGAGTTTAAGGCCAGCCTGGACTACATAGCGAAACTCTGTTTCAAAAAATGAACAAAAGAGCCCAGTGATCAGCTCTCACTTCTTGTGACACTTCTCTCTGCAGTATTTGTCACTCTCATTCACTCCTTCCTTGAAACACTTTCTCAACCAGAACATCCCAGTCACTGGGTGTGTTAGTCATCTTTTTGTTGCTATGACAAAATACCCAAAATGGACAACTTAAGGGAGGAAAGATTTTTGGGGCCTACACCTTGAGCCACTCAACCATCCCTGCTTTGTGAAGGGTTTTTTCGAGATAGGGTCTCCCAAACTATTTGCCCAGGATGGCTTTGAACCTCGATCATCCTGATCTCTGCCTCCTGAGTAGCTAGGATTACAGGTGTGAGCCTCCAGCACCCAACTAAGAAAGATTGGTTTTGGAGCATGGTTTCAGAGATTTTAGTCTGTGGTTGGCTGGCTGTAGGCTTGTGGTGAGGTAGAATATTATGGTGGCGGAGAATATGGCACAATAAAGCTGCTCACTCATGGCTGTCAGGAAATGAGAAAAAGGGAGACAGACTGGGGACAAAATACACCTTTCAAAGCCACACTCCCTCCCACACACACCTGCTTCTCCAGTCAGGCCCTGATAGCCCATTCACTATGAACTTATCAGTGAATTAATCCATTGATGAAGTTAGTGCCCTCATGATCCATTCATCTCTCAGTGGTGCCACCAGCTGGAGACTAAGCCTTCAGTACATTTTTAGAGGACACTTTTTCTTTTAAATTTATCATTTTTACATGAGTGTACATTATTTGGGCCATTTCCCTCCACCCCCCCGCCAGGGGACACTTTATATCCAAACCTAACACCAGTTTTTCTTCCTTGTATTTTGAGCCATTCTTTCTAGCTCCTTTTGCCACTTTTGCCCCATCACCCCAACCTCAGCCCGGAGGCCTATTCTCTATAGAGTCTCCCTTGGGTTTTTTAGATACTGTCTGCCTATAAATACTAACTCTTAAAATTATGATGTGTCCAGTCCAAACCAGGCCCCAAACCCCAGGTGCACATGGCTTCTGGTTATGTTCTTACTTCTCCACATGGATGTCTGGTAACACATCTTAAACTGTGCTTGCCCCTCCCACTCTCACTCCTCCCCACCACACACACCTGTTATTCTCCTCCTATCTCAGCCCATGGCAACTTTGTCCTTCAGGTTGCTTAGACCAGAAACTTTAGAGTCATCCTTGACTCTACCTTACTCTCAGAACCAATCTGTGAGCAAGTACTGTCAGACCTATCTTTAAACCACTTCTCACTACCTTTACAGCTACCAACTTGGGTCAGGCCTTGCAATTCCTGTCTTCTATAGTTAGTTCTCAAAGAAGAAGTCAAAGTGATCCTTTCAAAATTTTCGTCTGATTATGTCACTTCTCTGCTGAAAACCTTCTAAGGTTCCTATCTTACTCAGGATGAAAGCTGACCCTCCTACAAGGACCCCATCAACTTCTAATATCTTCTATCCCTGTTATTCATTCTAGTCCGCCTACTGATCTTGTTGCTTCTCCAACACGTTCCCACCACAGGTTCTTTGTGCTCAGTGTCCCCATGCATGATTTGCTGATCCCCTTAGATGTGTCTTTGGCCCGCCTCCTCACCTTCCTTCAGGTCTTTGCTCAGCTGTCACCTTTTTTTGGGAAATCTTTCCTGGTCACCTCATTTAGAACTTGTAGTGTCATAGCCAGGACCTCCCAGGGCCCTTCATTTTCCTTGTCACCATCTGACATACTGTAGATTTTATTCTTGCATTCTTCCGCCAACCACTGTGTAAGCTCCATGAGTTGGGATGTGTGTCAGTTTTATACTTGATTCCCCAAGGCCTAGAAAAGTTCTGGAACATAATAGACACTATAATTATATATTGAACAATTAAATAGATGTATGAAAGTGTATCTGAGCTGGCCATTATAGAAAATCATGCTGATGGAGTGATTATAGTTGTTCTTTGCATCTGTAGGGGGTAAGGCATTCTCTTGTGCTGCTGTATTTTGTGTTTGCATTTTCACCCTTGACATAGTGGCTAAAAGGTTGGATTTTACTAGATCACCTGTACCAAAAGCCCATGGGTAAATGCTTTGCACAGGCTAGTTGTTTTGATGCCAGTGTCTTCTCTGGTTGGAGTGTAGGCATGTGCCACCATGCCCAACTATATCACATTCTTGAAATGATAAAGTGATAGCAGTGGTGAGCAGATTAGTGGGTGCTATGGGTTAAGGAGCAAGGGAGGAAGGGTGGGAAGAAGTGGACATGGCTGTAAAAGGGCAGCACTTGGGATCTGGTGGTGATGCAGGTGTCCTGCATGGTGACTGTCAGTGCCAGAATTCTGGTTGTGAGTCTGTGCTGCCATTTTGCAGGATGTTTCCATTGCAGAAGACTAGGCGAGATCAGTATTAAATAATACTGCATGCATTGCAAATGCATGTAAATCTATGAGTATTTCAGAGTGAAAGGAGTTTTTAAAAAATTAAAAAGCAGGAAACTACAGACATGCAGTAACTTATGTGACTGTCAAGGTATTGTGAGTGAAAGATGCTAGACACGCAGAGCTGCCGTGATCGAAAGCAGGCAGGCGCTGGGCGTGGGGAAGGGATTTATGGTGCCAAAGCACAGAATCTTTTTGGATGGGTATGTTCTGTGATTCTGATAGACTTACACTGCTTTGCCACAACTCATCACATTATCGACTTAAAATCACTAACTTTTGTAATGAATTGAGCCTTCTGAATCTAACCAAAAGAAAAAAGGTAGGCTAAGCAAGCAAAGTTGGTTAGACTAATACTTTGTTCTTTCCTCTTTTCACTTCCTCTTAAGTACCACAAGGTGGCATTAGCCAAATGTTTGTTTTACAAAATGTGGTTCCTAGAAAGGACTTTCCTTTTATTAATGGTTCTTACCCAGCTTGGTGATAGGTAAAACAGCTTTCGCCTTCAGTTTCATTTTCTTCATGTGTTTTCTTCTTCCCCTACTGATAGCTAAGGTTTACCTATTTTCAGGCAGTTTTTATCAACAAGTAACAATATCACTGTATTTTTTAATCAGTTAACTTTAGGAATTTTTACTTTCTTTGACAGCTTATAAAAAAAAGAATTAGCTGGCCTAAGATATGGGCTGCATTTTTCTTAGACAAGTTGAGGGTCAAGTGATGATCACCATTGGGAATGACAGATCTGCCCCCCCACACACAAACACATCCTTAGCAGGAGCTTGGCAAAACGTGTGGTTTCTGCCTTGTTTTGCCTGCTTAAATGGGAAAGGCCTTCAAAGACTGTGGCGTGGAAACAGCTTAGCTGCAGGTCAGCATTGTGAGTGAACGCCATATACAGAGGGATGTTTTGTGTTTCATACAGGTTGCACTCTTCAGCAACCTGTGCATTTAAATAAACCACATTTCTATGTCAGTCTAATACTCAGTTTTTTCTCTTTCTTCAACCTTTCCTAAACATGGGTTGATCTGCTATGTGCAAATGTAAACGATCCCCTCAAAGAACTTAGGACAGCCATGCACCAGTGGCTTCACACCTATAATCATAGATACTCAGGAGGCAGAGATCAGGAGGATCTCAGTTTGAAGCAAATAGTTCAAAATACCCTATCTCAAAAATACCTAACACAAAAAAAAGTCTGGTAGAGTGGCTCAAGGTGTAGGCCCTAAGTTCAGGCCCCAGTACTGCAAAAAAAAATAAATTAATTAAATTAAATGAATACGAGAACTTAGGACATAAAGAGAAGACGGCACCCAGAAAAGGCTGAAGATATTCCTAAGTCAGTTGGCCAGTGCAGCATATGGGAACATGGTTTCATGGATTCCAGAGTCAAGTGCTCACTCACCAGCTCTGTCATTGGGGCCATCACTTGTTCTTTGAGCTTCATTTGTTTTATCTTTAAAATGAAAATTTAGTGGAATAATTCAGCTAACTGATTTAATGCTACATTTGGCAATAACAAATAGAGACTTTAAAAATGAAAATGAAGCCAGATGTCACAGGTGGCTCACCCCTGTAATTCTATGCTTGGGAGGCTGAGATCAGGAAGATTGCAAATCAAGTCCTGCCTGGGCAAATAATTTGCAAAAACCCATCTCCAAAATAACCAAAGCAAAATGGACTGGAGGTGTGGCTCAAGCAGTAGATGGCCTGCTTTGTAAGCTCAAAGCCCTGAGTTCAAACTCTGGTAACACCAAAAAAAAAAAAGTGAAGATGAAGCAAAAGAATTTTAAAAAAAGAAAAAATAAATAAAAAGCATTAAAGCTGGGTGCTGGTGATTCACGCCTGTAATCCTAGCTACTCAGGAGGCAGAGATTAGGAGAATTGCGATTCCAGGCCAGCCCAGGCAAATAGTTATTTTAGCAAGACCCTGTGTCAAAAGAACCCTTCACAGAAAACGGCTGGTGGAGTGGCTCAAGGTGTATGCCCTGAGTTCAAGCCCTAATACCACAAAAAAATAAAATAAAATAAATAGGGCTGAGGGCATGGCTCAAATAGTAGAGCACTTGCCTATCAAGCACAAGGCCCTGAGTTCAAACCTCAATACTGCCAAAGAAATAAAATGAGGATGAGCTGGGCATGGTGGTCTGTAATCCCAGCACTCACTGGTTGAGACCAGCCTGGGCTACTTATTGAAACCCTGCTCCCCATAAAGAGGGATAACAAGGATGAATTTAAGTATAAAATTTTTCACTTTGGTTTGGTTTGATTTTGCAGTGCTGGGGATGGAACCCAGGACTTTGTGCATGCTAGGCAAGCATTCTACCACTGAGCTACTCCCCTACCCAACACAACCCTTTCTGCAAAAGTGCTCTTTTGGGGAAGCTGCTGTGACTGAAGGAGGGAGGGGACTGAGGCCCACCCACTCACTTCATCTGGCCCACTTACTAGCAGCCCCTGTGGTGGCTCCAGGATGCCTTGGCACATGGTATGAGATCCATCGACATAAACTGCAAGTTCTGGGAGAGGTCATAGAGTCATAGGGAGCAGAACTCAGCTGTTCCTTAGATCTCTAAACTTACTTGTGTTAGGACACAGTATTTATCTTGTTTTCTGCCCTAGCTTTTTGTTTTGTGTTTTTCTTTTCTAATTATTTTTATCTGCCCTAATTTTAAAATCCCATTGTCTTATTTTGATAACTACAGTAGTTTTTTAACTGGTTTCTCCGATCTAGTCTGACAATTCTCTCTTCATAACTAGTGATATCTTCTCCCTGTCAAAAAACTACTGATTATGTCATTACCCTGATTATAATGTTTTGCTTTCTGGGTGTGGTGTCTCATGTCTGTACTCCCAACTGCTTGGGAGGCAGAGTTGGGGAGGATCATAGTTTGAGTCCAGCTTGGACAAAAAGTTAGCAAGACTCCATTTTAAGCAACAAGTTGATTGTGGTGGTGTGCACCTGTCTTCCCAGCTACTTGGGAGGCATAAATAGGAGAGGATCAAGGTCCAGGTTGGCCTGAATAAAAAGGCAAGACCCTGTTTGAAAAATAACTAAAGCCAAAAGGCCTGGAGATGTGATTCAAGTAGTAGAGTGCTTACCTAGGAAGCATGAGGCTCTGAGTTTAAACCCCAAGACTACCAAAAACTTAAGTGGGGGAGTGGGAGGGTGGCTCAAGTAGCAGTGTGCTTACCTAACAAATGCATGGCCCTGGGTTCAAATCCCAGTACCACCCAAAAAAAATTTTTTGGGCTGGCTTCTCATTGCTCTTAGAAAAAAAAAATGAAAACTCAACTTCTAAGTCATTGTTCACTTCCTCACATCTGCTACTCCCCCATCCATCCTCAGCCACCTGCCTCCAACTGGAGTCTGCTTAGGGCCTCACAGATGCACAGTGCCCTTCCACACACACAGAAGCCGTCAAGTGTGCTATTCCCTCAGCCTCTAATCTGAATCTGTTCATCTAACTCAGCTTAAACCACACTCCGAAGCCTCTGACCCAACCCTGGCCTAAGTCAACTGGGTTCACCCAGAGCTCTCTGTACCTTCTCACAAGGACCACTCTTTACACTGGACTGTGAATACTCAGTTGCACTCTTATTATTCATGAAATAAGTTCTGTGAATGCGAAGGTCTATTTTAATAAGTGCTATGTCACTAGCCCCCAGTACCATGTCTGGTATATCACAGGTGCTTAATATTTATTGCATATTGAATGGCTGTGCCTTTCCCAAGAATGCTGTGTATCAGTAATGTATGAGTTTATATCCAGTATTAGTTTTATCATTCTAGCTAAATGGAAAGAAGACTCTTGAACTTTTAATATTTTGTTTCTTTTCTTGAATTTTTTAAAATTTTAGGCCTGCCGAGGGGCCCAGACAGCTGCAGCCACAGCTCCTCGCATCAAGAAATTTGCCATTTACCGATGGGACCCAGACAAGCCTGGAGATAAACCTCATATGCAGACTTTTGAAGTTAATCTGAATAAGTAAGTATCTCTGTGCAAGCTAGGTATTAGACAAAGGAAAGGGGGTTTGTTATTGTTTTGTTTTGTTGTTTATGGTGCTGGACATTGATCCTAGGGACTGGTGCATGCTGAGCACACACCTGACCACTGAGCTGCATCCTCAGCCCAAAAGAGAGCCCTTGATTGTTTTTAGGGACATGCTTGTCAGTTATTAGGAAGCTTAAAAATCTGATACATCCAGTGGTCTGGAATCTGTCATCTGTTTTTAAAACAAGAATGAGGTGGGTACCTGACTCAGAAAGATAAAAACCAAGAAAAACAGCCTTTATAAAATCCCTTGCCTTCCTCCAAATTACAATGAGATATTTTTCTAGAAATACTGATGGACTTAACTTTATGCACAGTTTTTGAAGTCATTTAGCATATTACCTATTTTAAAATGCTAAATGTTTTGCTTACAGGATAGATAGATAGATAGGTAGCGGCCTGTGATAATGATGAACACCAGAAACTTGGCTGGGGTGGTGGCAGGATAGGATCATGATGTTTTAAATGATCTGAATATATGTATCAGTTTTCTATTGCTATTGGGGCAAATTACTACAAACTTAGTGAGTTCAACAACATAAATATATTACTTTACATTTTTGTAGGTCAGAAGACTGATATAGGCCTCAGACTAAAATTACAGTGTCAGGGTTGGGCGCCAGTGGCTACCACCTGTCATCCTAGCTACTTTGAAGGCTGAGATCAGGAGGACTGAGATTCAAGGCCAGCCCAGGCAAATAGTTCACAAGACCCATCTCTAAAATAAATGTTTTTTTTAAAAAAGCACAAGATGTCAGCAGGCTGCATTCCTTTCAGGAAACTAGGGGAAATTTTTCTGCTCATTCAGTCACTTGTAGTTGCAAGACCGACATCCTCATTTTCTTACTGTCTATAAGCTGAGGACCGTTCTCACCTTCTGGTGGCTGCCTCATTCCTGACTCATGCTCTTCAAAGCTACAACAACATGGCATCAAGTCTCTCATATCCCGTCTCTTAGAACCACTTTTCTTCATCTTCTACTTTCAAGGAGGTCCACAGGTAGCCAAAGGGAAAGAAGAATCTAGTGAGGTAGGCTGTCCTCCCATTGCTAACCCCATGCAACCAGAACTGTCCTCTGATCTATTTTATTTGTAAATGAGGTGTTTTTTTTAAATAAAAGCTTCTATGGCATCAAAATAGGTCTGAAAATCTCTAATACTCTTATGGCTTTTTTTTTTCTTCTGTGTGAACACATAAATGCTACTAACAAAGTAGAATTAATATATAATACTATTTAAATTGATGAAACTATAAAATACTTGACAACCAAAAACGCTTAGCAAAATTCTAAGAAATGGCAATTGTATAGGCCACATTTTCGGATCATAATCCAATAAAACCAAGAATCCATATTTAAAATAAAGGAAAGCCAGGTGCTGGTGACTTACATCTAGCTACTCAGGAGGCAGAGATATCAGGAGGATCGAGGATAGTTCTCAAAATCCTATCTCGAAAAAACCCATCATGAAAAAAGGGCTAGTGGTGTGGCTCAAGATGTAGTCTCTGATTTCAAACCCCAGTACTGCAAACAAACAAACAAACAAACAAACAAATAAATAAATAAATGCCCCTAACTGCTTAGGAATTAAAATACTCTTTTAAGTAACTATTTGATTCAAGAAAAAAATTAAAATACTGTCATATGCTTAGAAAATAGACATTGCAAATTAAAACTCACAATATGTGGCTAATACTGAAGGAAAATATTTTTTGAGTATTTTAAGTATTTAAAGAATAACAGTGTCCATGAGTAAAAAAGGCATATGTATCATCAGTGACTAAATGACTAATTTTGCTAAACCTCAGTCTAGAATAAAACTGGGAAAAAATGTTAGGGAATGATTGAGGTCTGTTCTGGTAATGGTAGAGTTATCTGTCATCAGACTAACCCCAAATAACAATTATGAACTGGACAGTGTATAAGAACCAGCTACCTGAGAGCACTGAAAGTGACCACAGTGGGTGGATACTGACCAGGAACTGCCACTGGAAGAATGGAAGGGCACTAGGTAAGCTGCATGGTTTTGTGTGAGGGCAAGCCCCAGCTGGTATGGGGAATGTAAAGACTAAAGTTAGGAAGCTTGAATGACCAGAGGAGACATTTTGGGACTACTACAACAACTGGAAAATAAGGGAAAAGTCCTGAAAAGAAGAGAGTCACGGAGGAGGAGCCCCAAATTCTATTTACAAACTCTGCCCAAAGCTTGAGTTCTGCCATGTTGATTGCCTGCTAAACAACAACAAAAACAAAAATTCCTCAGGAAAACAGAATGCATTCCCTATTTTCTGTTACTATTATTTACAAGGTACAACATACAATCCAAACCTGCCATTTCTACAAACAAATGAGACGAGACTAGAGATGTGGCTCAAGTGATAAGAGTACCTGCTTTGCAAGCACAAAGCCGAGTTCAAACCCCAGATTCACCAAAAAAAAAAAAAAAAAAAAGTGAAACATGGTTCACACCTAAGTAAGAAGACAATGGAAGCTATTATGGATAGAATGTTTGTATCTCCCAAAATCTGTGTGCTCAATCCCTAACCCAATGCAGTGATATTTGGAGATGGGCCCTTTGGGAAGTGATCAGGGTTAGATGAGGTTATAAAGGGGGTTTCTTATGCTGGGCTTAGTTCCCTTATAAGAAGAAATATCAAAGAAAGATTTCCTCTGTCTTCTCAGCACACACACTGCAGAAAAGGCTGTTTGAGGACACTGAGAAGGTGGCCATCTGCAAGCCAGGAAGAGAGGAAGAGAGCCCTCAGAAACAACCATTCTAGTACCCTGATATTGGACTTCCAGCCCCCAGAACTGGAGAAAAATGTTTCTGCTTTTAGCCACTCAGTCTATGGTATTTCATTAGGGCATGTGGAGACCAGCCTTGAAGTGACCCAGCTGACAAAATTAGCAGACAAGGATTTTAAAGTAGTTATTAAATAATTAGGTTGACTGGACCCGGTAGCTCTCACCTGTAATACTAGCTACTCAGGAAGCAGAGATCAAGAGAACCATGGTTTGAAGCCAGTCTGGGCAAATGATTTGTGAGATCCTTCTGAAAAATACCCAACACAAAAAAGGTCTGGTAGAGTAGCTCAAGTGGTAGAGTGCCTGCCTAACAAGCATGAAGCCCTGAGTTCGAACCCTAGGACCACAAAAACAAACAAATAAATATCTTTTTTGGGTTAAGGAAAATACACTTATAATGAGATAGGAAATCTCAGCAGAGAATTAGAACTATTAAAAAGGCCAATGGAAAATCTAGAACTGAAAAATACACTACTGAAGTAGAAAATTTTCTGACTTACCTTAACCACAAATTGGAAAAGACAGTAGGAAGATGTTTTGAACTTGAAAATAAATCAAGACAAATTACCCATTCTTAAGAACAGAGTGGGGAAAAAGTTTTGAAAGAGAAAGATAGCACAGTGGTCTATGAGGAACAGCATCAAAAAGTCTAATGTGACAAATATGTTGGTGCATGCCTGTGATCCCAGCACACAGGAGCCTGAGGCAGGAGATAGTGAGTTCAAGTCCAGCCTGGGCTACATAACTCCTATCTGGGAAAAAAAGAAAAAGAGGGCTGGCAGAGTAGTTCAAGCAATGAGAGCGCCTGCCTAGTAAGCATGAGGCCATGAGTTTAAACCCCAGTGCCACCAAAAAAAAAAAAGGTCTTAATGCATATGTATTTAAATACTAGAAGAAGAAATAGGGAGAAGATGCAAAAAATACATTTGTATTGAAATACTAGAAGGAGAAATAGAGAGGGAGAAGATGCAAAAAAAATACATTTGAGTAACTAGTGGCTAAATATTTCCCAAGCTTATGAGAGACATGTTTAAAAAGCTTAGTGAAGGGACTGGAGGAGTGGTAGAGTACCTGCCTAGTAAGCCTGAAGCCCTGATTCAAACCCCAGTATTGCAAAAAAAAAAAAAAAAGTGTACTGAACCCTAAATAGGATAGTCCAGTTGCTAAAAACCAAAAATAAAGAGAAAATCTTAAAAAAAAAAAAAAAGAGAAAATCTTGACAGCAGCCAGAGAAAACCACATAGTCCATACTAGAAATAATCTGAGCTGTTGCTGGCTTCTTGTCAGACACTGGAGGCCAAAAGACAGTAGAATAATGCCTCCAAAGTACTTAAAAAGAAACAGTCAGACATTTTCAGACAAATGAAAACTAAAGGCTTCATACCAGAAAACCTGTCCCTTATGAAATACTACAGGAAGTTATTCAGGCTGAAAATAATTAATACTCTGTTTCAGGGAAAGAGTGGAGAATACCAGGTATGGTAAATATAGTAGAACCTTGTCCTCTTAACTTCATTAAAATTAATATGATTGTTTAGGATTGGTGAAGCAGTAGAGCGCCTGCCTAGGAAGTGTGAGGCCCTGAGTTCAAACCCCATTATTGCCAATCCATAAATAAATAAATAAAATTGATATGACTGTTTAAAAACAAAATTACAGCCAGGCACCAGTGGCTCACGCATGTAATCCTAGCTACTCAGGAGTCAGAGATCAGAAGGACCATTGCTGGAAGCCAGCCCTGGGCAAGTAGTTCATGAGACCCTATCTCAAAAAAAAACTCATTGCAAAAAAAAGGTTGGTGGAGGGCTGGAGGCCAAAGGCTCAGGCCTGTAATCCTAGCTATTCAGGAGGCAGAGATCAGGAGATTTGCAGTTCAAAGCCAGCCCCAGGCAGATAACTTCACAATACCCTGTCTTGAAAAAACCCATTACAAAAAAGAGCTGGTGGTTCAAATGGTAAGAGCACCTGCCTAGCAAGCGTGAGATCCTGAGTTCAAACCCCAGTGCTGCAAAAATGTAAAAAAATATATAAGAAATAAGAAGGTAGTATGGGAAGGGAAACTGGATACTGTGGTATATATCTGTGATCTTAGCTACTTGAGAGGCTGATGTAGAAAGATCATGAATTTTGAGACCAACCTAGGCAACATAGTGAGACCCTGACTCAAATACAAAAAAAGAAGAAGGCAGAGGGACTGAGGATGTAAGAATAAGAGTGAAAGCCCTAAGCTGTGAACCGGTGGCTCATACCTGTAATCCTAGCTACTCAGGAGGCAGAGACCAAGAGGATCACATTTTGAAGCCAGCCTGGTCAAATAGTGCAAGAGACCCTATCTCAAAATACCCAGCACAAAACAGGGCTGGCGGAATGGCTCAAGTGGTAGAGAGCCTATCTAACAAGATTGAGGCCCTGAATTCAAACTTCAGTACCACCAAAAAAAAAAAGACCCTGGTTGAAAGAAAAAGAATATAAAAAGGTAACCATACAAGCCATACTATGCATAAGGCTATGGTAATCATGGTAATATCTGAAAAGATAGGCTTCAAACCAAAAGATATTAAAATAATTATAATGATAAAAGGATCCTCCTATTAGGAAGATGTAACAGTCATAACTGTGTGTGTGTCTAGTAACACAGCTTCGAAAATGGGCAGGACTGTCAGACATGGTACCTGATGTCTGTAATCCTACTTACTTGGGAGTTAGAGATCAGGAGCATTGATGTTCAAGCCCAGCCTACGCACAAGATAGCAAGACCCCATCTCAACGCACAACCTGGAGGTGATGGTGTGCACTCGCCATCCCAGCTATGTGAGAGGCATAAACAGGAGGATCGAAGTCTAGGCCAGTCAGGACAAAAATGGAGACCCTCACTGAAAAAAAGCAAAGCAAAAAGGGATGGAGGTGTGGATACAGTGGTAGAGTGCCTGCCTAGCAATCTCAAAGCACTGAGTTCAGACTCCAGTACCACCATAAACAAAACAAAACAAAAACAAGCCTGAAATCCAGCTATGCAGAGCAGAAGCAGGCAGATCTTCCAGGCCAGCCCTGAGCAAAAGTAGGAGACCCTATCTGAAAAATAAACTAAACACAAGTGCTGGGGGCGTGGCTCACATGTTGGAAGACCCTAAGTTCAAAACCTCGTTACTGCAAAGAAAAAGAAAAGAAAAAATGCCCATGTGCACTAGAATGCCACAGTGATCTTTTAATCTCTGTGCCACATTTTCTTTTCTTCCGTTTTGTTTTGTACCACATTTTCTGTTAGATTATGTAATGAATCCCAGATCCAAAAAGTAAAACTAAAATTTGGAATAAATTGTTAGAGAAAAGTTTGGTTTGGTTTGGTTTTCAGTGGCGCTGTAGATTGAACTAACGGCCTCACTAAGCAAGTGCTTTACCACTTGAGCCATACTCTCAGTCCTCTTTGAGGAAACTTTAGAAAGAGCTTTAGAAGAACAACAAAACTGCCAGAGTGTGGAAGTTGTTTCCTAATCCACATATTTCCGCTATTTCTTTAGCTTTCTGTTTCCTAGAAATGTATGTGCAGTCACCATCAAAATAGAACTTTGTGATGGTTAAAACTTGTAATGTGACTGGGTGCTGTAGTGCAAGCCTATGATCTCTGCTACTCAGGAGGCAGAGGTAGTGGTGAGACTTTTGTCTCAAAAACAAAATATAAGCAAAAGGACTCAGGGCACAACTCAAGTGTTAAAGCACTTGCAAGCATGAAACCCTGGGTTCATTCCCCAGTTGGGCTGGGGGCAGAGATTAGTAACAATGTGAAAAATAAAACCTTAAAAAAATTCTGATTGTGATCCATGATCAACTGGGTCATATATCCAGGTGTCTTAGGACATATTATAATAAAGTAGGGAGGTTGAATTTGTATGAATAGGACCTTTTTTTTTTCTTTGTCAGCTGTGGTCCCATGGTGTTGGATGCTTTAATCAAAATTAAGAATGAAATTGATTCGACCTTGACCTTCCGAAGATCATGCAGAGAAGGTAAGTGCTTCATTCCGGTTAGGTTCCAGCCTGATGCTTAAGTTCTGGCTCTCCAGAGAGGCTTCACCTACCGACTCATGGAGATATCCTGGAGAGTAGTAACATCTCTGCCATGTGACCTGGCTGCATGTCATGAAATTTGAATTGTGATTCAGGTTTCCTTTGGGGGTTTTCCATCACATGGCTACTGCATCCCTGTTAGCTGCTGCGCACCTTGGGGACTAGTGAGGACAAGGAAGCTGGCCACATGCTGTGCTGTGCTCATTGCTGAGAAGGGGGCTGTGCTGTATCTACTGAGGCCAGCATACCTGCCCTTGTCACAGGGCAGCCCGTAGCTCCCAGCATTGCGTGTGCACAGATTGTTAGAACAGCACCCTCCACTGGGTGGTGCTGTGGGAGCCATTGAGATGGTGTAAAGACCAACATTTCCTACTTTAGTAGCTATGTATTCATTTTACAAATTAGAAAAATGAAATTACTGTTGATAGTGTAGCAAGGATACAAATGGTTTTTTAATACGAATTTAAGTAAAAATTGAATTGATTTAAAGAAAATTCCTCAAGTGGCAGAAATCCCATGCGGTAACATGAAGACTAACTGGCCTTGGAGGGAAGTATGTGAGCCAGATCTGTTCTGTGCACTACCTGAGGTGGGTAGGTGCTGTCGTTACCCTCGATGTACAGATGAGAAAACTGAGGTCAAGTTAAGGGACTTCTGCAAGGATGTGTAGTAAGTCAGGAGCTAGGAGTCAACCAAAGCCAGCAGACTGCAGGGCTTGGAAAACCTGGGACAAAACCAAAATGGAGGGTAGCTTGGTTCCACAAGTTCCTGGAACTAACCTTTTCCCAGTATAGCCTTCCAAAAAGGAAAAGCCAGAGTGGGTATCACAGGAAGTAAGTCCAGACTAAAAGAATTCTCATGTCAGAATCCTTGGTCAGCACCTTACCTCGCTTTGCTTTGCCATTCACCCGTGCTTTTCCTCCTTGGAAAATTAGTACTCAGTCAGCTCCTGAGGTGCAGAGCCCAGGACAACCAGCCTGTTAACTTGTTTTGTGGACACAATAGAATAGAGTTCTCTTGGTAGTCCGTGTGCATCCAGGCTTCAACCTAGAGATGAAACTGCACTGACCCCTTCACCAAGACATGTTGACTTGCTTTGGGCACTGTATCTATTAGAATTTGAGTTCAGGTAACAGTGCCTTTAAAAAAAGGTGGGCTTGGGCTGGTGGAGTAGTTCAAGTGGTAGAGTACCTGCCTAGTAAGCACAAGACCCTGAGTTCAAACCCCATTACCACAAAAAAAGGAAGGCCAATTTTTCTGTAAAACCATACTGCTACTTTATGGAGCTAGAACTGGTGTGGGAAGCCCATGGGGCCAGCAGCGCCCCAGGGCCCTCCAGACCTGCAGAGCCATCCAAAGAGTGTGTTCTAACCTCAAGGTTGCCTCCTGGTCACAAAATGGTTTTTGGAGCTCCAGATATTAGATCCACATTGTAGGTGGGAAGGAGGAGGAAATAGAGAAAAGGCAACAGGTATACTCCATGTCAGTGCTGCTCCTGGTGGTAGAGCAGCCATGGCCCAGAAGAAAGGAGTGGGGAGTGTGACTGAATCACCTGGGTTTCTCTCAGGTATCTGTGGCTCTTGTGCGATGAACATCAATGGAGACAACACTCTAGCATGCACCCGGAGGATCGACACAAACCTCAACAAAGTCTCTAAGATCTACCCTCTTCCACACATGTATGTGATGAAGGACCTCGTTCCCGTGAGTTTCCGCAACTCTCCCATGTGTTGCAGGTGGTTCCTGCATGAGTGTGGTCAATCCGTTCTTCAAGGCAGGCTGGTTTAGGGTGTTTACAGCTACTCTTGTGGACATGGTAGAACAATTGGACAGGGCTGTCCCCCTCTGTCATGGCAAGAGGAGGACTACACGTCTCCAGGAGCATAGGGAAGCCCCCAGGCCTGTGTGTGTTTGTGAAGAGTTTGAATAGCAGAAGATGAACACCTAGAGAATCTTCCCACAGCTCATTTGGTAAGGTCTGTTTGGGAATAACAGAGCATGGAATTTCAGACTTGGAGTAGCCCCAAGAGTGAAGGATTTGGCCATAACTACAAAGAATTTGTGCGGAAAATGCCAACTGGGAAAGCAGCGGTTTCTTATGAGTTTGGCTCCAATCCCCTCCTCTGTTCGACCACCTCCCCTTACTTGTTTTCCAGGGCAGGCAGGGAGAAAGGACTCAGGTGGAAACACTGCCAGCTGGATGAGAGAAAGGTTTTCTAACCTAGCTTAGCATTGGACTACTTCCTGTTTCTCATCCTTGCATGTGTCCCTGCCCAGGAAGAGCATGGCTTCTGTCTGTTGTAGGGCAGAAAAGTGGGCAGGTCCACAAAACAGGGCTGGTGGGAAGCTGAGGCAGTGGTGGAATCTGATCCTTTTCTTCTTCCTCTTCTCATAACCTCAGGATATGAGCAACTTCTATGCACAGTACAAGTCCATCGAGCCCTATCTGAAGAAGAGGGACGAATCCCAGGAAGGCAAGCAGCAGTATCTGCAGTCCATAGAAGAACGGGATAAACTGGTCAGGAGTTCCTTCTTACTGGCTTTGTTTGGGGGGGCTCATGGCAGAGATGTTTGCTGGGGGTGGGAGGAACAGCATGAGATGATGCAGACCATTTAGAATACTCTGGAAAAGAACTTTGAGAGCATTTGGCCCCAGGGTTGGACACCCACCTCTCAGGACCAGATGCTCAGTGTGAACCCATGAGGGCCCAGAGCCATCCAAGAAGCCGGCACTTAGGCCCTGACTCGAGGGTCAAGTTGTTGCCATGCCACCAGACCTAGAAGAAGCCCAGAAGTTGGCAGTTAGAGCAGAGCTGATCTCTCGCTGTGGGAAAAATGGCATGTGCTGGCCATTTGCAATCTTAACCACCACCACCACCACCTCACATGTGGGAGTGAGACAGTAAAGGCCGAAGTGGACCTAAAGCCGGGCTCTTCTGTCCTCACTCAACACCTCTAGTGACCAGTGTGATTGGCTCAGGGTTTTCACTCCCCTGGAGTTGATTCCTGTATTCATCCTAGAAAATCTTCAAGTAGAGGTGCCACCATCAAGTTTTCAGTCTGTTCTTCTCATGTACTGCTTTTACCTCCTCTGAAAAATCTCCGATTGGCTGCTCACTGAAAAGGAGGAGGTGGGAGGGGCTTCAGGGGCAAGGCCCAGCACTGCCTCACAGTCTGAACTTGGTACATTCTTCCCATACCACACTTTCCTACAATTGTTCACATGTTCCCATGGTGGACCAAGCACACTTAGGGCCTGTTTCCTCTGAACCCCTACACTGTGGCACTTATCAGTGAATATTAGTTGTGTCAATGAATCAATGAATTCTGCCTTGTGGGTCTTGAGGATTATTTAGCCTTCTCTTTAAAATGTTAAGGAGAGTCCTAGAGAACAAACTAGTCTGTCATGGGGACAGTGAGGATCATCAGTACAGTGACATTGGGAGTCCAAGTGAGCTTACTGCTCCATGTCTCATGTGGTAACATAGCTCTGTCCACCACCATTTCTAACTCCTACTCCTCATCTCATGTTCCAGGCTAGGCAGGCTTGGCCCACACTAGTGAGTATCCTATCCCCTTGAGGTGGTGATGTTAGGAAATGAACGCCACCGAACATGTTTTCTAGATAATAGACATTTACTCATTTAAATACTAAATATTGGCCAGGCATCGAGATTTACGCCTATAACCCTAGCTACTCTAGGTGTAGAGGTTTCTAGGATTGAGATTCAAGGCCAGCTCTGCAAAAAAAAAAAAAAAAAATTACTGAGATCCCATCTTGATTAATAAGCAAGGCATGGTGGTGTACATCTTCAATCCCACTACATGGGAGGCCAAAGGTAGGAGGATTGGAGTGTAAAGCTGACCCTAGGCAAAATTGCAAAACCCTGTCTGAAAAATAACTAAAGCAAAACAGGTTGGAGAACCTGCTTAGCAAGCATAAAGCCCTGAGTTCAAACCCCAATACTGCCAAAAAATCTTTTTAAATACCAAACACTATAAGCATTTTTGCTTCCTTAAATTAATATGCTGAACTTCAAAAATAATTGGAAGAAACACTTGAACCACTCTGCCAGCCCTATTTTTTATTGGGTTTTTCGAGATAGGGTCTGTTGAACCATTTGCCCAGGTTGGCTTTAAACCACGATCCTCCTGATCTCTGCCTCCTGAGTAGCTAGGATTACAGACGTGAGCCACTGGCGCCCGGCTCTGAACTCTTGACTGCGTGCTAAGTAGCATATTGTTTCATGTCCTTGTTGATTTCTTTGTCTAGATAAGTGAGGGGGGACTGGAGGTGGGGCTCAGACAGTAAAGCACCTGCTTTGCAGTTGTGAAGCCCTGAATTCAATCCCCAGCCCCACCAAAAAGAATAAGTAAACAAAAATTAAAATGAAAGAATTTAAAGATAAGCAAAGTGTTATTGTTTCTGGAAAGGTAAGTGCATTGTAGGTGAACTTTAATACCCCTGGGCTCTAACAAATTAAATGTTTACATTTGACTTTTTTTTATAAATCTGATAAGTCTCCAAACCTGCCTTTGGATTTTGCCAAGAAAACTCATAGGCATGTGGGCATTTTGTCAGGCACTGGCTCCCTGGGCCCTGACCCCTTCTTCTCCACACAGGACGGGCTGTATGAGTGCATCCTCTGTGCCTGCTGCAGCACCAGCTGCCCCAGCTACTGGTGGAATGGGGACAAGTACCTGGGCCCTGCAGTCCTTATGCAGGTGAGGCGCTCCCTAACTGCTCCCTCACTTGAGAAACTCAAAGTCCAGTAGCCAGATGTCTAAGAGGATAATGAACTGTTGCAGGGTGGTCATTCTGAGGGGGTGATGGTGTCCTTCACTGGCAAGCAGTACAAACATGGTCATCGGTTACATTGGTTCTCTTGGCTGCACTTCAACATACCTTTGTAGCAGTGTGGTGAGGATCACCTTAAGGAGTGGACATGCTCTCTAGCAAGCCATTCCTTGCAGACCTGCACTGTATTTCTGGGCTGGTGACTGCAACAGTCCACTTACCTGAGCCTATCAACAGCTGTCCCATCTCCCACTCACAGGGCTTTCGATGTGCACGCAGGAAAGGCAGCTGCCCAGCTGTAAGGCAGAAAGCTGTCTTCAGGTCAAGAAAAGCCTAGGTTTAAGGCTGCTTAGAAAGAAAGTGGTGTTGTTTATCAGTGTGTGTCACCATATGTACAGGTCACTGCAAAGAAAGTCACTTGGTTCCCGGAAAGCTTGTGCTTTTCACAGACTCTTAAGCCACTCGAAAGACAACTTCACATTTTCACTTTCCCACAAAAAGGAAGTTATATGACTTTTGACCACAAAAACAGTGTTGATTCCTGTCCATGTACAGACTGAATAGTCAGTCAGGTGCACTCACACTTGTCACTTGCACCTGAGGATCTGAGTTGTCTAACAGTGCGGGTCTCTCAGCAGTGCTGCTGGAACAGCCCAAGGTCACATGGTTGAGTCATTTTTAGCTTTCTGATCTCAGGCTGCCAGAGGGCATTTATGAGTTGAAAGATCAAGGGATTGAAGGTGTGGTTCAAGTGGTAGAGCACCTACTTAGCAAGCAAGGCTAAGTTCAACCCCCAGTACTGGCAAAAATAAATAAATAAAAGGAAAGAAAATGAGGGGTGGAAGGGAAGAGGGACAAATACTATCTCTAGGCAGGTCTATCAAGCATCAGTTTACTCAGTGACAGTGAGAATCTTTCCCAGGTAGGTGCTGTGAAGACAGGTAAAAAGACCAGGAGATACACCCCACCTTTGCTAATTATAATCTGGGCGGGATGCCATTGAGCAACAAGAAATGATTAGGAAACGATGCCCAGTACGTAATTAAGTACCAAGGTGCCAAGAGGAGTGTGGATCAAAGGCTCGCAAGGATCACGAGTCAAGCAGAAATTATAAAAGAATTGGGAACCTTTCTTGAAAGATGGGCAAGAACTAAAGAGGACAACAACCAAGTGTCTGTGTGAAAGGATCCCTTTCCTCTGCACTCCCAGGGCTTTGCATGAGCCCAAGTGCTGCTCTGGCCCAGTAGCTTGGTAGCTCCCCTGACATAGCCCTGCTTTCCTAGGCCTACCGCTGGATGATCGACTCTAGAGATGAGTTCACAGAGGAACGCCTGGCCAAGCTGCAGGACCCCTTCTCTCTGTACCGCTGCCACACCATCATGAACTGCACACTGACCTGTCCCAAGGTACACAGGGCTCGTGGCCCTCAACCCTGCTCAGAAGTGTCATTCCAGGAGTGGCCTGTGCTCACGCAAGGCAGTTGGTGATTTGAGATGGAGAGAATCAGTATACCTGTGGGAGCTTGGGACTAGTTTGCCTCTTAGTTGCAGACTCCTTCAGGCCTTTTCAGGGGTAGGCTTTGCTTGTAGGAGACACATTGGAAGATGAACTTGCCAGAAACAGGCAGCTGTGGGCACTAGAGTCCCACCCTCCCTGGCTCCCCCTCCAGCAGCCAGCTCATTCTTTCTGCTCTGTGGTGCTTTTTTTGAACTCTGGCCTCTAGGCCTTTACTCCCTCTTCCTGCTTACAATGGCTGCTACCACACACCCTCCCTTAGCTTCAGCCTCTGCCTGTCCTCATGTATTTTAGAGAGTATTCAATATCAATCTATGAAGAATCTTTTCTCTTTCTCTTACAAGATCTTTCCTTTTTCTTTTCTCTTTTCTCTTTCTCCTTTCTTTGCACAGTGTTTTAATTTCAAGGATAGTTGCCCTTCTAACATGAGAGGACACTTCCCTAACCTCAGATAAGTCCTTGATTAATTTTGCCACACCTTGCTTGTCTTCCTCCCAACTTCCACAAGGCTTGCATTCAGTCTGATAACCATTGAGCCTCTTGCAAAACAGATGTCTCATCTGCCAGGGCCAGACTATAGCCAAGGCAGTGGTACTGGCCAGTAGATCTCATCATGGTGTTTATGAAGGGTTAACAGGGTCATTTCTTCCACATGCTGTAGAGCGCTTGGATATGCTCATTTCTGCCACTGCTGATTTACTAATCATGATAGTGGCCTGAGAGAATTAGAGCTGTGTGGCTAATGTTGACATTGGTTTGCCCTGGGCAGGGTGAGCCACGCCAGAAGACATTCAACGTGGCAGGACTTCTGCCAGAGAGCTGCCCATGTTTAAATGTCTAAAAGGAGCACTTATCCCAGTTTTTGACTTGCCAAAACTTAATCTGACACATCTTTGACTGAACCAGGGGCCAGAGGTTCACCAGAGTTCTCCCATTCCCCTTCTGTTACCATTTCCTACTGATTCTCTTCTCTTTTTTCAAGGGTCTGAATCCAGGGAAAGCTATTGCAGAAATCAAGAAAATGATGGCAGCCTATAAGGAGAAGAGAGCCTCAATGTAACTCTCCAGCTGAACACAGCGCACAACCAGCTCAGAGCTGGACTAACTTGAATTCTTTCAGAGGTCCTGATTGCCCATGAATACAGTATGTGTAACAAAAACGCTAAATAAACAAATGGAATTCTACTTTATTAACAAAGAGTAAGCCTGTGCCATTTCCCTGCTGCTAAGGGCTGCAAAGGTTCTTGTCCTAGAAGGAAGACAGGTCTCCAGCATGGGGGGTGGAATTGGTACTAATAGGAATGAGGGCTCAGGAGGTGCTCACAGCTTTGCCAGTCACCTGAGACAAATTCCTTTGCTTTGGCCCCTATTTGCCCATCTGTAAAGTGATCATAACTGTTCCTGGTTGGAGAACGCCTGCCACAGGGTCAGAGCGCTCATTAAACATTGGCTAGGAGGAGTGTGTTTTTGTGGGTTTCAGGGTTAGAATTGTTCCAAACTGAATCCTGGTAAGTGCCCGAATGTCACGGAAGCGAGCTTTCAGATTCCTCTAGTGCAGAGCAGTGGCCCAGATCAGCTGTGAACCCACCAGTTCCACAAGTGACTTCTAGGGACTTTTCACTGCAAACACTGATTGCCTACCACACTGCCTTGGCTCTGATGCTTACCATGCAGACAATAACATTGAAGAAAACAAGAAGTGGGAAGCAGGGAGACACAGGCAGAAGGATCTTGAGCTCAAGGCCAGCTGGGGCTACATAGTAAGACACTGTCTCCAACCAAAAAAAATGTGAGAAGTAAAAGGTGGAAACTCCTCCAAACTCCCCAAGTCGCGCATCCCCGGTTGACGGTAGGCACATTTCCTTCCAGATCTTTATGTTACTACAAATGCCTGGAATACGTAAAACCCCCTTCAAAAACAGAGCACAACTTTATCCTTAGCAGCTTTCTATTTTTACCCCGTACATAGGTATGTCAGTGCCGATAGAGAAGTGCGCGTGAGTGTGCACGTGTGCGTGAGTGTGCACACGTACGTATGAGACTTAGCTTATACCTTAACCTTCATAACTGTTGCTTAAGTGCTCTAACATATCTGTTAAGAATTCCAGGAGGCCATTGCTTTGAACCAGGCTCCTGTGCTGGGCCTCAACGGACCGGGCTAAAAACTAAAGCAGAGCTGCCCGTGCTGAAGTCCCACTTACCAGAATGAAAGCCTGCTATCTGACCTTCCAAGAGAACAGAAGAGACAACAGCCACATCTCCAAATCAGATTTGGATTGGCTTGATAATGAACTTCCTCTGCCTTAATGCTTACACAAAAGAGCTGGCCTGATGCTAACTAGTTATTTTTTTCTGTCTTCTAGTCCCCCTCATATAAGAATAGTAACTTTGAAATCACCAATATGATTTTTTTTGTTTCTGTTTTCTCCAGCCCTGTTCTGTCTGCAAAACCAACCCCTCTGCTTGGCTCATTGGAACACTTATTCTGTTTCTTGGGGGAGGGGGAAGGGCAGTATACAGGGGTTTGAACTCGGTCCTCACACTTGCAAGGCAGGCACTCTACCACTTGAGCCACTCCACCAGTCCTACTTATTTAATGGAATGAAGTGTTACCTGAGGCTGAGGCAGGAGGACCCCAAGTTTGAAACCAGCCTAGGCTACATAGCAAGACCCTGACCCAAAATTTTAAAAAATTAAAATAGGGATGGGGGTGCTTGCCTAGCAAGCATGAGGCCATAGGTTCAATACTTATTACCACAAAAAAAAAAAAAATTGATTCAAGGCTTCTCGCATCATGAGGCAGGTTGCTAAGAAAATAAATGTCTGACTCATGGAGAATGAACATTTTTAAAGGGAGAATATTAGTTTGGTGACTCATGCTTATAATCCCAGCACTCAGGAGGTGAAACAGAAGTATCTGGAGTTTGAAGCCATCCTGGGGCTACGTAGCAAGTTCGTATCATCTCCAGCTACACAATGAGACCCTGTCTGAAAGGAGAAAGGGGGCACCATATTCAACAAGCATTAGTCTCAGGCCTTGTAGACAGTGAGGAGCTGCCACCTAGAAGCCAAGGTCACAAGTTAAAAAGCACTGAATTACGAGAAATTTAGAGAGGCTTGGGGTATAACTTAGTGGTACAGGACACACTTAGCATGTGTTAGGCCCTGGTTTGATCCTCAGTGCTACAAAAGGAAAAGAAAAGTTTTGAGAACAGGGTTCTGCCATTCACTACAGCACCCAGATTCCTGGCTCTCAGTAAGACCACACCCTACCCAGACGGCCTTCAAAGTTTAGAATTCAGAGGTGAGAACAAAAAAATCTCAGGCCACTCTACAGCCTACTTTTGAAAGTTGGAGGGACAAACCCCACAGGCTGAGCCTCTGGAGAGCATCTGAATCCCAAGTTCAAACCTAGTGGATCTCAGCCTGGGGAAGTCACATTCCTTGGACTCACAGATAATTGGACCTTGCTTCTAATCTCTAGATGTGCAGGGAAGGATGGGCTTTTTTCATGAATAGTTTAATGGCTTGGAAAGATGACCTCTGCAGCTGTGATAAGAACCACTGTGGCTTGGGAATTGCCACTTCAAATCAGCTTCATCAGATGTCACCTTGGAGCCAGACTCTGGTGGCTCACACCTGTAATCAATCCTAGCTACTCAGGAGGCAGAGATCAGGAGGATTGAGGTTCAAAGCCAGCTGGGGTAAATAGTTCTGTGAGACACTATCTTGAAAAAACCCCATCACAAAAAATGGCTGGTGGAGTGGTTCAAGGTGAAGGCCCTGAGTTCAAAAAACCTGTGAGGACAGTAATGGTGACTAAATTTTTGTCCGCCCTTAAGGTGACAGCTTGGTGTATTTCGCACATGACTGGCCAGTTCAGAGTTTTATCTGTGTGCAAGGCATTGTGCACAGCTGGCAATGCTCATGTCACTCTCAGGTTAGTTGGTGTCCCAAGACTCCCACTGCTCAAACTCTCTTCAGACCTTCCCTTCCTTGCCCCAGAACAACTACAAGACCAACTACTGGAAGGCCCGCTTCACTGGGCATCTAGACAAACAGAATCTTACCTCGGGTTGGTCACTAGTTGAGAAAATCCCCATTGTTGCAAAAATCTGGTGAAACTATAGAAAGTGGGAAGTAAGGCAATGCTCTGGAGGAGAGTGGCTCATGTTAGATTTCTCGGCCCTCTATAGCTTGGGCTAGACATAGGGTGTCTTCCACACCAGCCCCCAAGACAGCAGCAGCCCGGAAGGAAGCTGTCATGGCCTTGCCTACATGTGACTGGAAATTTAAGGCACCATTATCTGGAAGGAGAGCCCAGCGCACAGACCGCCCTGACAGCCACACAGGGAGAGCTACTTCCCCATAGGTGACCCTGGCAGATGGCTGGGCCTACCACATCCTCTGTGGTTTGAAAGGAAACCTCTAGCCTCAAGGGGATGAGCTGAGCTGCACCGGGCTCATCCCCAGGTGACGTGGGATACATCATTGTCAAGCCACAGTCACAATACAGAGACTGTGAGTGCAATCTTGCAATTTGATCTGTGTCCTCCCTTCCCCCATCCTGCCCTGAGACTCAGCCAACCACTTGTCATCTCATTTCATCCTCTCAACAGCTTCCATCTTACAGGTGAGGGGAGAGTCTCAGAGAGGGAAAATGACATTCTAAGGCTCACACAGCCTAGAAAGCAGCTCTTGCACCCAGGTCTTTCTGATGCCTGATCCCAGCCCCTTGCTACTGTACCACATTGCTTTGTAGCAAGCCAGCTGAGCCAGGCATTTCCAAACTCAGCCCTCCTGCTGCCCTGGGGGTCTTGGGCTCTCTGGGAAGGTGTCCAGCTAGGCATCAAGCTAAGCCCAGTAAGGAGGATATGGGAGCTCAGAGAAGTTACACAGCCTGTTCCCACTGGAGGTGTCACTTGCCAATGAAACAGGTTTCTCACCTGACCCACTGAAGCCAGCCCATGCACCAGTGTGAATGTCCCCAACCTCCTCCACCAGCAGTCTGTCCCAGTGCAGTAAATGGGTCCACTGTTCCCCAGCCATTCAGCCCAAAGTCTTGGGCATTTGGGTTCCACAAATTCCTACACCTTCACATTCCCTCCATCATCAAGTCATGCCAACAGGTGCCAGGAGCCTCCATTCATGGATCTCTCACTATGACACCAGCTGCATGGTCTTCCTACTGTCCCCTCTGGAGGGTGTCCCCCACCAGCACACTCCATCATGGCTCTGTACCCCTCCAGTACTTTTTTTTTTTCGGCAGTACTGGGGTTTGAACTCAGGGCTTTCACCTTGAGCCACTCCATCAGCCCTATTTTTGAGATGGGTTTTTTCGAGATAGGGTCTTGAAAACTGTTTGCCTGGGCTGCCTCATGATTAGGTAGGATTACAGATGTGAGCCACTGGCGCCTGGCTCCCTACCAGCACCTTCTATAATCAGTTGTTGTTGGGGTTTTCTGACAATAATCGGAAAGTGTGGGGACAAGGCCAGGGGACAAGGGTCATGTCCATTTGGTTTGTCCTGAGTCTCCCACTACCTGATACTCCATAAATTCAGATGGGACAAATGACTGATGGGCTAGGCCCATCCTTGTCCCCAGCATGAACTTTCCCTGGTTTGTCCTGGAGCCTCACTGATATGATCTCCACCTCTGGAGCTCCTCTGTCCAGAGGCCATTGACCCTGAAGTCGGGAGGTCATCGTGTCTGTGCCTGTTGCTGTGGGGCAGTGTGACAAATGCTGCTTACAACGATGTCACCAGTGCCTTTTAGGAACCCCATGGATTATGCCATGAAGCTTCTAGGCTGGGTTATACTTCTGACATCTCTGGCATTTTTGAGATCTCCTGTGCATTGTAACAGCCTCATAGTATGTGTGAGTCTCTGTGGGGCATCTGTGGACAAGTGTGTCTTCCTTCTTTGACATTTATCCAGCATTGCCAGGCACTGTCCAAAGGGTTTCACACGTGTGTTCTCATGATCCACACAATAAGATAGTAATTGCTAATGTTCTCACCCTACAGGGTTAGAAAACAGGGCCCAGAGAGGTTGATTTTCCTGCTGTCACACAGCCTGGAAGAGATGTAGGCCAGCTTGCACCAGCATGCATAATCCTTAGCCACTGTGGTGTGCAGCTGGGGCTAACTCTGTCTGTCTGTCCCGTCCTGCCCCTCTGGGTATAAGACTGGAAGATACTGGACTGGGACTACATTTCCCGGCATGCCTGGCGCGGCGGCGGCGGCGGACGCAGCGCAGCGGCAGCGGCCGGGCGGGACTTGGCGGCCGCAGACAGACTGCGGCACCTTCAGCTCGCTGCCTCTGCCGCGTTGTGCAGGTGCCTGGCTAGCCCTCCCGCGCCCTCCTGCGCCTTCCGCGTCCCCGCCCGCGCCTCGCGCCCTCCGCGTTCCGGACCGCGCCCCCCGGGGTCTCGCGCACGCGGAGCCCAGGCCGCGGGCCGCAGAGCCGGGCCGGCGATGAGCGCGAGGAGCCGACATGAGCGCAGGTGAGTTGCCCAGCCCGTGCGCCCACCCCGGGAAGGCGACACCCCCGCCATGGGGTCGCGAGCCAGGGCAGCGGCCCCTCCCCTGTAAGAGGACGCGGCCCCGGGCCCTTCCCAGAGAGGCCAGAGTGATGATGGCGCCGCGCACAGCCGGCCCCTCCCCCGCCCTGCACCCCGGCCGGGCTGCCAGGGCCCGAGCGTCAGGGGGGGCTGGGGAGCCTGCCCCACCCCACCGAGTTGATCTCACCCCAAGTGACGGGTGTCCAGAGGCTGGGACGCGGTGCGTCATCCTGGGGCCTGTGGGGACCTCTGGGCAGTGACCTCTCTTGTCTGGATGAATGGGGCTGGGGAAGCCATGTCTCCGCAGTGCCTGGGTGAGTGGACCTGGGTCACAAAAGGCGCTCCTGAGCCCCTGCCCCTGGCCGCTGAGGAAGCCTATCAGTACCGAATCCAAGGACCACACCCTCCATGCACCCCTCCCCCCCCCCCCCCCCCCCAGGCCAGGTGTCAGAACCCCCCCCCCACCTGTCATAGTCGCTAATTCATTCCCCACCTGCTGCAGCTGAAGCCTTTAGACCTGTGCTACCCAGAAGGATCTGCAACTTCAGGCCCTGTGTCTCGTCCTCCCCAAACCCTCCTTCCAAGCCCTGCAGCCTAGAACGCACTCGGTCCCAGGGAGGGGAAAGAAGGAGTCTGGGATGCTACTCAGAAATATAGCACTTGCCTAGCATGCACCAGGCCGTGGTTATATCCCCAGCAGTGGGGTGAAAAAATGAGGAAAGATGGCCCTAAACTTCAAATCCAACTCCCAAATGCACACTCACACCCACCCCAGCCTGGCTAAGGACAGGAGCTCCTGGCTACAGAGGAACCACAGGGAGGTGGGAGCAGCTAGTCAGCCACCCTGGGCCACTGCCAGCTCATCAGCAGGAAGCTAGGGCCTCCTCAGGAAGCAAAAGGTTCCCAAATGGCTTTGACTCCAGCCCTTCTGCTCTACAGTGCTGGTCTCAGGCCCCAGGACTGAATTTGGAGCAGGGTCAAGTCTAGTCTTGGCCACTCATGGCTATGACTTTGTGCATGTTAATCAACCTCTCTGGACCTCATTTTCTTGTTTTGTTTTTTATACCTGTGATGCTGGGGATCAAACTCAAAGACTTCACATGCTAGACAAGTGCTCTGGTGCTGAGCTACAGCCCCAGCCCCTGGGCGTCATTTTATTGGGGACCCTACTTTCCATAGGGTGGCTATGAGACTGAATTAAGACCCATTTATTTCCAGCTTCTTCACCTTTCAAGTTATCTGACCCTGGGCTAGGGCTTTCATAGCTCTGTTCCTCAATTTCCCCATTTGTAAAAGGGGGAGAATGATGGTCCCTCTCTAGGAGGGCTGTGCATAAAGATATGAGTGAGTGCCCTGAAGTTTCACCCCTGCACCACAAGCCCTCAGGCCTGGTTACTGCTGGTAATGCCAGAACAAGCACAGAGGAAGTTCTCAGCTCACCCAGTGCTACCTACCCAGGGTTGGCCTGAGCTGGTAAGAGCTCAGACACCTCCCAGTGATGGCCCTGAGCCACTGAGCTGTGGATTAGCAGGCTCACCCAGGTGTTTTGACAGGCACCCTGTAGGCACCCAGTGAGCCCCGGGCTTGGCCCTTGAGGGGACTCTAGAGTTTTCCACAGATAAGACTTTCTCCTCCAGCTCCTTTCCCCTCCCTCTACCCAAAGTTGGCTGGAAGAGTGTCCTTGTGGAATGACAGATGTGTGATAGGCACCAGGAAGAACTTCCCAGGGGGAAGAAGCGCTGTTTAGAACCTGGCACTAGTGGCACCACCCTTCAGGAAGAGACTGGAGTCCATTCTCACAGCAGACTGACCCTGGGGCTAAGGTGGGAGAGGTGGACCTGTGGCTCCTGACACTGTCACCTCCCTCCTGTGCTAAGTGCCATCAGTGCTGACATCTGGCAGACGAGAGTGTAGGTGGGGAGGCAGAGAGGACTTTGGAATAAGGCCTTTCCGGCTTTGGGACAAGTCCCTGGCAGGATGGCTCCTGGAGGCTCCATGTGAAGGAAATGAGTGGAGGGCAGTTGTAAAAGCCCACTCTGCAGACTTGTTTTGGGTGGAATCATATCAGCACAGTGATGCTCTCTGGCTTGGCTGCTGGGCTGGCTTATTTCCCAGTGCCAAGCCTGCTCCAGGTGTTGGCCTGAGGGCTTGAGGCATGGGGAGAAGCTAATGCTGGGCCTGGGGCAGTGGCACTGCTGTGGATTTCAGCAGGGCAATGAGAAGGAGAGGGCATCCTGGGAAGTAAGTCATGCAGCAGCCACGCCCCCTAGGCAGGAGCTGCACACCTGTGCAGGCCTCAGGACCTCTGCAATCATCACCCTACAAATAGGAAAGCTCAGACAGGCTGAGGCACCTGCCTTAGGAAGCACAGCCTGCTTGGAAGAGAGCCAGGGCACAACTCATGATGAAGTCGCCAATGGTGATAGTGGCTTTAGGGCAGCTTACTCACCTCTGTGCCTCAGTCTCCTAGTCATAAAGTAGGGATAAAAGTAGAACCTGTTTTATAGAGTTGTGGGAGGATTAGAGGAGTGGCCAAAAGTAAAGCCTTCAGACCAGTCCTGTGATCTCAAAAACAGCCCCAGTCCAGAGGTGGGTGAGAAATTCCCTCCTATCCCACTTGGATGGGCAGGTGAGCCAACTTGGGACTTCAATGCCAGCCTTTTCCAAAGAGGCAGGGAAAAGCTATGGCCTGCTGATGGCCATGGACCTGGGAACCGATGTTGTGGCTGGTGCTCATTATCTTGATGGGGCTCCTCTGCCCCCACCCTGGCCATGCCAGAGAGTAGGGGCCCTGGCTATTTCTTGTCTGTGGGACAAAATGGAAGGAAATGTGCTTTCCCCGCCACCACCGCCATCATGCACGTGCATGTATATGTGCGCATGTGTGTTCCTTCCTTCCCCAGGGACCAACCTCTTCCTGCAGTGGCATCCCAACCATTTGTTTTTTGAGGTAACCAGCAGTGGGCAGGAGGGGGACAGGCCGCAGGCAGGGCTCTGACTCTGGCTCATTGGGTTTCTGAGTCACGTGTTAGAAGAGGCCTCAGTTGGCACAGGGCAAGGAGTTCTCTACTTGCCCACGTGAGCCCAAAGTCCAGGCTCTGGCTCTGGCTTCCTGGCCACATCGCTGACTGGTGGGCTTTGTGCCTCTGAGCAGTTCTTTGAGTCCCCTGGGATGGGGAAATCCGAGATCAGGAAGATTGAGGTTTGAGGCTAGCTGGGGAAGTAGTTCATGAAACCCCCGTTTCCAAAGTAATCAGAGCAAAATGGACTAGAGGTGTGGCTTAGGCAGTAGAGCACCTGCTTTTGCAGGCATGAAGTCCTGAATTCAGACACACACACAAAAAGAATTAAATGAGCTAATTTGTAAGGGACTCTGAGGTGCTTCTGTCACCTGGGAAGAGCTTAATGGGTGTTAACTGCTGGCTGGGATGGGAGAGGACAGAGCTGATCTGATAGGGCACGTGGCCCATAGCCTCAAGGTGTGCCCAAGTGGTGTGGCAGTCACAGCCCAGCCTGAGCTGCATTGGGGACATCTCTAGTTAATTTCAAGCAAATGTAAGCCATGTCCTCCATTCGTTCATAGAAAGGAAATATTTTGCCTTTGCTTTTTGCAGCTTTTTAGTGGGACTCAGGCGGGTAACGCTGGGGGTGCTTGTTATGCAAATCTCAGCTCATGGGACGAGGTGAACAGTGAAGGGATGGACCCTGGCAGACCCAGCAGCTGGCCTACTCAGAACCCAGCCATCCCTGGTTCATTTGCTCATTTCCTGTGCTGTGGAGGATAAGGCCAGATGGTTTGCAACCGGAGGACCATGTGACCATACCCTGGCAATGAGGAGCAAAGGGAAATGTACCCTGAAATATCCCCATGCTCCTGCCTGCCCTGTGCACCCCTGGAGGTCACATGGCAAGCAGTCACTGCCAGGAACACTGAAAGAACAAGGAGCCTGGTTCCCAGGGACATTAACTGCTGTTCCGGCCCAGGTTACCAACACCCAGACTTCTTTTTGTACCAGACAAACTCTGTTTTTCGAGGGAGAGACAGTACTGGGGTTTGAACTCCAGGCCTTTCACTTGATAGTCAGGTGCTCTAACACCAGCCCAAACCTCTTGTTTAATTACAAAAAAAACTCAGCTTGGAGTCAGCCTGCCTGGGCTTGCAACTTGGAGCTACCATATCCTTGCTGTGTGATCTTGGGCAAGCTCTCTCTGAGGCTCTGCTCTTCTCTGAAATGGGGATAATAGTTATGGTTATCTGGTAGGATTATTGTGTTAACTGGGTAATAAGGGCCAGGAGCAGCGCTCTGCACATGGTTAGCTCTTGGGGAATGTTGAATATTGATTTGTTGTTCTGGGTATCACACCTCACACATGCCAGGCACTGAGCCACACCCTGCCCGCCTATTGTGATTATTTGCTGGGCTTGGAGAAGTTCCAGAAACCTGAGCCTTTGGGAACCAAGCAGCTGAGAGACTGGGAATGTTGTGACTGTGTGGCAACTGCTTGGGACACTGGGTTTGAATACTCTATGAATACTCATGTTGGGGGTTGGAAGTTGGGTGGAGCCCAGAAAATCTGCAGTCTGCCCCACACCTTCCCAGCTTTCTCAGCCCCTTAGTGAGCTCTCTAGAGGTTCTTAGAGGACCTAGCAGCATGTGAGGTACCAGGCATCTGTCAGCCATGGGTACCCAGGTGGTTTGGGTACTGTGGGAGAAGCCTTGATGGGACTTCCTGACCTGGGAGCAGTGAGCTCCACTCCCTCTGGGTCCCCAAACACACACTGTCCACCTATCCACAGCTCTGCAGCAGGAGAGTTTCCACGATAGCTGCCTGATGCATCTCCACGAGCCTCAGTTTACCTGTAAAGACCACCCTTCAGTCTAGCCTTGATTACTCAATGGCTCCTCACTCTGGGCCTGTGCTAGGCACTGGAATTAAATGAGGACAAGCAACCTGGACTCCTGCCCACAGGTAGAATGGGTGAGGAAGAGAAGGTGGGACCCAGAGCTCCAAGCAATCCAACAGCAGAATGAGGGAGCCCTGCCAACCTGGGCTCCACCCCTCAGAGCTGGCCAGGCATGCAAGGAAGAAAGACACTGCGTAAGAACCAACAGAACCACCAAGAAACAGGCCCAGGAAGACTGATGAAGAACTGATGATAAAGTCAGGCTTGTGCCAGGTCCCAGTAGCTCATGCTTGAAATCCTAGCTACTTGGGAGGCTGAAATGGGGAGGATTGCAATTCAAGGCCAGCCCAGGCAAATAGTTGAGACCCCCATCTCCAAAATAACCAGAGCAAAATGGACTGGGTGTGGCTCAAGTGGTAGAGTGTGTTGTATGAAGCCTGAGTTCAAACCCCCAGTCCCACCAAAAAAAAAAAAAGTGTTCACTTTGGCAGCACGTATGCTAAAAAATTGGAACTATGCAGAGAAGATTAGCATGGCTCCTATGCAAGGATGACACGCAAATTCATGAAGCATTCCATATTTAATTTAAAATGAAGCATAGTGGCCACACCTATAATCCCAGCCACTAGGGAGGTGGTGGAGGAGGAAGAGGATCTCAAGTTTTAGGCCTGGCAAAGAGACCCTATCTCAAAAACAAAGAGTTGGTGGTGTGGCTCAACAGTGTAAAGCACTTGCCTTGCCTGCACGCATGAGGCTCTGGATTCCATCCCAGCACAGAAACAAAAACCAAAACGGAATGAAGAGACCTTTCCCATGCCCTTTTTCCCTCTCCTTCCTGTCCACAGACAGCAGCCCGCTCGTGGGCAGCCCGCCCAGCAGCTATGGGACCCTGACGATAGAGACATCAATCGATCCCCTCAGCTCCTCAGTTTCATCCGTGGTAAGTGGGCAGAGTAGGTAGGTGGGTTCTGCCTGGGCCTCTGCCCCGACCCCCACTCCTGCGCACCCACCTCCTCCCCGTCCACAGAGGCTCAGCGGCTACTGTGGCAGTCCATGGAGGGGCATCGGCTATCACGCCGTGGTCTGGATGCTGGCCGGGATCCCTTGGCTGCTGTTCCGCTGGAAGCCCTTGTGGGCCGTGCGCCTGAGGCTCCGGCCATGCAGCCTGGCGCACGCAGAAACACTCGTCATCGAAACAAGAGACAAAGAGGTGAGCAGCCAGCCCAGGGCTGGGACTCTCAGCCCAGTGCCACCACTTCCCATGGGGCTCACCTGTGGCCTTGACATCAGCCTGGGAGGGCAGGAGTCTGACCCAGAGCTGAGGCCACGCTTCTGTATTCCAGGATAGCTCCTGGCAGCTCTTCACTGTGCAGGTGCAGACTGAGGCCATCAGTGAGGGCAGGTGCGCAGCCCACAGCCCTTCCAGAACCCCCTGCTTCCCTCCACATGCCCCTGATACCGGTGCCTCCATCCCAGGGAGGGGCAGTAACCCTCAGTCCCTCTCCAGCTTGGAGCTGCCCCATCAAGCTCAGACAGAGGATGGCCGGAGCCAGGTGGCTATTGGGACAGTACCAGAGGGCACATGGAAGGACACTGCCCAGCTCCATGGGCAAGAGGAGGCAGTGAGTGGACGCCTGGGTTCTGGGCCAGTCCTTGCCCCTCCCTGGGCCTCAGTTTCACGCTCTTGCCATGGGAGGGTTGGGCTCTGTGTGCTCCACACCTCTGGCTGTGCTGTCCCACACATCCCGTATGCTGTCTGACCTCTATAAAAGGGCCCTGTGACATTGGCCCTGAGTGCTTCCCTGACCCCAGCACAAGTGGTCCTCTTGGGGTTGGGCTGCCTCCCACCAGCCTCTCTTCTCCCACCCAGAAGCGGGTGCTGCGGTACTACCTCTTCCAGGGCCAGCGCTACGTGTGGATTGACAGTCAGCAAGCCTTCTGCCAAGTCAGGTAGGAGCCAGAGTGGTGTGACTCGTGCCACTCCTCTAAATGGCACTGATTTGGCCACCAGAGAGCACAGTGTATGTGGGCTGATGAACCTTGGGCCACTGACTAAGCCTCTTCAGGCCAGGGGCCGCTTTGTAGGGTCCTTTTGAGAGTGAAGTGTAAGAACTCCCTTTTGGCCCCAGGTGCCACACCACTGTGAGCCACACTCTGGACTTGCATGATCAGCTTGGGTTTGGTCCCTGCTCTGCTTATGTGTACTAGTCTGAGTCCCTCAAGCAGAGCCAAGAAGAGACTGAAGTACAGAGTAGGTAACCCCAGGTGTTCCTGGGGAAGTTGCAGGGGAGTCATTGCTATCTAGCTGTTTGCCACTGTCAGCACTAGGAGCTTGCTCTTCCCCCCCCCCCACCCCGAGATCTCTTTGGGCTGATGCATAGCACATACTTCAGGATGACCTCCCCCAAAGAGCAAGCGGGCCAGGGATGCTTATGCATCGGCTTCAACTGTATGAGTTGTGCTGCTCTAGGGACATGCAGGCAGGTTGTCCCCTGGACCTCAGCTTTCCCATCTAGGCACTTGGTAGAAAGGACTGACTGGCTGAAGTGTGAACTCTTCTACACTTGGAGCTGTCTTGGGCTCATGGGCAAGGCAGGCTTATACAGGTAGGATAGCCCTCCAGAAAAGACAGGTTTCTGCAGGAAGCTTCTGTGCCTCGCATGGTTGGAGTAGGGGGGGTGTCAGGGATAGACTGGCACCATTAGCCTCTGCTGCTCAATAAGGACGACCACAGAACTTGCCGACAATTGTCATTTAGTGAGTGTCGGGCACTCCAAAACCGTCTGTATTTATGTTATCTCATTCAGTCTTCCCACAGCCCAACAAGGTAGGCACTGCCATTGCCCTGTTTTCCAGAGGAGAAAACTAAGGCACAGAGAGGTTAAGTGACTTGCCTAAGGTATGTCAGTGTAAATAATGTCCTTGTCACTAAAGGATAGCTACTGTTGCCGCTGATAATGTCATTTCATTGTTTCCCTTTCTGGATAAGACATTCGGGGCCCAGCGAGAGGAACAAAAGGAGAAAGTTGGGCCCATTGCTCTCTTCGTGGAGCTTAGTGTGGTAGAAGAGGCCTGGATCCCTGAGTCCATAGTCTACAGGGGATGGGGGGATACAGAACTCAGGCCCTGTCACCTATACAAGTATCCCTTCCCCAGCCTGCTGGATCACGGCCGCAGCTGTGATGACATCCACGGTTCCCGCTCTGGCCTCAGCCTCCAGGACCAAACCGTGAGGTGGGTGCCACACTAGGCCCAGGTGCCCCCAGAACTGGTGCCTCATGTGACTGCTTTCCAGTTGGTGCCTTCTCAGGGCCATGGTTTCCTCAGAGAAAAATGGGAGGGTCCAGCTGCCACAGCCATCTGACGGCTTTACTCCCTCCCCTCTTACAGGAAGACCATTTACGGCCCCAACGTGATCAGCATACCAGTCAAGTCCTACCCACAGCTCCTGGTGGATGAGGTAGAGCTGCCCCTGGATCTTACCCATACCAGCTGTCCCTTTCTTGGTAGTGGACTGTGTCCGCATCAGCTCAGCCAGTGAGACAAAGTCCAGGATGCGGGGGGTCCACTCAAGGCATGGGCCAGGACTGGGGTGCAGCCTGCAGGGTGGCCAGTAGGCAAATACACACAGCTCAAGCGCCAACCATGTGCCAGACAGCCTGCCCTGGAGCTTGGGTTCTGCCTGTGCTCTGTCCTCATGTTCTGCCAGAGCCTTGTGACAGGGACAGGAACTGCCTTCTGTTCATACAGAAGAAACCCAGACTTCAGAGTGGGGACAAGACATGGCCAAGTCACACAGGGACAAAGGGAACACCTCTAGAGTGAACTGTTCTCATCCAGCCCTCTGTCCTGGTGGCAGCCACCATGAGAGGAAGAGACCATGGGGTCTGGCCATTGTCACTGTAACCAGAGCCTGCTTCTCAGGCGCTGTGCGATTCTTCACCTTTCTGTGCCTCAGTTTGCTCATCTGTAAAATGAAGTTGATGGTGACATCCACCTTGTAGAATTGTCATTACCATTGTATGATAAGTGCTTAGCAGGGGCATAGCATGTGGGGAGCCCAGCAACGCTGTCCTCTTTAAAGTAGCAAAGCTGTGGCTTAGGGGACATCTGCTGAGGTAAGATGAGACTGAGCAGATGGGCCTGGCTTCTGTTCTTTGGCAGTCCCCATGGCCTGTGGCTGGGCTGCCTGGTAACACAGGTCCTCATGCTACCTCATGCCCCTCCCCAGGCACTGAACCCCTACTATGGGTTCCAGGCTTTCAGCATTGCACTGTGGCTGGCTGACCACTACTACTGGTACGCCCTCTGCATCTTCCTCATCTCCACCGTCTCCATCTGCCTGTCACTGTACAAGACCAGAAAGGTAAGCATGGGAGGTGAGGGCTGGGCAGGAGTGTGGGTAGTGTCCCCAAGGGGCTACCACCCACCAGTCACTTTTTGTCCCCCTGCCACAGCAAAGCACAACCCTGAGGGACATGGTCAAGCTGTCTGTGCGGATGCGAGTATGCCGGCCTGGGGGAGGTGAGGAGCCTAGCAGGGAGGGAGTCTGGGAGGCGGCTAGTGTCAAGCCCCACTGACCCCCTTCTGCCCACAGCGGAGGAATGGGTCGACTCCAGTGATCTGGTGCCTGGAGACTGTCTGGTGCTGCCCCACAAGGGTGGCCTGATGCCCTGTGATGCTGCCCTGGTAACTGGCGAGTGTGTGGTCAATGAGAGCTCTCTGACAGGTGAGCCCCAGTCCCTAGCCCCTTTCCCTGCCACCCAACCCTTTGCCTTGCATCAGAAGTTTTAGCTTGCGTTTTCTTTTCCTTTCAAGAACAGTCCTGGTCTCAGTGCTTGCTAATCCCACATCTTAGCACTGGGTCACTTAACCTCTCTGAGCCTCAGTTTCCCTTCTGTAAAATGGGGCTTTCAGTCACTCCAGGATAGTGTGTGCAGATCATGCATCCAACATGTGTGAACTTTCCACAGCAATGTCTACCTAAAGGCCTAAACTCCAAACCATGTAGGAGAATGTGGCACACAGGGGTCCCAGTTCACCCCCCACTGCAGAGCAGCTACTGAGAAGGTTTCAGTGTCCTTCCACATCTTTCCCTGTGTATTTATGTACTGTGGCTTGGAGCGGACTTGATAGTGATGATATCTGATTGTGAATCCCCAGCCAGTGCAGACAGCACCACTGTGAGTGGCCTTGTCCTATACTTCTGTTGATATACCCAAGAGTTGTCTGTGAGCCAGACACCAGTGGCTCACACCTGTAACCCTAGCTACTTGGGAGCCTGAGGTCAGGAGGATCGAGGTTGGAGACCAACCCAGGGAAATAGTTTGTAAGACCCCATCTACAAAATAACTGGAGCAAAATAGACTTCAGATGTGTCTCAAGCAGTAGAGCACCTGCTTTACAAGCACAAAGTCCTGAGTTCAAACCCCAGTCACACCAGAAAAAAGCCAGGTGTAGTGGCACACACCTGTAATACCACAACTCATGAAGCTGAGGCAGGAGGATCATGAGTTTGAAGGCCAGTCTAGGATACATAGTAAGACATTGGCTCAAAAAAAAAAAAATTATTTCTCTGAGATGTGTTAAATCTTGGTGGTAGATACTGGTTAGCATTAACTACAAAACACGATACAGTAGTTTTTTTTTAAATCGCCTAAATAGACTGTTACAAGCAATGAAATTGAAGCAGTAATAAGGAGACGTCCTACAAAGAAGAGCCCAGGACCTGATGGATTCACAGCTGAATTTTACCGAACCTTTAAAGAAGAACTAACACCAATACTCCTCAAACATTTCCAGGAAACAGAAAGGGAAGGAACACTACCAAACTCATTCTATGAAGCCATCGTCACTCATTCCAAAACCCAGCAAAGATGCAAGCAAAGAAGAAAATCTTAGACCAATATCTTTAATGAATATAGACATAAAGATTCTCAACAAAATACTGGCAACACACCAACAAGATCACACACTGTGAACAAGTCAGTTTCATTCTGGGGATGCAAGGATGGTTCAACATACAAAAATCTATAAATGCAATACAGCACATAAACAGAACAAGGACAAAACCCACATGATCATCTCAATAGATGCAGAAAAAGCCTTTGATAAAACTCAATACCCTTTCATGATAAAAGCTCTGAAGAAACTAGGAATAGAAGGAATATTCCTCAACACAATAAAGGCTGTATATAACAAACCTAGAGCCAACATCATACTAAATGGAGAACGACTGAAACCATTTCCCTTAAAGTCAGGAACGAGACAAGGATGCCTGTTTTCTCCACTCCTATTCAATATAGTTTTGGAATTCCTAGCCAGAGCAATAACTCAAGAGTAAGAAATTAAAAGAATTCAAATAGGGAAGGAAGAAGTCAAGCTGTCCCTATTTTCAGATGACATGACCCTAAAAAACCCTGAAAAGACCCTAAAAACTCTACCAAAAAATTTATTAGAAATCATAAACTCTTTTACCAAAGTAATAAGATATAAAATTAACATATGGAAATCAGAAGCCTTCCTATATACCAACAGTGAACAGACTGAGAAAAAAATCGGGGAAGCAGTCCCATTTGCAATAGCCTCAAAAACAATAAAGTACCTTGGAATAAATTTAATGACGGGAACCTAAGACGTTTTTAATGAGAACTATAAACCACTGAAGAGAGAAACTGAAGAAGACATCAGAAGATGAAAAGATCTCCCATGTTTGTGAATTGGTAGAATAAACATTGAAAATGGTCATACTCTCAAAAGCAATTTATATGTTTAATGCAGTCCCTATCAAAATTCTGATGATATTCTTCACAGAAATAGAAAAATCCTGAAATTCATACGGAAACACAAAAGACCTCGAATAGCCAAAGCAATTCTGAGTAAAAAGCTCAATGCTGGAAGTATCAAATTCCCGACTTCAAACTATACTACAAAGCCATAACAAAAACAGGATGACCAATGGATTCAAATAGAAGACGCAGACATAAACCCACACACACATCCACAATCAATTGATCTCCAATAAAGGAATCCAAAACATACAATGGAGAAAAGACAGCCTCTTCAACAAATGTTGCTGGGAAAACTGGATATCCACATGTAGAAGACTGAAACTAGATCTCTGCCTTTCACCCTGTCCCAAAATCAACTCAAAGTGGATCAAAGACCTTAATATATTAAGGCCTAATACTTTGAAACAACCCAGGGAGTCGTAGGAAATACACTGGGACATACAGGCATAGGAAACGACTTCCTAAGTAGAATTCAAAAGGCTCAGCATCTTAGAAAAACAATGAAGAAATGGTTCTGCACCAAACTAATGAGTTTCTGCACAGCAAAGGAAACAGTCACCAGATTCAAGAGACAGCCCACAGAATGGGAGAAAATCTTTGCCAGCTATTCATCCAACAAGGGACTGATATCCAGAATCTACAGGGAACTCAAAAAACTCAGTCCCCAAAGAATCAACACCCCGATGTAGAAATGGACACATGAATTGAACAGGGAATTCTCAAAGGAAGGGGTACAAATGGCTGGTAAATACATGAAGTGTTCAACTTCCCTGATTATAAAAGAGATGCAAATCAAAACAGCAGTTAGATTTCATCTCACCCCAGTTAGAATGGCCACAATCAAGGATAATAACAACAATTGCTGGTGGGGATGTGGCAAAACATGAACCTTTGTACACTGCTGGTGGGAATGCAAATTAGTACAACCACCATGGAAAGCAGTATGGAGATTCCTCAAAAAGCTAAAGATAGAACTGCCATATGATCCAGTGATACCGCTCCTGGGCATCTATTCAAAGGAATGTAGGTCGGGATACAATAGAGATACCTGTACACCGATGATCATCACAGCACTGCTCACACCAGCCAAACTATGGAAACAACCCAGGTGCCCTACAACTGAAAACAATGGAGTTTACTCAGCCATAAAGAATAATGTGGTTTGAAGGTAAATGGATGCAATTGGAGGACATCATGTTAAGTGAAGGAAGCCAGGCTCAGAAAGACAAAGCCTGGGGGCTGGAAGTGTGGCTTAAGTGGTAAAGCACCTGCCTAGAAAGTGCAAGGCCCTGAGTTCAAACTCCAGTATGACCAAAACCAAAACCACATCAGAAAGACAAGGCCTGCATGTTTTTTCTCATATGGGAACACAGATCCAAAAGATAAACATATACACAAAAACAAGCATGAAAATATACAAACTCATATGTAGAACATGTTAGTAATAGTGGAACTGCTCTGTGGAACTCGAGGACAGACGGGAAGGAAAAGAGAATGGTAGAGCATCAGTAATATAAAACAACGTCTGAAGGTAGAGGATATAAGGATGTGTACTGACAACTGTTGAAAATGGGGGGGTGGGAGGTAAAGAGGTAAGGGAGAGTAATGGAAGGGGCTGAATGGGCCAAAATCCAACAGCGGGGATACATAGAGAAACCCCTTTGAACATAAACTTAATAACAAAAGACAGGACTGTAACATAGGTGTAGTTTGGGGAGTACTTGTGGCTGGGGGGGGTGAATGAAGGGATAAAGGTGAGAGGATATATGGTGGATGGACTTCATATACTTACATGAAATAGAACACAGAAATCTCTAGCAAGTGCTTTAAGGGAAGAGGGAGGGGGTTGAGGGGGAGAGAGGGTGGGTGCGATCTAACCAATGTACAATATAAGTCGAATTGGAACTGACACTATGAATCCCCCCCTTGTATAATGAATATATCCTAATAAAAAATTTTTATAATAATAAAAGATTTTAGGATCGGTGAAGGCTCAAGCGGTAGAGCATCTGTCTAGCAAGAATGAGGTCCTGAGTTCAAACCCCATTACCATGAAAAGAAAGAGAAATTAGGCATATATAAATTTTTTTTTTTTCATGGTACTGGGGTTTGAACTCAGAGCTTACACCTTGAGCCACTCCACTAACCCTTTTGTGAAGGGTTTTTGACACAGGATCTTGTGAACTATTTGCCTGGGCTGGCTTCGAACTGCGATTCTCCTGATCTCTGCCTTCTTAGTAGCTAGGATTACAGGCGTGAGCCACTGGCTCTGGCTCCCTCATTCTTCTTACCCCCTCTGGCTCAAGTTTTTGTTTTGTTTTGTTTTTTTGGTGGGTCTGGGCTTTGATCTCAGGGTTTTGTGCTTGCAAAGCAGGCACTCTAATGTTTAAGCCACACATACAGTCCATTTTGCTCTAGTTATTTGGAGATGGGGTCTTGGGAATTATTTGCATGGACTGGCGTCCATCCCCAAGTAGCTAGGATTCAAGGCATAAGCCACCAGTGTCTGCCTGCTCAAGTTTATTCGTAGGAGAATGGTAATGAGCTAGGCATGGTGGTCACACCTGTAATCCCAGCACTCAGGAGGCAGAGGCAGGAGGATCTCAAGTTCAAGGCCAGCCTGGGCTACATAGGAAGACCCTGCTTCAAAAAGAAAAGATTGATATGGTTCATGGGTGAGTGCCAAGGCTGGCCATCCACCCACCTCTTGGAGGGCAGAGACAGAGCCTTGGCTGTCCCTGAGCTCCTCCCAGAAATGTGCATACAGTAGTCACTCAATAATCATTTCCTCACAGGCATTCAGTAAGGGATTGCTACTCTGCCCGGCAACTAGGCCAGGGCTTTATAGAGGCTGTGCTGTATCCCCCATGTAAACATCCTTTTGGGGCTGAATAATAAAAGTAATACATGTTTGTGGTAAAGTAATCCCTACAGCAGAAAGGTTCCCCCTACCCTGCCCCCAGGCCCATGTACATAGCCCTGTGTGCTTGTCCAACTCCCCAGGCTGGTTCCCAAGAACTAGCTGCCACACCCTATCTGGGATTGTCTGTGACTTTATGTCTTCTGCCCTCCCAGAGCCTCAGTGTCCCTCTCTGTAAAATGGGGCAGCGATTTCTTGTTCACACCCTGTTACACAGTTAAATGAGAACTAGACTATAGAACAATTCTGTGCACACCTCCCAGTTTGGTTGGAGAGAGGGTGGCCTGAATGGCCCCTCATGGGCCTCACACTGTGTCCCTCCCAGGGGAGAGTGTCCCAGTGCTGAAGACAGCCCTACCAGAGGGGCCCAGATCCTACTGCCCAGAGACCCATCGGCGGCACACACTCTTCTGTGGGACCCTCGTCCTGCAGGCCCGGGCCTGCGTGGGGCCCCAGGTCCTGGCGGTGGTGACACGGACAGGTACCTATCTGGAGGTGGAGGTGAATGCTGGGCTCAGAACTTCAGGAGAGGTGATGCAGGGCAGGACAGGACCTGAGCCTTGGGCCACACACACACCCCCCGCCCCCGTACCACTTCTCTGCTGTGGGATGCCAGGCAAGTCCCACCCTACTTGGGCCTCCATGTCCCCATCTTAACCGAAGTTGGGCTAGACTGTGACCATGCATTGCAGTGTCCACAGGAACCAGAAGAGATTATAAATGCTGCAAGGATGAGATGTGGCAAGCAGGGAAGAGTCCACTCTAAATCTGGTTGTCAGGGAAACTACCCCACTTCTAGATGTCAGCTATTTATGCCATTTTTAAAAACCCTGTGAGGGGATGGGCAAGGCTTGTGGGCTTGCAGGCCCAAGCCAGATGATAGCTGACCCCTTAAGCGTTACATCTTGTCACCCCAGAGGTGCCAGTGGGGTGGGCAAGACCTGTCCTAATTCCAGCTTCCCTTGCCTTGATTTCCCAACTGCTGCCAGGGTTCTGCACGGCTAAAGGGGGCCTGGTGAGCTCGATCCTGCATCCCCGGCCCATCAGCTTCAAGTTCTACACACACAGCATGAAGTTTGTGGCTGCTCTCTCTGTCCTGGGTGAGTGGATCCCTGCACCCACTCTGCCAGTGGTCCCCAGCCCAGGCCAAACCCCACTTACTCCTTGTTGTCTCCCTAGCTCTATGTGGCACTGTTTACAGCATCTTCATTCTCTACCGAAACCGGGTAAGCCCTGGGGCCAGGAGGGACTTCCTGCAGGTGGGTCTGACCCAGCCAGCTCTCACTCTGTTCATGGTGCCTCCTGCCAGGTGCCTCTGAACGAGATCGTGATCCGGGCTCTGGACCTGGTGACTGTGGTGGTGCCACCTGCCCTGCCAGCCGCCATGACTGTGTGCACCCTCTATGCCCAGAACCGGCTGCAGACCCAGGGCATCTTCTGCGTCCACCCGCTGCGCATCAACCTGGGGGGCAAGCTGCGGCTGGTGTGCTTTGACAAGGTTGGGAGCCACGAGTGGGCGGGCTGACTGGGGGGGCAGGGCTGGCCACAGACACCCTCAGAGTGAGCCTGCTGGGCACTGAGTCCCATACAGGCACGGAAACCCTTGGGGGACCCCATCCTCCACCTTACTCCTCCCCTCACCTGCTCCTGTTTGGTACATGAGATGTCTGAGATCATTTACTCACTTGCTCAAGAACTGTTGAGGCCTTGCCTCCTGGGATCCAGCAGTGACCAGCACAGATGTCTTCACAGAGACTGGTGTGTGTGTTCCCATTGAGTTAGGGACCAAGTACTGCAGAGAGGTGCAGTGGGCCACAGGGGCTAAGGAGGAGCCAGTGGGTCACCTTGATGGACAGTTAAGGGGAGTGCTCTTTGAGAGAGGGCAGTCAAGGGCAGAGGGCAGTCACAGATGGCTGCTCTGTGCAGGTCTTGCAGAGGGCGGGCAGGGAGTCACATGGCTCCTGAGGGACAGACAGACAGTATGCCTAGAGCACAGCAAGCGAAAGGGGCGAAAGGGGTGACAAGGCAAGATCAGGTGGGCAGTGCTTTTAATCAGCAGGACCATTGTCTGGCTATATTGGGAGCATAAGCTGAGGAGGGGAACTGTAGGCTCACAGCTCCCAGGCTACTTGAGGAAGTGCTGTGTAAGAGGGTAGTTGGAGTCCTGTACGGGAAATGCACTATTCATTTGCTCATTCATTCATTCATTCATTTATTCATTCATTCAGCAAGTGGATCAAGTGCTGGCCCAGGCCAGCTCCTCTAGGTTCTATAGTGAGCAGATCTAGGGGAAGCAAAGACACATGGGTAGGAGCCCATACAAGGATCCCTGCCCTGAGCTGGGGCGTTAAGATTTCCTGGAGGCAGTAGGGTGAGAGAGTGACACATGCAGAGGGCCTGGAAGTAAAAAAGGGCCTCTTGTGGCTCCAGCTGTGGCTTTTGCAGTCCCAGGGGACCTGCCTGGCCTGGGGTGTGGCTGCTCAGCTCGACAGGGCTCATTCCTGTCTCCCACAGACAGGCACCCTCACAGAAGATGGCTTGGATGTGATGGGAGTGGTACCCTTGAAGGGGCAGGTGTTCCTGCCGCTCATCCCAGAACCCCGCCACCTGCCCATGGGGCCTCTGCTCCGAGCACTGGCCACCTGCCATGCCCTCAGCCGACTACGGGACACACCGGTGGGTGACCCCATGGACCTCAAGATGGTGGAGTCTACTGGCTGGGTAAGGAGGACAAGCACAGCAGCTGGGCCTGACGACACCTACCTTGTCCTCTTCCTAGGTCTCCTAGAGTGGTCTCTGTCACACCCACCATCTATGGTAATGGTGACAAAGCCTTGTGCTGAGTTCCTACTGTGTGGTGACCCTCCATTGCATAGGGCTTATCTTACTCCTGCCCTGGCCCTAGCAAGTTTAAAACCTGCTTTACAGAGGGGAAACTGAGACCAACAAATTTGAATAACTTGCCCAAGGTCATTCCATAATTTATAAGTGCCAAAGCCAGAATCTGAATTTGAGTCTACCTGACTTCAAAGCCCGTGTTATTCCACACCATGACATCTCCTGTGAAGGAAGCCTTCCATGCATCTCCCTCAAGTCTCTCCTGCTGCCTCTCTGTGGGCCAAAGACCCTGGTTCCCAACCTCCTCTTATGCCTTCCCAGATCCTAGAGGAAGGGCCGGCTGCAGACTTGGCACCCAGGAATCAGGTGTTGGCAGTGATGCGACCCCCACCTCGGGAGCCCCAGCTTCCTGAAATGGTGAGCTGCCAGTGACAGTGGGCGTGGGGCCCAAGGAGTGGCCTCCACCACCAGCTCCTCTCCCACCCCACAGGAGGAACCCTTGGTACCAGTCAGTGTCCTCTGCCGCTTCCCCTTCTCTTCTGCCCTGCAGCGTATGGACGTGGTGGTGACATGGCCAGAGGCCACCCAGCCCGAGGCCTACGTCAAGGGCTCTCCGGAGCTGGTAGCCAGCCTCTGCAGCCCTGAGTCAGGTGAGGGGTGGTGCAGGCCCAGAGTTCAGGGGGTGGGTGTGGCAGAGCGAGCTGGATTCCAGTCTGTCCCCACCCTGTGCTCCAATGAGACCCCTCTCTCCACAGTGCCCAGCGACTTCGCCCAGGTGCTGCAGAGCTACACCGCTGCCGGCTACCGTGTTGTGGCCCTAGCTGGCAAGCCACTGCCCATTGTACCCACCCTGGAGGCCGCCCAGCAGCTGACAAGGTGAGCCCATCTCAGTGGCTGGGAGAGAGGCCTTGACATTGCATGATCTCTGACCCTGGTCTGCCTACCCTCTAGGGCCACTGTGGAGCAGGAGCTGAGCCTCTTGGGGCTGCTGGTCATGAGGAACCTGCTGAAGCCACAGACAACACCCGTTATCCAGGCTCTGAGGAGGACTGATATCCGCACTGTCATGGTGACAGGTACCAGGCCGTGGGCCCTGAGCTAGGAGGGCAGAGCAGAGAGGCACACAGCATCCCCTCCAGGGCCTTCTCAAACATTCTACAGTGTCCCTCACAAATGCAGTTGTCTCCCTCATTTGACAGATAAAGAAACTGAGGCTCAGCAGTGGAGTGACTTCCTAAGAACCATGCATGGTATAAGACAGCCTGGGTTGTAGCCTGGCTGCTCACCTGCTGGGTGACCTCTCTAGTTCCAGATTCCATCTCTGAGAAGTAGGGAGAATGATGTCAGGCTGTCAAGATCAAAAGCTGTGACAATCTCACAGAACAAGAGAGATTCTAGCTGGAGTGAAACAGCAGGAGCTAGTAGGTCTATGTCCTTTTCCTCAAGCATTGCAGCCCTCCACGCATGCATGCAAGCATGTACACACACACAGTGCCATGTGCACTGTCCCACAAAGTCACACAGCAGCACGCTGTATCTGGAGTTCCAGCCCAGTCCCTACAACACTTCAATGCCTAGTTTTGCCAGTGATAAAGCTGAGGTGCAGAGCCATGGCTAGTTTGCCCAAGCTCGCTCTGCCAGTAATGGAGGATGCATCTCCTCAATATTCCTATCTGTAAGGATCAGGGTGAGCAGGGCCCTTGGACAGCACTAGATTCTGACCTCCCCATCATACCCCCAGGGGACAACCTGCAGACGGCAATCACGGTGGCCCAGGGCTGCGGTATGGTGGGCCCCCAGGAGCGTCTGGTCGTTGTCCATGCCACCCACCCTGAGCAGGGACAGCCTGCCTCCCTTGAGTTCCTGCCAGTGGAGTCCTCTGCAGCCATGAATGGGACTAAGGTAAGATCAACCCAAAGTTCCAGCTGTACCACCAGTGACCCTACTTCTGTGTCACCTCACCCAGGCCCCAGTTCTCCAGGATGGGCAGAAAGAGCTAAGCTAAACTTCTTGGGTTTCCAGAGTCCTGTCCAGGCCGCAAGCTACACTATGGAGCCACAGCCCCAGTCCAGCCACCTGGCACTCAGTGGGTCCACCTTTGGTGTCCTTAGGAAGTACTTCCCCAAGCTGTTGCCCAAGGTAGGGCTGCCCCTCAGCCCCCCTGCCTTCCCCTGCTCTCTGCTTTGGAGGGCTGCCTCAGCTCTGCCCTCCCTGCACTCCAGGTCCTGGTCCAGGGCACTGTCTTTGCCCGCATGGCCCCTGAGCAGAAGACAGAGCTGGTGTGCGAGCTGCAGAAGCTCCAGTGAGTGCCGTGCAGTGGGGGTTGTGAGGGCCTGCACGTCCATCCTCCTGCCCTGTCCTTTCCCATCCCCTCGAACATTAGAGAGCCGCCACCCTCAAGAAGCACCCAGACTGGGCTAGAAGTGCCACTCATTGGTAGAGTGCTTACCTGGCCTGCACGTGGCCCTGGGTTCCATCCCAGTACAAGAAAGAGAAAGTAGCACCCAAGCAGGCTCTCCCAGCTCTGCCCTGCCAAAAATTGTCACACCTGTTTTCTGAGCACAGCGGGGGCCCAGCCATCACTGTATTCTGCTAGCAAGCCTGGGAAGGGGGGCAGTCATTTCACAGGCCACCCCTTCTGTCAGGTACTGCGTGGGCATGTGTGGGGACGGTGCCAATGACTGCGGGGCCCTGAAGGCGGCCGATGTGGGCATCTCGCTGTCACAGGCTGAGGCCTCAGTGGTCTCGCCATTCACCTCCAACATGGCCAGCATTGAGTGTGTGCCCATGGTCATCAGGTAAGGCAGGCATGGCTGGAGGGTGAGGCAGGACCAGTCAACTTGCCTGCACCCCTGATGCCATTCCTGCTACCTAGGGAAGGTCGCTGTTCTCTAGACACATCATTCAGTGTCTTCAAGTACATGGCCCTGTATAGCCTGACCCAGTTCATCTCGGTCCTGATCCTCTACACGGTGAGCAAAGCAGAGCTGCAGGCCCAGAGCTGTGCCAGGCCCAGGGAGGAGATGTGTGGTGTGGGCCCAAACCCTGGCTCTGCCACTTTCCAGCTGTGACGTGGGCAGTGAAGTTCACTTGAGATGAAGGCGCTGAGCACAGAGCCCAGTGTGCAGCAGGCCCTTAAGAATGGCAGCAGCTGTCATAGGCCAACAACTTGTCCCTAATTCCAGGGAAGACTGAGGCATAGCCCAGCAGGAACCCAGTCCCCAGCCCCTTTCCCATGATTCATGTTTGCCCAGCCCATCTACTCTGCCCCAGTCCTTGCTCTGCTGGAGGGCACCTTCCCCCCTTCCCACTCTAAGCCTGCCCTGCCCGCCCCCCACTGAATGCAGGTGATGCGTGGGGCAGATCTTGTTCTGCCTGTCCCTAAGCCCACCTTAAAGCTAAGAGCTTCCTGAGAGCAGGGACCATTAGTCTCCCAGTCACCTAGAGGTCCCACAAAGCTGAGCTTTATCTCCATCAGGCCAGGGGTTTGCTGCATGTGGGAGCATCTCCCCCGTCAGATTTAGGGCCCCTAGGTCACACTAGAGGCAGGAGTGCTTCCAGCATCTGATCAGCCCCCATTGGGCTACGGTTCTCAGGGTTAGGTGTGTAAAGGAAGGGGCCTCCCCTGACACTGTGCTGGGGCAGGTCTCAGCTCCCCCTCTGTTCTTTCTCACTTGCTGCAGATCAATACCAACCTGGGTGATGTGCAGTTCCTGGCCATCGACCTGGTCATCACCACCACGGTCGCAGTGCTCATGAGCCGCACGGGGCCTGCACTAGCACTAGGGCGAGCACGGCCACCTGGGGCGCTGCTCAGTGTGCCAGTGCTGGGCAGCCTGCTGCTGCAGGTAGCCCTGGTGGCCAGTGTTCAGGTGGGGGGCTACTTCCTGGCTGTAACCCAGCCCTGGTGAGTAGCGTACACACAGCCTCCCCCCTCTCCACCCCTGCTTCCTCCACCCCACAGTCCTTCCCTGACCTCAGCCCCTGGCTTCCCAGGTTTGTGCCTCTGAACAAGACGGTGCCAGCACCTGACAACCTGCCCAACTACGAGAACACAGTTGTCTTCTCTCTGTCCAGCTTCCAGTACCTCATTCTGGCCGTGGCTGTGTCCAAGGGGGCGCCCTTCCGCCGGCCAGTCTATACCAACGGTGCTGCTGCAGGGTGGGGTGGGGGCATGGCTGGGCCAAAGGGAGGCAGCTGGGGTGGAGAGGGGACACGGAGTGGAGAGAGAGAGAGAGAGAGAGAGAGAGAGAGAGAGAGAGAGAGAGAGAGAGTGTGTGTGTGTGTGTGTGTCTGTCCCTGGGTGTGACTTCCTCTCTGACAGACTCCCCCACCCCCAGTGCCCTTCCTGGTGGCCCTGGCGCTCTTGGGCTCTGTCCTGGTGGGCCTCATCCTGGTCCCCGGCCTCCTGCAGGGGCCGCTAGGGCTGAGGAACATCGAGGACACCTGCTTCAAGCTGCTGCTTCTGGGCATGGTCGCCTCGAACCTTGTGGGAGCCTTCTTGCTGGAGGTGGGGCCTGCCCTGGTGGTGGCACGGGGAGATCCTGGGGGACCAGGCCCCAGCTGCCCCTCCATGCCCTCCCTGCCCTCTGCAGAGCATGCTGGACCAGTGCCTGCCCCCTTGCCTGCGGTGGCTCCGGCCCAAGCGAGCCTCCAAGAAGCGCTTCAAGCAGCTGGAGCAGGAGCTTGCAGAGGAGCCCTGGCCACCACTGCCCACAGGCCCCATGAGGTAGCGCAGGCCTTGGGGCACACTGGACACTGCATCTTCCTGCCTCTGAGCCGCGACTGGAGTTGTCTCTGGAGACCGCCATCACCTCCCATGGCCCCGTGGCTGGCTGTTCTCACACTCCTGCCCTGAGACTGCTTGGCCCAGCCCTTCCCACTCCCACCCTGGGGAAGAGTTGACTGTTGTCCCCACTTTAGACAGTCCCATGTAGAGATAGCAGCCACCAACTCCGCTTGGAACTGCTGTCCGTGTAGCAAATAAAGTGGTGATATTTTCCTGGCTTACCATGCCTGTCCACATCTGGGCACTGAGCAATTTGGACCTCCCCACACCTCCTAGGGGCCAGCTGGCATGAATGCTCCTGGCAGTCCTGATTTTTCAGATCACACTGGGTTATTCCCCTCTTTGGGCCTCCACTTCCTCCTCTGACAATATTTCCTGCACGCTGTATAGTATCTTAAACGTACAGTCATTTAGTGCCGGCACTATCCCCACTTCATGGTTAAGGACACTGAGGCCTAGAGGTCACACCAGCAGCCAGCAGTGGGGCCGGTCGCTCTGTCTTCAGCTTCACTATTAGCCCTCCTGCCTCCCTGGGGGAGGAGGTGCAACCAGTTTGCCTCAGGCCTGCAAGAGAGTGCCAGTGTGCCCGAGCCTCTGCTCTCTCCCTCTGGCTGCCGCATCCTCAGCTGTTTGTGGTCTGGTTCTTCCCTCAGATAAAATGCAGGCTCTGAGCCCAGGTCTCCCAGCCAGACCTACATACACTGCCTCTTGGGAAGGGTGGGTGCATCTGACCTCATCCCATCAGTGGGCCACCAGCCAAGCCCCTCTGCTCTGGAGATGTAACTTGGCCTGCCTCCCCGGGCAGGGAAGGACAGAAAAGAGAGGCTGTTTTCTGCCTCCCAAGCCCCAGACAACCTCATTACTGGAAGCCTGATACAGTCCCTAGACTGCCATGGTCGGAGCACAGGAAATGTTGAGTCAAGCTGGGTAGAAGGGGTGGGGCTGTGCAAAGGTAGTGTGTGACATCAGGCATATCCCGGTGCGGACCTGCATTAGATACTGTGACAGCCAGTGACAGGTCAGGGTGGTAAATGCTGTTTAAGTGGAGCATGTTACAGTGGACATAGGTCTGGGTTCAAATCCCTCCTTTACCCTTAGCAGACCACCCATGAATCCATTGGGCAGGCTGTGCCCAGGCTTAGGGGACACAGCAGTGAACAAATGTCTCACCCAGTGGTAGCTCCTAACCCAACATGGGGCTAGTTGGGTGGACAAATGCCAAGGGCACAGTTGGAAAAGAGCAACCACATAACTCCTCCCCAACAGCTACAGCTCTGCTTGGGTCCTTAGGGCCAGAAATGTGGGCAGAACAGCAGAGAGGATCCCAGAACCAGGACAAGAGTTAAGGCAGCTTTGGGTCTCAGTCTCCCCTTCTGTCAGCCACAGGAGACAGCATTTCTGCTGGGTGGTTTATCCTCCTGCCCCAGTGGGATTGGCTCATGAAGGGCTGAGGGCAGGCTGGGTTGCCCCAGTCCACTGCTGGCTGGACTGAAGGGAGAGTGGGGAGGAGAGGGATATTCATTTGTTTGACAAACCAGCACTGGGGGACAAATGCAAAGCACATATTTCGTCTTGTGGGGAGCAGCAGACAGGCCCACAAAAGACATTTACGAGGGGGAAGTGGTGGGGTGTTGGACTGAAAGCAAGGGGCTGAGGGCAGGAGAGGAAGTCTGCCTAATGGAAGGAATGGTTGCCCCACTTCCCAACCCTCACACCCCAGGCAGGACTCTGGACACCTCTGAGAGCTGGGTCTGGGGGAAGAGTTGGGAATTTGGATTTGAATGTGGTGTGCCATTGGGACATTTGTGGGGCCAGGCCCAGTGGCCCATGGGATATAGTGAGACCCTGTCCCTTGCTGGTTAGAGAAAACAGCTATGTGTGGACCTGGGTTGCTGCACAGAAGGAGGGCTGGCCAAAGAGATCCAGAAGCAGGAATACCAAGCCTCAAGGGTGTCCTGAGAGCCGGCGGGAGAGCAGGGCTGCCTTTCTAGTTGAGTGGCCTGGGTGACTGTCCTTGGGGAGGCCGGCCTGGCCCACTGGGACCCTGCGGGAGGTCCAGGAAGAGGAGGAAGTCCTTTTTAATGCCAGGCGACGTGAGGACAGCTCCACGGCGCCTCCGCCCGCAGTCTCCCCCCCACCAGAAGGAGGCTGGAGCCCCGAGGGCGCGGCGCGGCGTGGCGGCCTGGGCAGCGCCGCTCGCGTTAGGACCCAGCGGCTCCGGGGCTGGAGGCGGGCGCCGGCCCGTCGGGGGCCGGAGGGGGGCTCGGCGGGCAGAGGGGCGGCTCGGCGGGCGCACTCGGAGCGCGGCCACTCGGAGCGCGGCGCAGTGGCCGGGACAGGTAGGTGCCGGCCTGGCACTCGGGGGGCCCGAAGCACGCAGTGGCGGGGGGGAGCCGGGCGCTCGGGACCCCCGATCCTGGGGGCAGCTGCGGGGACCCTGAACCCGGGGCCTTAGAGCGGATGCTAGGGGACCACCTGGAAAGTTTGGGTGCGGTCGCTTTGGGAGAGGACGCGAGCTGGGCAGGGCGAGGGCCCCGAGCTTTTGTGGGGGTGTCGGGGGGCGGGGCGGCTTTTGTACTGCGGGGAGTTGGAATGCCGCGGGCGGGGCGGGGGTCGAGCGGGGGCGGGGAGCGGCCGAGACAGAGACGCAGAGACAAAGAGAGACCCGGGCGGGAGCGGCAGGCAGCGCGCCCCGCGCAAGTTTCCGCGGCTGATTGTTCCCAGCTGTGCCGCGGCGCGCAGCATCCATCTGGCGTCCTCCCGCTGGGTCCCCAGCATGGCCTCCAGACCCGGCAGAGCCCTCCCTGGTCTGAGCCCGTGTCGGGGCCCCATGTCCCTCGCCACCCAGGACCGCAGAGGAGAGGGAAGGCTGCAGATGTGGAAGGGGTCAGAGGAGGGCGGGACAGCCTGCCTCTGTGCTTGGAGATGCGGTCCCCTGGGAGGGATCCATCACTCTCCCCTGTACGCCTACTGCTAGCCCGTGGGGCCCTTCCCCCCCCCAATAAGCTGGGTGCCAATCCTGGGGAGGAAGACCTCCTGCAGGGCCCGAGAGTCACCCCCTAATCTCCTGAGTCTCCTCCTGAAAGGGTGACTGCCCCAGGGGGCTTGGAGCTGCCAGCCTGGGTGTGGAGGATGGTGGTCCCCTACCATGAGGAGGCCTCCAGTTCTCAGAGTGGTGGGGCTGTGGGAGCCCAGCCCCCAGCCCAGCCCACCTCAGTGAGATACTGAATGCTGGAGATGAGTAGGGGAGACAGAGAAGCCTGGGGTTGGGAGGAACTGGGGACCTCTGTTCCCTGCCCTCTCCCTAGATTCCCTAGGACAGAGAGGGCCCCTCCTGGATGGATGAGCCCCTGGGCTCTGTCCTCACAGCCCTCACCACAGTAGGCTGACAGTCTTGAGGCCACCCTCTACTGAGGGCCTGACATGGGGACCTGCAGGCTCCGCCAAATCCACTATGTAGCCAAGTCTAGAGGCTGGACTTGACCGATTCCTGAATGTCAGAGACCCGGTGAAAGCCATGGACCAGTGCCCTCAACCAAAGAATGACACACTTGTCCTACAATGTCCCATGGTGCAGACCCCTGGGCTGGGTGACATCACCATGCTTCCAGTACCCCATGCCAGGGTCCAGAGGAGCACTCGTCAGGCTCCATCCTCCCTAAGTGCTTCCTGCTGCTGCAAACAGACCTTAGTCTCGTGAGTGGGGATGAAGACAGCCAGGTCTGGGGAGGCCTGGGGCCTGGCAGGAGAGGAGTCTTCTGAGGGCTGGGAGCCCTGCCCAGCCTTGACTGTGCTGGGGGCCTCTTGGCCAGTGTGCATGTGGTTTCCTGCCGGCCGACATGTTCAGGGCCTAGGGGCTAATTGGAAGCAGGTGGCAGCCTGGCAAACGCTGCTGAGCTGAGCTCTGTGATATTGGCTGGGCAGGGCTCGTGCCCTGAGGATGTGCCTGGGGTCAAGTATTCCCAAGTGCCTGAGACTCCCAGCCACCCACCTTGGGAGGTGCTGGGCCAGAGGGGTGGGCATGGGTGTGACTGAAGAGGAAACAGTTAGGTGGTGGCGGGGAGGGTGCAATTGAAATGTCCCATTTAGTGAACAGGGCAGGATAGGGGTCTGTTCATTTGTCAAGATCAGTCCTAGGGCCAGGTTGCAAGTCTAGTCCTTTGTGTCCTGAACACCCAAGCAGGGACTTTGGATGTACCTCCCAGTAGTTCTGCCCTAGCCCCTCCCTGGTCCTCCAGATGCCTGGCTTCTGAGTGCCTTCTTATCCAGGCCAAATCTGGGGACAGAGGTGGGCTCTGCTTGGGTCACGGGCCTGGGATGCAGCTCTCCCCTCCTCCTCCAGCTGTCCTCTGAGACCACCCCAGCCTCCTCCCTCCATGGCCATGAGAGCTGCCTGCCTCTTCTTGTTGTTCCTGCCTGGTAAGTGCTTCAGCACCTGGGTGCCTGCCTGTAGGTGGGGTAGGAGCGGGGGTCAAGGGGGAGCTGAGCTTTTGTCATGCTCCATGGCCAGATCCCCGCCACCCCCCGGCTCCCAGGCCTTGGACACCACAGACTGAAACAGCCTGGAGCTGGTATGCAGAGCTCCAAGGGTACTGAGGCAGGGAGTGCAGAGGACTGGGTTCTAGACCCATTTGGGGCTCTACCACCCTATACAGTCTTGACCTTTGAGAGGGGTCCTTGTCTGTCAAATAAAGTTATTGGTAGGGCTCACAATGGCCCTGAAATTTCTACTATTCATTCAACAGGTCGAATGTGTTGATATCCTACTATAAGCCAGGCACTGGGCCAGGTCCTGGAGATAGTAATGAACCAGGCAGACAAATCCCTGTCCTCACTGCTGCCAGGCTGGGGAAGAAGGCAAACACTAAACAAGTGGATGGAATAAGTTTTAGATGGTGTAGACTGCTGCGATAGAAATAGACAGGAGGACAGGTGGGTAAGGGAAGGCCTTGGCAGAACTGGAAAGTTAGGTAAGACCTGAAGGAGGCGACCCAGGGAGAGTTAAGTGCGAAGGCCCTGAGGCAGGCAGGAGGCCAGCAGGGGAGAGAGACGGTGCAAGGTCACAGGTGACACAGGGTCACAGTGCATAAGGGACTTTATGGTTAAGGAGTTTGGATTCCATGGGTCTGGTTGTAGGGTCCTAGGCTCTTACAGAACTGCTGTGACCTCCAGTGACTCTTCCCAGAAGCACTTTGGGCCCACTGTCCTTCCCTGCGGGAGACCCCCACATGCTCTGCCTTCCCCCAGCAGGCCTGCTGGCTCAAGGCCAATATGACCTGGATTCACTGCCGCCATTCCCAGACCACGTGCAGTACACCCACTATAGTGACCAGATCGGTAAGTCGCCCCCAGCCTTGCCATGTCAAGACCTGGCTCCCTGGATGTGCGTGGCCAAGCCAGGGACCAGGAGGGATGAAAGAGTGGGGATCCTGGGGTTGGTCCCTGGCTCAGTTGTGACCTCACTTGCTCTGGGGGCTGGGGCCAGCCTGACCTCCACAAACGCCACATGCCCTTGTATTTCCAGACAGCCCAGACTACTATGATTATCAAGGTAAGAGCTTTAACAGGATGGGGCGGTGGGGGTGGGGACCCTGGAGGGGACAGAAGGAGTACATGCCTTGTCACCCGATACAGAAGTGAGTCCTCGGCCCCCTGAGGAGCAGTTCCAGTTCCAGTCCCAGCAGCAAGTGCAACAGGAAGTCATCCCAGCCCCCACCCCAGGTGGGTCACAAACATTGATCCCCACACCCCCAACTCCCTTTCAACCCTGGAAGTGGGGGGGTCGGGGTCAGGACTGAGAGAATTGACCCCTCCCAGTGACCCTGACTGCTTCTCTCCACCCCAGAATTGCCAGAACCAGGGAACGCAGAGACAGAGCCCACGGAGCCTGGGCCTCTTGGTAAGAGCACCTGACAGCTAGGGAAATGGAGGAAGCTGGGCTGAAGTGGGAGCGGTGTGGTTGGGTTTGCGGGGTTAGGCTGTGGGGGAGCTGGGAGAGGTGCCCCTAATTTAGTCTGGCATCTCCAGGCCCACAGGCAGCTCTGGGAGATCCCACTCTGCCCCTGGTGGCTGCAGCCTAGGGCAGGCCTCAACACTGGGAGGGTAGGGTCTGTGCTGGGCCCATGGTCAGATGAGGAAGAGCCAGGGCAGCCCAGGCCAGCTGAGTGGTGCCCAGGCAAGAGCCTGAGAAGACTGCATGAGGACCCGAACTCACCCTCGGATGAGGCGATGGAGCGTGTTACAGCGTGGGTTCCTGAGAACCTGCAGGTCTGCTTGAGTTCGTGTGGACTTCTGTGACCATGTGGCGTGGCTGTGAATTAGGGTTGAACTCACTGTTGGAATAGGTGCTGTGTGGTCTACGGTATAAGAGCAGGCCGCCCTGGAAGGTCTAACAGTGCCTGAGCTGGGCCTGCGAGCCAGTCTCAGGTGGGCAAGTTTTGAGGCTGCGCCTTCAGCTCTGAGCCCCAAGTCTGATCCTGCCTGTTCCCCAGACTGCCGTGAGGAACAGTACCCATGCACCCGGCTCTACTCCATCCACAAGCCTTGCAAACAGTGTCTCAATGAGGTCTGCTTCTACAGGTGAGCTAGCAGGTAACGGTCGCCCGGAGCTCTAGGAGGGAGGGTGGGGAGGGCTTTGGGGGCAGTGAATCCTAAAGTAGAGCTCAGCTCTAAGGGTGAGTCTGGCCTGGACCCGGGCTCCCAGGCTCCAATGCCAAGTTTGGTGGACTCTCCCATGGGGGTAGGTGAGGGTGGGGCTGAGACCTCCTCTGGCCCCATCCCCTCAGCCTCCGCCGTGTGTACGTCGTCAACAAGGAAATCTGTGTCCGCACAGTCTGTGCCCATGAGGAGCTCCTCCGAGGTAGGAATCCCCTTCACTTCAGTATCTGCCTACCACCTGCCTCCCGTGTTCACTGAACACGAATTATACACCTGTGCCCACTTCCAGACCATCCCGAGCTCCTCCCCCTTCTCATCCTCAGAACGTCCCCTCACCAGGTGGGGGGGGTAGCAATTCCCATCACGCACTGCCACCCTGACCCCACCTCCCCACTTCCCCTAACAGCTGACCTATGTCGAGACAAGTTCTCCAAGTGTGGCGTGATGGCCGTCAGTGGCCTGTGCCAGTCTGTGGCGGCCTCCTGTGCCAGGAGCTGTGGAGGCTGCTAGGGTGGAGCTGGCATTGGCATCCTGAGTGCTGGGCCCTGCCCAGGTCCTGCCTCAGGGTTGCCTGAACTGGTGCTTTCCCCCCATCCCAACCTTCCTTTTGTACAAACAGTGGGCTGCAGCCCCAGGGGACTGCTGCCTGAAGTGCCTTAGCCCCTCCCCTAGCCTGTGGCCACACCTGGACACAATGGAGCCTCCTGACTGCCAGTCCCCATCTCCTGGGGGGGCATCCAAGACCTCAGTGTGGGACCTGGGCCCCCAGTGTGCCTTCTCAGTCCCTCTGAGGACAGTCCCCCGAGGTAGGCCATGCCCCTCATCCCAGCTGGTCTGCTTGGATTTCCTACAGCCCCTGGGCACAGACCACCTTTGTTTTATACAAAATTAAAAATAAGTTTTTACAAAAGATCCAAAGTCACTTTTCCATCCAGGACAAAGAGGGGACAGCTGGGTGCCTCCTATTCTGCCTATCCCTACCAAAAGACTACCCAGTCCCTTAGAGAGAAATGGGTGTTTAGGTGACAGTGGCTTTGCCTCTGTATCCCACTGGCTTCAGCTCTGACCTGCCCAGAAAGAGGGAATGGCACCTGCCACCATATGTACATATATGTGATACCGGGAGTCATGGGGCGAACAGAAGACTCCAGTGTTCATTGTTCTCCTGGTCAGAGCTGCTTGGTGAGGGCTGGAGTCTGTCACAGAGAGATGTGGCCAAGGTGAGAAGCGGAGCCAGGCGCTGGTGGCTCATGCATGTAATCCTAGCTACTCAGGAGGCAAAGATCAGGAGGATCGCAATTTGAAGCCAACCTGGACAAATAGTTCATAAGACCCTATCTTGAAAAAACTCATCACAAAAAAAGGGCTAGTGAAGTCGCTCAAAGTGTAGGCACTGAGTTCAAACCCCAGTACTGCCAAAAGGAAAAAAATGAGAAGCTGACCGTGTGGAAGCATCAGGGCGTATGTGTGGCAGTGGAGGTAAGTGTAAGGCAGGAAGTCAAGGAAGGTAGACCTGAGAAGGGCTTTTTTTGGAGGGAGAAGGCTGGTGCCATTTAAGGGTAGAAATAGGGAGCCCTCTGTAGTGCTCAGCCCACTGCTCTAATCAGCCCTCCTAGTGGGCCTGTGATGGTACAACTACTGTTCCCAAATTACAGAGAAACTATACCCAGAGCTGCCAAGGGACCACCCAAGGGCCTGCAGCATGCATGGCGGAGCCTGGGCAGATCTGGCTGCCAGACTCTCAAGAGGAGGGTAGGGCAGATTGTGCCCACCCAAGGAAGGTTCCCATTTTACAGACAGCTAACCATGGCTCTGCAGCGTGACACAGCTCTGCCCAAGTCCCTCAGCAGAGCCAGGGCAAGTCTCTGTGCCCATTCCCAGGCCCCATGGCTCATCGTGCTGTCCAGGAGTTCTGCCACTGTCCAGTGGGGCCCTGGGAAGACCAGAAAAAGAGGTAGGAAAAGGTCTGGCTGGGGAGAGCTGTCACCAGGCTGGATCCCAGACCGAAGCTTCAACAGCCCCTTCTATTAAATGGGGGTCCTGGGACCCCAGACACTTTGAAGTATCTCCTTATCTAATGTGGGCCTCTGCCTCTGAACTCCCCAGCATCCCAGAGGGCGCATTCCTCCTGCCCAGGCTCCGCCTGTCTCCTTCCCTTGTCCTCCTAAGAAGAGGCACATTAACAGCACAGGAAAGGAGCGTCCATGACAAATCAATTCTAGAAAGTGGGTCTTGTTACAAAAACAACAGCTCTAAACAGTCAACATTATAAAAAGTTACAAAAATACAAGGACTCTGAGTTTACTGGGGAATTCCCTGAAAAACACTGCACTAAGGCGGAGAGATCTCTGGGAGGCCAGTTAGAACCTGGGTCTCTGTCCCCTGCCCTGGGCTGGGCACCCGTCTTTTCCATGAGCCCTGCCCTAGGGCTGGCCAGAGACAAGGGCCCTCTCCCTGACCCCAGGCTTTGGCTCAGCCACTTTCAGAGGATTTTGTACAATCTAAAGTGGTTCTTCCCAGAAGAGGGATGCTGTGATGACATGGGTGACCTGACAATACCAAGAAACCACTATAGGAGTAACCTGGAGCTGGTGTTCTGCCTCTAGCTGCCCTCCACCCCCAGCCCAGGCCCCGGGTGGGTTGTGCTGCTTAGGAGGCCACTCCTGACTTGCATGTGCTGCTCTCATTTCTCTGGGGGGCCAGAGGGTAGGGAAAAGGATGCCGAGCTCCTTCGAAGCTCTTGCTGCAGCTGTTCCTTCAAGGTGGACACCTGGGAAAGAAAAGGGTAGGACAGCCCAGGCCCCACCCTGACTTCAGAGAAAGGGAGGGAGCTGAGGCAGGGAAGTTCTGGTGTCATTCCTGAAATGTCCTTCTCTTCTCAATTTGCCCCTTGTAACAGTCACCTGGCTGTTGGGCATCCTTAGGGACTACCCCACCTCCATCCTTTGTCTCGAGACCTTCATCATTTGGGTGGGCCTTGCTCTAGTCCAGACTCTGGTGGACATGTGACCAGGCTGGGCCTATCAGCAGCTGAGCCCTGTAGACTCGATTTCATCAGGCCTGGTCAGGAAGGAGCACGTGATCTGAGTTGGCCAATGAGGACCAGCCCTGGGACTTTGGCTGGTGCCCTCAGGAAGAAAGGGTTCTCTCCTCTGGGATAGCAGGTTGTTGAGAGAACTGAGCTGGAGCTGCTAAGGTCATCCTGCAAGAGGGCCTGCCTGAGCCCAGAGAAATGGAGCCCTGTGGGAAGGGACTGAGTTCCTAGCACCACTCGGGCCCCTGATCCAGCTGTGGATGATACCAGCACTGATCCACCCAGCTATTTGCAAGTTATGGCATCCTCACACCATGAGGCCATGACCCCACACTTCCACTCTAGCACCACCTTCCCTGGGGGAGGCCCGTGTACCTGCTCCTCCAGCCCCCGTACCCGCTGGCGGTGGGCACGCTCAGTCTGCACCTGGGCACTGCGTAGGCGCCCCACCTCCTGCTGCAGCTCCAGCCGTTGCTGCTCCTCTGCTTCCACCTGGGCCGGACTATGGTTCTGCTCAAGGGCCACCACCTGGGCCTGCAGAGAGGGGCCTCTACTCAGGGTTCTGGCCTAGGGGGCGCGCTGCGTGTGGCAGTGCCAGGTGTCAAGCACCTGAGGCACGGCCAATGCAGGTGGGAGACATAGAAGAAATCCTTCCTCCTCCCCACCTCACTCACCCTGACAGTGGGCCTACAAATCCTGGGTTAGGGTACCCGGTGACTCCCACGCCGACGCACACACACACAGACACTCAACGTAGAGACCGGCTCATGTACACACAGCAAAAGCAAGCATGTAAATGCCTGTGCTCATCCAGATGCCTACACGTGTGCAAAGGCTCACGTGGTGGGATGGAGGTTTGAACTCAGGGCTTCATGCTTGCAAAGCGTGCGCTCTACCGCTTGAGCCACACCTCCAGTCCATTTTGCTCAGGTTATTTTGGAGATGGGGACTCGAAAACTGTTTGCCCGGGCTGGCCTTGATCAGCGATCCTGCTGACCTCAGCTTCCTGAGTAGCCAGATTACAGGTGTAAGCCACCAGTGCCCAACAAGTGCCCAACTCTTACATCTGCATACATGAAAACACCTGTATACAAACATGCAGGCACACATGCCACATCTGTGCATGAGTCATGCAACTAGCACAGGCACACTCCTGCAGACACCCCCACCTCTCCATACCCATACCACACAGGCGCAGACTCACGTGCCAACAGGCGGCAGTCTCATTTTTCTCCACCACGGGAGTCCCTCTCTCTACCACCAGCTGGGACAAACCTCCCTCAGCCTCTGGGCACCTGGGCTGGCCATCAGCTCCCCTGGGACTGCTTATACTGCTTATACTCCCATGCTGGCGATGGACGGAGTTGGGAACCAGGGCTAGAGGGAAAGGTGTGGGGCTGGTGGCAGGGGCCAGACCTCCAGTTGCTGGATCTGCTTCTGGGCCTCGGCCAGCTCCAGCTCAGCCCCCGTGAGCGTGCGATCCAGGCGGCCCTTCTCGGCATTCAGCCGCACTGTGTCCTCATGGCTGCGGAGCTTCTCCCGCTCCACCTAGGAGGGAGAAGGGGCTTACAGGGGAGCTTGCAGAGGGGTGAGAGTGGGATAACCCAACACCAACAGAGGCAGCATGCCGTGGGGACACACAGCAGGGACCCACCCCAGCCAGGCCCCAGAGCAAGAGAGAGGGGCTTCGTGAAGCAGCCCACCTTGTCCAGCGTCCTCCTGAGGGCCACTCTGTCCTTGTCCAGCCGCAGGGCGGAGCGTTCTGCCTCACGCTTCTCAGCTTCCAGCTGTGCCAGGGCGTGCTGCATGCTGCCTAGGCGCTCCTGCAGCAGCCGCCGCTCGTCCTGCAGCTTCTGCACGGTGCGCAGAGCTGCGGCCTCACCTTCCTGCCGCTGTCCCAGTACCTGCAGCAGAGGCCACGCAGCCCCCTCAGCCCTCTAAGCCCCAGGGTGACCACCTGCAGCTAAGGGAAGATGATGTCAGCCCACTGTTTCCAGTCAGCTGGCAGCCAGTTATGGGGTTCATGTGAGAGAACTGTCACTGGAGGCCAGCTAGTTCTTTGGGCCTCAGTTTCTCCATCTGTACTGTGGGAGTGAGGGCCAAATGATCCATGCTTCCTGGGTCAGGAAGCCTGGGCCAGGGTTGGGATAAGGTTGAGAGGATGGAAGGTCCCCATCCCATCCCGATGGCCTCACAGTCCTGGGGACAGAGGAGGCCCGGCCTGGCCCTCACCTCCTGCAGCTGCTGCAGCTGACCCTCAGCCTCTGCCCGCTGCAGCTCCAGGTCTGCCAGCTCGCCACGCATCGTGTGCACCTGCTCACCCAGGGAGCTGCTCTGCTTCCGCGCTTCGGATAACGCTTGCCGAGCTGCGTCCAGCCGTTCCTGGGGAACAAGGGCTGGTGGTGACAGGCCAGCCTGCGAGCCCTAAGGCAAAAGGCCCCTCTCTACTTTGTACCTCTGGCAGGTGCACAGCCCTGCCTGGAGGGTGAACCATACAACAGCTTGTCACTTCTACTTAACTGCCTACGTGAGAGCCACTCACACCCCAACTCCCCTCCATTAACCCTGCCCTGTCCTCTGCTAGTAGCTTCCTTCTCTCATTGGGTGAACCCCACCCCACCCCCAGCCTCCTGATTGGCTGCTCCAATGACCCACTCCTCCCTCTAAACCTACTCTTGTTGACTGGCCCCTCAGAATTCCCAACTGCAACCCCATTGGCTGGCTCTTTACCAGGCCCCTCCTAGTCTGCTCTATTAGCTGGGCCTCCCCACTCACACCCTGAGACCCCCATACCTGGAGCACCTGGCGGTCATGTTCGCAGGCAGTCAGGGCCTTCTGCAGGTGCAGGTTCTTGTCCTGGATGCTGGTGAGGCTGGCATTGCTCTGGGCCAGGGCCTCTGTCAGGCCCTGCACCTTGACCCGCAGACCCCCTTCGCTCTCTTCCACCTTAGCCAGGGCTCCATTTAGCCGCTCCACTGTCAGCTGCAAGGTCCCGGCCTTCACTTCACTGTCTGCCACCTAGGAGGACAGATAGGATGGTCAAGGGGCTACAGTCCCACTGTGAGCTCCACCAGGAGTGCCCAACCCAAGCTCTTCTCACCTCTCTCTAGGGCTTATCATGGATACCCTTGATCCCGTGCACTCCCACAAGTTCCCCTACTGCAACCTGGGCCCCACACACTGCTGGTTAACCACCCGTTTCTACAGCCACATCACCCTATTGTCTCAGACCTATGGTCTCTTCCCTGTCTCATTCCCCTCTTCCCTGCTTCAAAAGAGAAAGTAACCACCACAACCCTGGAGTTCTGTTTTTGACATTGGTGGGTGTCTATCTATGCAAGGATACAGAGTTCCGGCACATGCCAGTTATGAGCTTCCTAGCAGCTAAGGCAAAAAGGACAAAGAGTGAAACCCACATCTCTAACTTGTACCATGTCTCCTATGAGTGCAGATTCTGTCAACAAACAGTCTTGAATTCTAACTTTGGCTCTGCCTTTTATCAGTTCTTGATGGGGAAGGACATGACCTCTCCTTAACATGGTGATGATGACAATACTCCCCTCCAGGGTCGGGGAGACTGTGTAGTCCCTGTAAAGTACTCGGTGCAGGGCATGCAGGTGGTGTGTTGTGAGGGGCCCACCTGTCTCTGCAGAGAGTCCACCCGGTCCAGGAGGGCCTGGGCCTGGGCCTCGCGGTCGCTCAGGCCCAGGCGGCTGCGCTGCAGCTCCCCCTCGAGAGAGCGGCGCTGCAGCTCTAGCTTGACGGTGCGGCTCTCACAGGCGTCCAGCACCTCCTTCAGGTGCCGCTTGTCACTCTCCAGCTTCACCTCTGTGCTCTTCAATTTGCTCACCTTCTCCTGCGGCGGGGGACACTCAGGGCCCAAATGCCCCCTCTACCCGCACGCTCCCCATACCCCCAGCACCCTTAGGAAAAAAGGGGGGCAGCTGCAGAGACTGTGTGAGCCGGAGGCCTCAGTTTCCCCATGGTTCACAGGAGGAGTAGAAATGGGGATCCCAGAGCTAAGTCTAAGAGATTATGTGATCAGACTATCCCTTCCCTCTCTCAGGCCGTACAGGTCTGGACAGTGGAGGGACTGGACTGGCTCAGTGGAACAACCTGGACGCTCACAAGAGCCCTGGGGGAGGGGACTGTAAATGCAGGTTCCAGGGCCCTTCCCTGTTCCGCAGAGTCGTTTTCCAGAGCAGCAGGAAGCTGCAGTGTAACTGGAGCTGAGCCCAACAGCACCATGGGCCTCACGGTTCTAAGACTTTAGGGCCGATTCTCCCTCCCCCACTCAGGGGTCAGAGAAGAAAGGGACTTAGACTGGGGACAGGACAGGAAGATGTACTAGAGGTCCTTCAAGCCACATGACTGCCCTGGAGACACAGCAGGTCCTGAGGTGTCACTGTAGCCCCACTCCTCTGCCCCAGTCTGGCCCCTAGCCTGCCCTCCTCAGAGCCCCACCCTGCCCTGTCTGGCCCAGGGACCCTCACTCTGGCTGCTGCCCAACTTTGTTCCTGGCCTCCTCCTGGGCCCCTGTGGCTGGGCCCGAGGCCAGAGCTGAAGCCGCAGACACAACAATCTAGCTCCAGCCTGGTCTCCAGCCAGAGGCCGTGATGGGCTGCAGGGCTGCCCTGGAGGGCCAGGAAAGGGAAGGGGCTTCAGCAGGCAGAGACTGTCCTGTTACTACCAGGGCTTCCTAACTCAGGCAGACAGACAGATAAGACACACGCACACATGTGTGCATGCAGGTAGATAAAAATATGCCCCAGACATACATCTAACATGCATAGCCACTCATCTGGCTATTCAGAGACACAAAACAGGCCCAGGCACCACCTGTGGGCCAGGAACTTATATGCATCGTTTCTATGTGACAGTTCCTGGTCCAGACTCGTACAGAGGGGGAAGATGAGAATCAGACAGCAGACTGGCCCAAGGCCAAACGTGAGCCCATGTCTGGCAGGCTGAAACCCAAGCCTTTTTTCCTACAGCCTAGTAGAAAGGAGACTGAGTGGACTTGCACAAGCTCCTGTAGAAAGAGGCTCAGGCTGCCACCAGGGGGCTGAAGAAGTTTCCTCCCCCACCGACCCTTGGTTCCTGCCCACCTGGCTGGCCCGAAGCTGGCTCTCAGTGGCCTGCAGACTTCTCTCCAGTGCAGCCACCTGGTCCAGTGTGGCCCTGCGCTCTCGTTCGCTGCGCCGCACACTCTCTTCCTGCAAGGCCAGCTCCGCCTGGGCCCCGCTCAGACGCCCGTCCACACTGCGCCGGGCTACAGCCACCACCCGGTCCCATCAGACATGGCACAGTCCTGAGACCTGAGCCAGGCCACAGAGACCTGGCCCGCCTGTCTGTGCCCCAATAGTCTGAAGGTCTAGACCCACGATGGGGTTAACCAGAGAGGGTCCTCTGGAGGAGGAGGCCCAGAGTCACGTCACAGGCCAGGGCAGGGACACAGGAGTGCCAGGCCAGTCCCCCAGCTACCCACCTCAGCTGGTAGGAACAAGAGTAGAGCAGGGACCCTGAGGGTCAGACTCACCTTCCTCACTCTCAGCCACTGCCTTCTGCAGCTGCCTGGCCCGTGAGGTTGCACTGTCCCTCTCAGCCTCCATCTCAGCCAGCTGTCGACTCAGGGTACTAGTCTGGACCCGAAGTTCATCCTACAGTCCCAACATGGAGGAAAGGGAAGACCTCTTCTCTACTGATCTGCAGCCCCTCCATGGCCCAGGGCCACCAGGCTCTCCCTACAACCCCTCACACTCAGCCTCACCCGCTCTCGCTGAGCACTCCGCAGCTCCTGCAGGAAGTCTCGAAGGGCCCCCCGCACTGCCTCTGGGTCTAGGTCTGGAGGTGCAGGGAAGGTGGCAGGTCCTGGAGACGGTGGCTGGGACCCAGGGCTGCACTCCAAGGGGCTGGGGCTGCTGAGTCCTTCCCTGTTTCCTGAAAGAGAAGACACACTCAGGGACAAGGGAGCCTCTGGACTGTGGCACCCCACTCGCCCTGTTTCTGCAGGACCCACTACATACAAGCTTCCCTCACACAAACTGGACCACCTCACCCTCTTGCTTAAAACCCTTTGCAGACCCCACAGCACCCCCAATCAAGCCCATGTCTGCCTAGCTTAAAAGCCTATTGCCCATCTTCCCATCATGCTCAGCTCCAGTATTCTAGAACATTCCGTTTCAGCCTTAGAGGCTTCACACATGCTACTCCCTCTTCTGGTTTCTGTGCTGAGCCCATCCCACTCTCCTGGTGTCTGGTGTCTGTCTCCCTACCCAACATGCTACCAGGAGAGCTGGGTTTGCAGCTCTCCTGTCCACCATTGTGTTCCCAGGGCCCAGGCCATGCATGGGCACTATCAACTCCATCTGTGCCAGGGACACACCTCATTTCATTCTCACAATGACTCCCCCATAGGCAAGAGCCAATTTGCTCCCTTCACAGGCAAGGCGGACTCAGAGCAGTTAAGCACTTCTTCAACCCCAAATCTGGGAAATTTCAGAACCGGCCTTTGAACCTAGGCAGGCTGGTTCCCCAGGGATAAACCTTGACCCCTACTTGGGAGATGATGGGCCACAGGGAGCACAGACAGCACAATCCCTGCAGGACAACATCAGAATTTTAGGATGGGGGGGGGTGCCATTAGCATTCTCTTGCCTCCAAGTGACAACAAGATTGCCCAGCAAAAGCATCACCACCCAAAGGGCCCAGAGAGAAGGACCTGGGAGCCTCCATGTGGGAAGAGCCCATCTGTTGGGGTATAAAGCCAGCACCCTCTAGTGGTTTGCAAGGGGCTACTGGAGCAGGCCCTTTGTCCTGGCTAGCTACCCTAGCATGCTGTCCACTCCTCTGGTCACAAGATAGGGTGCTTCCATTCAGGACCTTCCCACACTTGTCCTCACTCCACCCCAGGAGCCCTCCAACAATCCCACCTCCTCAGCAAGGTGCTCACTGTTCTCCCCAGATCAGTCCTACCCCCCCCCCTTGCCTTTAATCTAAACCTTTTGCATTTTTTTGTGACAAACTACATATTTTGTGTGCCATTTGGGAGTGGGGGGCTATTGGGGTTTGAACTCAGGGCTTCATGCTTACTAAGCAGGTGCTCTATCGCTTCAGCCACACCTCCGGTCCAAAATGTGACATTTGAACTTTTTTTTTGAGACAGGATCTTGCTATCTAAGTGGCCTTGAACTCTCAAGATCCTCCTGACTCAGCCTCCCAAGTGCTGGGATTACAGGCATGAGTACCTAGTCTTAACATTTTTTTTTTGGTGTACTGGGGTTTGAGTTCAGAGTCTTGTGCTTACTAGGCAGGCACTCTCCCACTTGAGCCATGCCCCCGGCCAACTATTTTAAAGGGAACAATTTAGTGGCATGAATTACGTTCACACTGCTGTGTACCCTTTACCATTTGTCCCCAAATCTTTTCCACCGCACCTGTTAGGGTTATTTCCCTAACTTCCTACATTAAACTCCTTAACCCCAGTACCTCAGGACATCCCTAATTTCAAAAAAGAGTCATTATAGATATGACTAGTTAGGATGAGGTCAAACTGGAATGGATTGGGTCCAGAATTCCTGTGATTACTGTCCTTATAAAAAGGGGAAATGACACAGACATGCACACGAGCATGGAGCTACAGGGCCACAAGCCAAGGAGTGCTCTGAGCCAGGAGGCCTGGAACAGATCCCTCCCCAGCGCCTTCAGAGGGGACATGGCCCTGGGACCCCTTCACCTTGGACTTCTAGCGTCTAGGACAGTCAGACACGAGTTACGGTTGGTTAAGCCGTAAGTCTGTGATAGTTGGCCCTCTGTACCTGAGCGCTCCATGCCCGGACTTAACCAACTGCTCATGAGGAACATTCAACAAACTGCAGCTGCAATGACCCTGTGTGGACCTCTGTCTTGTCATTATTCTCTGAACAGCAGAGCGGAACAACTACTTGCATGGTGTCTGCATTGCACTCCGTAGTGCATGCAGAGTAGCTGAGAGTGTCTAATGATCTTGAGCAGGCTTGCATTTTGCCTGCCCATTGCTGCAGCAGCCCTGTCCACATCAGACAGCCCCAAACAGAAACTAATTCTAAGGCAACAGCTTTCAAAAACCCCTCCCCCAGCCTCAGTAACCTCCAATCTACGTTGTCTCTAGGAATTTGCTGTTCTAGAAACTCTGTATAAGTGGATCATACTACATTTGCCATTTCTGACTGACTTGTTTCCATTAACATAAAGTTGTCTAGGTCAGCTGGGTGCCAGTAGCTCAGGCCTGTAATCCCATCTACTCACGAGGCAGAGATCAGGAGGATCGAGGTTCAAAGCCAGCTAAGCTAATAGTTTGCAAGACCCTATCTCAAAAAAAAAAAAAAAAAAAAATCACAGAAAGGGCTGGTGGAATGGCTCAGTGTAGGCCTTGAGTTCAAACATCAGTACCGCAAAAACAAAAAAGTTATCAAGGTTTATCATTCCTTTTTTGTTTTTGCGACTGGGTTTGAACTTAGGACTTTGAGTTTGAAAAGCAGGTACTCTACCACTCAAGTCACACCTTCGGTCCACTTTGCTCTGGTTATTTAGAGATGGGGGTCCAAACTATTTGCCTGGGCTGGCCTTGAATTGCAATCCTCTCAGTCTCAACCTCCCAAGTAGCCAGGAGCCATAAGCCATATAGTGCCCAGCTCAGAATGCCATTTCTATTAGAGGCTGAATAAAACTCCATTGGATGGACATATTACTGTGGGTTCATCCATCTATTGAACATTTAGGGTGGGGCCACCTTTTGGCCATTGTGAATAATGCTGCAATGAACTCTGCTGTACAAATATCTGTTCAAGTCTGTGCTCAATTCTTTTGGGTATAGACCAGCGCTGGGTCTTACGGCAATTCTATTTTCAGTTTCTTGAGGAACTGCTGAGCTATTTTGCACATGGCTGCATCAATCAACAAAGTTCCTTGCCTCATTTTTCCTATTTCCAACCCTGGCCACCACCCAATACCGTCTGCGTCTCATTCATGCATCACGGCTGTCACCTGCTATTCCCATATCATAGTGCAATGAGTTCTGTGAAAGCACACGTGTGTCGGGATTGTTTCCCGCTCCATCCCCAGAGCTTAAACCTTACTCATCACATACTAGGTACTAGATAAGTACTGAGTAACTGAATAAAGGCATGTGATCCCGGAAAGGGCTCAGGCTGCCCTGCCTGTCTAGGGTAGATTTCAGGATCAAAGGCCTGGTGTGGAGAGCTGTGAAGCCAGGATGGGAGGCCGAAGAGAGAGCAGGAATGAAAAAGGAGGCAGGGCATTAAAACCCTCTTCCCACTGACAAAGCAACCTAAGGAGCTCTCATCTCAGAGGAGCAGAGGAGCCTCAGCGAGGGGGCGGGACGGGGGGGGGCATGGAGGGGCGTGGCCTATCGGAGGGCGGGGCAACCTTGGCCTCATTGAAGGGCTGCAGCAGGACTTTGACGTGGGCGTGGCCTGCACAAGCCCCGCCCACTCCCGGCCCCAGGCCGCTCACCTCCAGCCGGGGCGTCTGGGGCGGGGGAGGCGGGTGCGGGCCGCGGGGCGGGGCTGGGCGCGCGGCCGATGCCCAGGCCCCGGCGCAGGGCGGAGCGCAGGCCGCTGAGCTGGACCTCGGCGGCGCGCCGCTGCGCCTCCACGCGGGCCAGCTCGGCCTCCAGGCCCTGCGCCCGGCCCTCGGCCGCGCTCAGCCGCAGTCCCAGCTCCGCGGCCTCCGCCCGCGCCGCCTCCAGCTTCAGCTCCAGCCCGCGGGCGAGGTCCAGCTGCTTCTTCTCAGCGCCCCGCGCCTCCTCCAGGGAGCTCTGCAGGCCTCGCTCTCGAGCCCGGAACTCGCCCTCTTGTTCCTGAATCTTCCGCCGGGATCCCTGGAGCTGAGGCAAAGCCGGGAGGTGAGGGTCGCAAGGCCTTCCCCAACCCAGCAGTCCACCTTTCTGGTGCCCACCACCCCAAGTGACCGCACCTGTCCCTAAGTGGGCTCTACCCTAGCAGGCGGGTACACGGAGTTCCATGGGAGGAACTCAGAATTTCTTTTTTACCTTTCCTTCTGTATATAAGTCTTGTTCCCAGATAATTAGTAATAGCTAATATTTACATAGGACTTGCCAGTGCCAGGCACTAGTACTTTCAAAAAAAAAAAAATCTTTATAATAAAAGTGACGCACAGAGAAGTTAGGTAACTTATCTGAGGCCAGACAGCTGGTGCGCTGCAGACCAAGGATTCAAAGTCAGGCACTCAGTGGAGCACCTGTGCCTCACACCTGTAATCCTAGCTACTTGAGAAGCTGAGATCTGAAGAACAGAGGGTGAGGCAAACCCAGGCAAAAACAGTCAGCAAGACCCCATCTTAACCAAAAGCTGGGTGCAGTGGCATGCCCTGTTGGAGGCTGAGACTGGGAGGATGGAGGTTCCAGACCAGCCCAGGCAAAAGAGCTGGAAAGACCCCATCTTAAGAGAAAAAAGCTGGGTGTGATAAACAAGTCCGTCATCCCAGAGACAGTGGGAAGCATAAAACTGTAGAATCGTGGTCCAGGGCAATCTGGGCATAAAAGGAAATCCTATCTCCAACATAACCTTGAGATGTGGCTCAAGTGGTAAAATACCAAAAAAAAAAAAAAAAAGCTAGGCACTCTAACACCAGGGGTTTTTTGTTTTGTTTATTTCTTTGTTTTGTGGTACTGGGGTTTGAACTCAGGGCCTACACCTCGAGCCACTCCACCAGCCCTTTCTTGTGAAGGGAGTTTTCAAGATAGGGTCTCTCAAACTATTTGCCCAGGCTGGCTTCGAACTGTGATCCTCCTGATCTCTGCCTCCTGAGCAGCTAGGATTACAGGTGTAGCGTCACCCAGCATCGCCCTCCCTTTTTGTGCCTGCACACATTAAGCTCACAGTTCTTTTGATTGTTGTAATTCTTATAACTGGAGTAGGTAGGTACAAGCACAAGTCCTAGAGAGTGGGCTCTCTCCTGCTTCCCCATGGAGGGAGGAGGGAAGCACACAGTGCAGCCCACTACCTCCCCGAGTCCCCACCCCCCGCAGGCAGCCCACCCATCTCCCCACTTACCTCCTGCCGTAAGGTCTCCAGGCTGGCCTCACCCTTCACCAGCCTCTGCCGGAGGCCAAGGGCCTCCCGTCGGCTCTCCTTTTCAGCTCGCTCACCCAAAGCCAGGCGGCCCTGAAGCTCTGCCAGCTCCCGGCCCAGCCTGGCGTTGTCACTGTCCAGCATCTTCATCTGGGAGAGAGCAGGAGCAGCAGGCAGGTCAGCTGTGCCCATGCTCTGCCAGGGACACTCAGGACCCAATGGCCTAGGGACATGTGCACCGACCACCACTCCAAACACACTTCGAGCCCAACCAAGGTGAGCTCACCTGGCTTAGGCCACACTAGGCACCTGGCACCAATGGCCTGTGTGCTATGAGTCCATGGGCTCCAAACTGCCTCTTGCCAGGACAGAGGAGGGAAGGTTGAGCCCTTATCAGACCTGGAGCTCCACAGGGCAGGAGACACAGGTCCCTGGGCCACCTTTCACCTCTACAAGGACGAATGGCTTGTTTTGGAGTGTTTACTATGTGTCCAGCTCTTGTAAGCACTTCTCTTACAATTCACTTAATCCTCCTATGACCCTATACTGTACAGGTACTCACATGATCCCTGTTTAACAGGCTCAGAGAGTTGGGGTGACTTGCTCAAGGTCACATGGTCCACAAACAGCAGACTGGGATTTGATCTCAGACAGGTAGAATGTGAAGATGTGTTCCAAGCCTGTGTCCCCATGGGGACAGGTGAGGGTGATGTCTACCTACCCCCAGTGCTGCAGTGAAGCAACAGGAGATCGTCCCATAATTCACAAACACCCAGCAAAAGCCTTGCACACAAATGTCAGTTCCTTCCGGAGACTGCTATGGCCTGAAGGGACCTGGGTGGGGGGCTGTGGTGGGAGGTAGAAAGGACAGTGGTACCTATCTCTGGATAGCACATGCCATCTCTAGTGGGGCCGAGTGTAGGAGCTGAGTAAGGCTGCTTCCTATTCCTTGGGTCTTCTAGGATGCAAAGCCTGAGCCTGTGTAAGGGCCCAGTATATAGCAGGTGATTATTCAATGAGTCTGTAGTTGATGAGTTAGGTGCTATCTAGTTCAGAGCCAGTAAACTGTAGCCTGAAGGCCAGGACAAGGATGGTTCTTACATTCTTAAATAGTGGGAAATGGTTCATTATTAATTAATTTTTTTTTTCAGTGCTGGGCATGGAACCTAGAGCCTGGTGCATGTTAGGCAAACACTGCCACCAAGCCACATCCCCAGCCCCTTAGGGCTACTTTCTTACTGCACAGCAAGTAGTGAGGAGTGGTGACAGACACCTGAGGCCCAGAAGGCTGAAAATATTTACCTTTTGATTCTTTATAACAAAGTTTGCTAGCTCCTGACCTAGCTCATTAGGCCTGCTCCTTTTGCTGCTCACAGACTCCTTTAGGACTGGACAAGAGAGCCAGGCATGGTGGTGCCTGTAATCCCAGCACTAAAGGAGGATGAGGCAGGAGTGTGGGCACAGACGTGCCTAGACTTCTGCATAGGTTCAAGGATGGTCTCCCCTAAACCCATCCATTAATACCAAGGTCAAGTAAAAGTCTCATTACAGTTCAAAGCTCTGCTTCTACATGCAGGACAACTGGACTCAGGAAAGGCGTGCTATTGGTTCAGGGACTCACAGAAGCCCAGAGGAGTACCTGCCGCCGGAGCTCCTGCAGCTCCCGCCGAGCCTCCAGCCTGGAGCGTTCCACCTCCTGCAGCCCGGCCCGCAGCTCCACTGCCTCCTTGCCCATAGCTGCCCGAGCCTCTTCCAGGAGTGCCAGCTTTTGCTCCTTGTCCTCGTTGGCAAGCTTCAGGCTGGAGGGGGAGAGGGTAGAGGCTACCCTGGGTCCTGGGAAGAGTTGTCTGCAGCTCTAGGCAAAAGGCTCTTCCCCTGCTTCCTGGCCTGAGTCTAGCAGATTGTGGTCCCAAGAGTTGCCTATCAACGTGGTCAACTCCTACCCACACCTATGGGGCAGGTTCCCGGCAGGGAGAGGTACCATGACTCAGGAGGGGGCCTGGTTCCCAGGGTGATGAGAGCAAGTGGAGTCCAAGTGTGTACCCAATGTTGCCCACCACCACCCCAAAAACGACCCACATGTGGGGCTGTGGAGGGGACCAGATGATGCTCAACTGTACAATTGCCCCAGAGACTTGGGGAGAGTCTCTGTGAGAGGTCAGTGCTTGGTGAAGGCCCCTGAGCCAGTCCCCCACATCCCTCACCTAATGCGCTCGCTCTCAGCCTTCTTCACAGCAGCCCGTAGCTCCTCATTGGAGCGCCGCAGGGCCTCGCGCTCCTTGGCACCCTCACTAAGGCTCCGCCGCAGCTCCCCGGCCTCCTGGCGCTGGGCCTCATGGCCCTCCTGACTATCCCGCACCTTGCGCTGTGCCTCCAGCAGCTCCCGCCGCAGCCCATCACGGGTGTCCTCCAGCAGGCGTAGCTGAGTCCGGAGCTCTTCTGCCTGTGAGCACAAGTCGGGTCAGGGTCCCCCTCAAGCTGGGCCTTGCTGGGGATGGGCAATGCCCCATGTCCATCCCTGGCACCTGTCTCATCTCTCTGTGGAAACTCTGAACCCAGGCTGTGAGTTATGATTTGGGACAAGGCATGCTGGTGTTAGCAGTGCCTGGGCCTGAAATCCTAAGTGATGACACCAAAAGCCAAGGACCCCACTTGCTCCTCCTTGAGGCCCTGCCCCCACGTTTGCCTTGCACACAACAGGTGCTTTATGAATGGTTGTTGCCTCCTGAATTAGCTGTTTATCTGTCCTCAATGCAGGGAGGAATCTTACACCCTTCAGAGGCCCCACGGGACTAGATTGCCAGCAGGCTCAGGGTAGACTCAGCGTGGGCTACCCAGAGAGTTGCTGGCTCACCTCCCGCAGGCAGGCCTCCCGCTGCCGGCCCAGGTCTCGGGCCTGTTCATGCAGTCTTTTCACCTCCTGGGTATGCGCCCCAGCAGCCTCCTCCAGCTGGGCCCGAAGGTCCCGCAGCTCAGACATCAGGGTGTTCACAGTGCTCTGGGGCAGATGTGCTCTTCAGACGTGGTCCTGAAGTAACCCTCATCCTGTCCCCCACGGCTCCCAGCCTACCAACTGAACTGTCACTTTCAGCTTCAAGCGCAGTCCCTCCCTTCGGTCTGCCAGACCCTGTTCCATTAGTGCCTAGTGAGTACTGTCCCGTGCAGCTGGCCTCTCCCTCAGATTACTGGGCTCCCTAGGGCAGAGCTGTACCATCTCCCTTGGAAAAGGACCCAAAAGGAAGGACTGAACCTCCCCCCACAGCCTGGAGGCAGGCCTAGGCCTCTCCCTTGGACAGGCTCCTCTAGGCCCAGGCGTGCACCCCACCCAGGTGGGGCCCAGCTGCCCGGCCTGCTCTACCCGGTCTTGCTCCTGCCGGCTCTGGGCATCTCGCTTCTGCCGCTCCATCTCCAGAGAGATGGCAGCCAGGCTGTGCCGTGTTCCCATCAACTTCTCTGACAGTGCTGTCTTCTCAGACTCCTTCAGGGACAAGGCCTAGATAAAGGCAAGGAACACAGGGCTCAGTGGCTTGAGTGGCCATCATCGGTGGACCCAGGGCAAAGATGCACACTTCTCTGCTGCCTGCCACAGGGTTCAACAGTACCAAGAGCCCTGGACCTGGACCTGACTTAGAGATCTAACCTGCCACAGCCCTGAGGTAGAATCTTTCATTATTTTACTTTATTTAATTATTTTTTGAGACAGTCTCTCACTATGTAGTCCAGGCTGACCTACACCTCAAGATCATCCTGCTTCAGCCTCCTCAGTGCTGGAATTATAGACATGAGCCACCATGCCCAGCCATTATTCACATTTTACAGATAAGGAAACAGGCTCAAAGGATATACAGAAGGTGAGACGAGATGGGTGCAGTCTGCCCTGCCTGCCTCCATTACTTTACTATGGTAAAGTCAGAATTAGTTATTGGGGGAGGGTCAGCTATGCCTGTGGGCATAGTGGGGACTGCACAGGGGCATCCATGAGGATGCTGGAGGAGAAAGAAGAATGCGGGACAGCCTTCCTGGTGTCATGGCTACTACACGCCAGGCATGGGCCTCGATGATGCTTCATGAGCCACCCCCCCCACCCCACCGCCACCGACTCCCTTGTGGGTGAGGAAATTGAGACCTGGAAGGGAAGCAGCCTGCTTCAGGGCTCCAAGCTGCTGGGTGGCTGAGTGAGGACAAGATGCAGGACAGGAGTCCTGGAGCTCAGTAGGCCACTCCGGCCCGCACCTGTTGCTTCTCGCTCTCGGCCAGAAGCAGGCCCTCATCCCGCTCCTGTTGCAGCGCAGCGATCTCCTCACTCAGCTCCTCCTTCTCAGCCTCCATCCTTGCCAGCAACTCCTCCCGCTCTTGCTGCAGCTGGCCCTGTAGCTGGGTCCGCTCCGCCTGCAGCTCGCGCCATGCCGCCTCCTGGGGGCCAGGTTCAGGCCATGTGACACATTAGGAGAGGCTTAGACACCCCTCACACTTCTCAGGGTTGCAAGGGTTCAGGAGCCCCACAACCAAGAGATAGGACAGGTGATAGGTTACCATAAGGTGGGGTAATGACCAGAACTGTGAAAGCACTAGGGAGCAGCTTCTGCCTGGGCTGGGGTCAGAGGCCAGGGAGAAAGAAGTCAGCCAGGTGAAGAGAGAAGAGAGAGAACCCAGGCCAGCAGCATAGCCCTGGAAAGGCCTGGAGGGAGAGCAGGCAATACATGGGGACAATGGGCCAGCACCACAAGCACAGCCAGGCCAGGTCAGGTCCTGAGCTATAAGGATTCTGAGGATGGGGGCCTCAAGCCAAGGTGAAAAGAACAAGCTGAATTTTAGATCAGCGTCTGTCCAGACAGCAGTGGATCGGGGTCAGGGTAGGGTAGAGTGAGTGGGGTTGGCTGTGAGGGATGAAGGGGTCTGAGGCCCACAGTGAGAGAGGGCAGAGAGAAGAATACAGACTTGGAGACATTAATGAGGCCAAGCCAGGCTGGTCGAGGACTAGGTGTGTGGGGGGGGAGGGGAGGGAGGTATCACAGGAGACTGGCCCCTTGGGGGCTTGGTGGATGGGAAGGTAGAGCCCATGGGCAAAAAGCAGTCCACTTAGGGCGCTAAGGGCGGGTGCTGTCCCCTTGAACTTTGTGAAAGGCACACAATAGTGGCCCTTCTTTAAGTGCTATGCTGCCACCTGCTGGATACATGTGATAATATCTACCAGACTCCATGGAGACCAAGGAGAACCAGGGTCCCTTCTGGTCCTACAGCAGCAGCCTGTGCAGGCTGGGTGGCTCAGGGCCCTGTCCCAAGGGCCACTAAGAAAGCATCCCAGCACCATCCTAATAATTTAGAGAGCACTTACTAACAGCTAGTCACTATGTTCATCCCTTTATACAGTGGATTATCTCACCTCATCCCCCTAACACATCACACTAACCATCCCCATTTCTACAGATGGGGAAATGAAGGCATTTCACATTAGTGTGAAACCAAGATCAGACTCAAACTCAGGAAGCCAGTGTTCTAGTAACTTCCCTGGCCCCTTGCCTTTCTACTGTGCTCAGGTTCCAGAGAGTTCCTTCATATGCAGACAGCACGTCTTAGGAAACAAAAGTGCTTTTCTGCTACACACTATGTTGACCTTTCTCATATGTGACTATACACCCCTCGCATCGAGATCACCAGGGTTGGACCTAATTCAGGGCCTGGGAATTTGCATATTTCATAAGGACACCCCAACCCTATGGATGCTCCCAGGTGCCCCCAGGCTTCCATGGCAAACATAAAGTCCTGTTTCACAAATGTGGGGACTGAGGCAGAGCAAGGATGATTCCTCTGAGGGCACTGAGGAAACAGTAGCTCAGAGCCCTGCCCCCCTACACACACCCCACACCCCGCCTGCTGAACCTTTTCACGCTGAAGTCGCTGCACGTCTTCCTGGTGGGCTGCCCGCTGCTCCCGCAGAGAGGCCTGAGCCTCCCGCTCAGCCTGCACCAGCTTCTGGGCCATCAGCTCCTTGTCCAAAGCTGCTTTCTCTTCAGTGGTTATCACCTGCTGTCGCAGGCCTGCCAGCTCCCCTGCACAACGACAAGGGATGGGGGAAAGGACAGGGCGGTGTTAAAACCTCCCCCCCCCCCCCCCACCCCCCCCCTCCCGGGCCAGCAGAGCCGCATGGGCAAAATCTCACAGTGGAGAAGGCTTGCCTAGCACCTAGGCTATGATCCCTTGGAGAAGTGACTCACCCTCTCTGGGCCAGCTTTCCTATCTGCTGCACAGGCCCCCTTTCCTATCTGCTGCACAGGCCCCCTGGCTCTGTTCCCCCACTCTGCCTAGCTAGAATAGCATCAAGGGAGTAAGAAGGGCCCCACAAATGGGAAGGATGTAAAAAACGTAACAAGCCCATTACTGGCTGAGTGTTTACTACAGGATGGACACCTGTAACACTTCACTGACATCATTTCACTTCATCTTCATGACATGCCTACTTAGTTTATCCTCATCCTCATTTACAGATGAGGCTCAGAAATCAGGAGCCTCTCAAAGCTGCCCAGCTACATACAGAGTCTCCTTTAATGACTGAGCAGCATACACACATTCCCTTGAGTGTCAACACCTCAGCACTCACAGACAGGACAATATGGAAGGTAAGCCCCAGCTGGACCAGTGAAATACCATTCCCCTGGGGGAACCCACCAGTATTTCCCTTCCTGGTTCTGTCTGGCTCAAGTGGACACAGACAGGGAAATTAATTTCCATGACCCAAGAAGGTATTTAGTGTCTGGTGAGCAGGAAAAGCCTTAGCATAGAGAATGAGTTGGGAACACAGGGAAGTAAGGCTGGGATCCCGGGATGGAGAGAGTGGGAGGGAAAGCAGCTGATGACTCTGCAGGGAATCAGAACTCGCCACACACCCCAGTGACGAAGAAACAGTGGCTGCCAGTGACTGGGCCAGGCACAGTGCCAAGGCCTTCGCATGCTCTTCTCACCTCATCCTGACAATAGGCTTGGAAGTTGGGCATTGCCACCTATAATGTCAGGCGAAATTCTGTGACCCAGAGATGAAAGGGGCTTGTTCAGGCAGCTCAGGCCTGGAACCCAGGTCAGCCACACTCCTAGCTCAGGGTTCCCAACCTCTGAGAAGCCAAATCAACAGGTTGTCATCAGGGCTGAAACCTGGAGTCCCTCAGTCTCTCTTACCAGTCAGAGTCTCCTTGGCCAGCAGCAGGGCTTGTCCATCGGCTTCCAGCTGCTCCCGGCGGGCCTCGAGCTGGGCCAGCTGCCTCTGCACCTCGAATAGGCTGCTTTCCAAGGCTTCCTTCTCCAACCTGCAGTGCCCACAGACCCTGAGGCCTAGGGACTCAGCCTCCTTGGCCCCAGGAAACTATGGCTCTCAGGGCGTGGCCAGCGTGGGACCTGGGCCAGCCTACCTGCCAGGTCTGGCCCTGGCTCCCTGGGGAAGGCTGAGCCTGAGTTAGGCTGTGTTGGCAAGCTGGGCTCCTAAGTAACTTAACCACCTAAGGGCTAAGCCAGGGTGTGGCTGGCCATGATGTGGCCCCAGGCAGACCCTACAGGGACTGGGTAGAGCCCAAGGCCTTACCGCAGGTGTGCGGCCTCCTCTGATAGGGTCCGTCCTTCACGCTCTGCTGCCGCCAGCTGCACAGCCAGGCCAGCCCGTTCCCTGGCCAGTGCCTCCTTCTCCCTGGTTGCTCGCTCCAGGGCCTCCACCTGCCTCTGGGACTCACGCTGGGCCTGTTCCAGCTCCTGCTCCCGACTGTTCAGCTGCCGAGAGAGCTGGCCCCACCCAGGGACTGAGCAGAATAACCCAGAATCCCCAGACCTGCTCACCAACTCAGGGTCTAGCCTGGCCCTGGTCTGGCCTGGCCTGGCAGGCAAGAGGCCGGGGTTTGAGCCCAGGCTCTGCCCTGGTGTGCTTCCTATGGAACAAATCACAGTTTTTTCTAGACCTGCAGTGCTTACAAGTGCAAAAATAAGGGCTTCTCTCCCTCAGCTTTGGGAGTCACTGAGCCCTCTCCTCACCCCAACACTTTCAGAGAACCTGGAATATAAAACAGACCAAGGGAGCGGTTCTGCAGATGGCGGGGTGGCAAGCTGTAGCTGCTCCCTGTGCCCTGTGCTCCATTTCCTATGTACCCAGCCCCCCAGGACTGAGCCTGCATAATAGCCACTGGACCCTGACGCCCCAAGATCCCTTCCAAATGTACTGTCCCAAAGGTCCGATTCCAATTCTACAAGCCCCCACCTATTTCCATATGCTCCCTCTGTGCAGCTTAGGGCTGGCGTATCCTCTACTAAGTTGTTACACAGGTTTTCTCACATGTTCATCAAGAATAACCTAACCATGTGTGCTAAGATCTCTGGCCCCAAATTACAGATGGGTGACTAAGGCATGGGGAAGTGGGGCAGCTTGTTCAAGGGCCTTAGCTAGTGGAGGTGAGTCTGTGACTGCCCCCAAAAGAGGACAGGACGCAGGAGGTTTGGTGCCTGGACTCCTCCCCAGCCCTCTGCCCCACATGTGCATGGGACTCAGCCTACCTGGGCCAGCTGCTCCTGAAGCTGGCTGCGTTCCCTGCGCAGCGTGGGGAGCTGCTGTTCCAGTGCCTCCCGGGCCTGCTCAGCCACGTGCAGGGAGCCCTCAAGGCTCTGCCGCTCCACCTCCTGCTCCAGCCGCAGCTGCTCCAGTCGCTCCTGCTCCTCCAGTGCCAAAGTGGCCTCGTGCTCTGCCTGCTGCTGCCGACCCAGCAGGGCTGCCTTTTCCTCCTCCAACTGGAGGTGGGGAAGGTGGGGGTGAGCAGGGGTCCCTCCCAGGACCAGGAATGTCTCCTCCACCCTCCCAGTGAGTATGCCCAGCCAGCTCCTCCACAGAGGAAGGGGCAGCACCCTTGAGTGTGGGGCACTAGGGAGGAGAAGCAGGGCTCACAGACCTTGCTTCTCTGTATGTGAAAGAAAACAATCAAAGACAAAGATTGAGAGACAGGAGAGGCAGATTCTAAGGCAGAAAGACACAGGGTGTGGGGTCCCCGATGCCTCAGTGAGGTCTCCTGGGCAAGGAGGACAGGTGGCCAGAGGTGGGCCCATGGTGCACAGCATACCCGGGCAACAAGGCGGTTCAGCTCCAGCTTGTCCTGGGCAAGGCTCTCATTGAGGGCACCAAGCTTGGACAAGGAGTCTCGCAAGGAAACCTCCTCTGCCCTCAACTTGGTCATGGAGAGCTCGAGCTCCACGCGACTGGACTCAGCCTGCAGGGTGGGGACAGGGCAGTGAAAATCAGTCAGGCAGAGAGACACAGGGTGAGTGGGAAGAGACAGGACTTGACATGGAGAGAAAGACCCTCCAAGATGGGGCAGGGAGACTAGAGGGAAATGTGACATGAGTCAAGAAAGATCCCTGCACAGGGTAGCCCATAAGGCCGTCTTAAAGGAGCTGCACACCACAGAGCTGCTCAAGACAGCAGTGCAGGGCAGGGCCAGAGGTCAGAGGGGACCCCAAGTAGGGCACAGGGGTCTAGGACGCTGCAGGAGTGGGGCACACACTGCTAAGGACTCTCAGGACCCTGGTCCCAACTCTCACAGACCCAGATGGGACTTGAACCAAGGACCTATGTCCAGAGATGGGACGGAATGACCCTGAGCTCCCGGGACTGGATGACTGAGCTCCAGGCACTGGCCTCAAAAGCATCTGGAAAAGCAAGGACATGGCCATTTACAGAGGTCAATCCACTTACGGCCAGGATCAGAGGTCAGTCTGTAGCTCAAGTCAAAGGTTAGCCTATGTGCAGAGGAAGGGGTCAGTCTGTGAACAGGCCAGGTATCATCCTGAAATCAGGACCGGTCTGTGGCCAGTGGGAAGGCTTGGGGCCCAGATCAGGGGCAGGTCTGTGGCTGTGTGATAACCAGGGACCTACCTTGGTCAGTGCCTCAGCCACCTCAGCCTTTTCAGCCTGCAGCATGTCCCGTTGCAGTGTGGCACAGCTCAGCGCTTCCCTCACCTCCACCAGCTCCTTCACCAGCCCGGAGCGCTTCACCTCCAGCTGCTCCAACTGTCTGTGGCTGTGGGACAGAGGATAGGTGGTGTCCCATGTCACTTCCCTGCCCTGACCCTCCAACAGCTTGCAGGATGTTGGGCTGGAGCCTGAAGGAAAGAGCCTCATCCCTAAGTATAACCGAGTGCACCACCTCTTAGATCTGTGGCTCTGGGCATCAGTGTTCACATCTGAAAAATGGAGCAGCACCTGCCTTGTGGAATACACACTGCCTGTACAGGAGGCACTCCAAATTCTGCCTGACACATCTCCCCAAGGGTCTCCAGAACCAAGAAAGCACTAACCCTTACCACAAAGCACTAAACATCATCATCATCAGGTATGTCTCAAAGAGATAAATAGTGCAGGTTCAAACACTGACTCTTCTACTAACTGTGTGCCCTGGGGCAAGTTTCATGATCTCTCTGTGCCTCAATTTATAAAACGGACATAATACCTTCTACATCAAAGAGTTATCCTGAGGGTTAAATGAGAAAACCTAACTGCTTAAAATGGTTTCTGACAGTATTACTGTAAAATGACTTAATTTAAATTTTAAAAATATGACTATTATTTCGTTGCTGATGTTCCTATCATTCAAGCCCTACCTCCTACTGTTTTTTGTTTATTTTTTCTGTTTTTGTTTTTTTGCAGTACTGGAGCTTGAACTCAAGGTCTATACCTTGAGCCACTACCCCAGCCCTGTGTGTGTGTGTGTGTGTGTGTGTGTGTGTGTGTGTGTGTGTTAGGTATTTTTGAGATAGGGTCTCATGAACTATTTGCCCAGGCTGGCTTCAAACTGCGATCGTCCTGATCTCTGCCTCCTGAGTAGCTACGATTACAGGAGTGAGCCACTGGTACCTGGCTCCTACCAGTTTTCTAATCTCAGAGACTGTTTCGCAGAGTGGGGCTGATTCAAAGACCTGCATCAGAATGGTACTGGAGGCTGCCTCCAGATTGCAGACTAGCCAGCTTGGGCCAGGAAACCTGGATACTCCCTGGCCCCAGGGATGCTGTCAGAAGCCCAAGGTACACTGGAAGGGCCCTGGCAGTCAGGCAAAGAGAAGCCCACCTGCGCTCCAGCTCCCTGTGTGCCCGGCTGCTGTCCTGCGTCGTGTCCTCATGCTCTTCCTCCAGCAAGTCTCGCTGGCGTCTCAGCTCCTCGTGAGCAACCTGTAGCTTCTCTAGCTCCTGGCGCAGGTCCTCAGCCTGCTGATGGGCCACCTGCAGACTGTGGGCCAGGCTGCCCTTCTCCCTGCAGGACAAGGGCAACTCTGGGGCTGTGCTCCCCAGGGAAAATGGTTGGGTGGCCAAAGGCCATATTCTACATCCTCCAAGGCACTTGCCTCCAGGAAGCATTTGTTCCCCGTTGGGCCACAGCTGAATCTCACCCACACCTCCCAGCAGAAGGAGCCTTCCTTTTCTTCTCCCAGCCTACCCATTTTTCAGGCCAAGTAGAATGGATGGAGGTGCTGACATTACCTGCCATCACCTCACCAGGTAGAAGAGGCCAGAGTAGGCTCCAGGGACACACAGGCAGTCTTGCTACCAGTTCTGCTGGCCATGTGGCCAGGAAGTGCCCCTCCAATATCCACCACCTTTGACTCTGGGAAGGCCGAGAGAGGTGGGTCTGTTCCAATGCAGAGTAGGCAGTACATGGCAGCCACAGCAGGAAATGGGGGAGGCAGAAACTGGGAACCCCAAAGGCTTGCAGAGAGCTGCCATCTTCCCCAAACCCTGTAGTCTGTAACATCTCCTTCCAAGCCAGCTGGAGTTTCTGGCTCAAGTTTGGCTACCCCCTTTTACTCGGAGTGACAACCCCTAAGTATACTAGATACCAAAGCCAGCAGTGGGCAAGATGAAACTCACAATATGCTATTAAGTTAAAATAGTAGAATGAAAAACAGAATGCTTTGCTGTGACCATAACTACTTAAAAAGCCTGTCTCCAGACCAGGTATGGTGGTGCACCCCTGAAAATAATATTAGTTATTCAGGAGGTGGAGATCAAGAACATGGTATTTCAAGGCCACCTTGGGCAAAAAATTAGGGAGACTCCCATCTCAAACAAAAAGCTGGAGGTGGCGGTTCACACCTATAATCCAAGGTACCCAGGAGGCACAGGTAGGAGTGTCATGGTCCAGGCCGGTCCTGAGCAAAAAGTGTGATACTCTTTCCAAAAAATAACCAAAGCAAAAAAAAAAAAAAAAAAAAAGCTGGGGGTGTGGCTCAAGGGACAGAGCACCTGTCTAGCAAGCACAAGGACCTGAGTCAAATTTCAGTCTGCCAAATAAATATATAAATAAATAGCCAGGCACTGGTGGCTCATGCCTGTAATCCTAGCTACTCAGAAGCAAGAGATCAAGAGGAACGCAGTTCAAAGCCAGCCCAGGCAAATAGTTTGCAAGACCCTTTCTCATAAAACCCTATCACAAAAAAGGGCTAGTGGAGTGGCTCAAGGTGAAAGTCCTGAGTTCAAGCCCCAATACTGCAAAAATAAATAGCCCATCTCCTTCATCCAAGTTCCAGTGCCCACCTTGCTGCTCTGTACAGTGAGTTTCAAATTGCAGGAATCTGAAAGAAAGACTCACATGTGTTGAAATAACACAGTGAAGCACTTGGCAAACGACTGGGCACATAACAGGTGTTCTTCTGTACCTATTGTGCTGCCTCACTGGCAGAAGTGGATAGAAGACAAAACCAGTGCCCCCAGTGGGTTAGGAAGGGCATGTGAGGCTGTTGAGGGCCCCATTTGATTTCCCTTCTGTTTTTCAAACTTTTGGTTAAACATTTCCATTTAGGAAGAGGAAAAAAAAAAAGCAACAAAAAAGTCAAAAACAATCAGGTAGATGAGAGGTGGGTAACTTCTTGACTGAAAAAGCTCCAAGAAGGCTGAGAATGTGGCTCAGGGGCAGAGCGCTTTCTTAATATGTGCTAGGTCCTGGGTTCCATCCCCAGCACAAGAAACAAAACAAATGGGCTGGTGGATTGGCTCAAGTGGCAGAGTGCCTGCAAGCATGAGGCCCTGAGTTCAAACCCCACTACTGAAAAAAACCCTCCAGGAAACAATCTAGAACAGGGATCTCAACATATCCCTCTGGGACTCTGGCATGTCCTATAGATGTGTAGCTCTGGAGCACTTGACATGTGGCTGGTGTGACCGAGGCTCAGAATTTTTACTTTCTTGAAGTTTTAAATTTTTTTTTTTTTTTGATAGTTCTGGGTATTGAACCCAGGGCCTCCAGCATGCTAGGCAAGTACTCTACCACTTGAGCTATGTCCCCAGTCCTTAATTTAAGTTTTTATGGGTACACATGGCTAGCGGTGACATATCAGAGCACAGTCACATGCTTAAAGCCTTGGGGGCCCTTGGGGCAGACACGGATTTACTGATTCACCCGCCATCATCCCTGACGTCCTGCACACCTGCTCAGGAGGTCATTGGCGCTCTGCAGACGCTGGGCCTCACGCTGAGCATCTTCTTGGGCCTGGGTGGCACCATCCATCTTGTCCCGAAGGAGCTGCAGCTGCTCCTCTAGGGCACGCCGCTCACCCTCACTGTCACTAACCTGCTTCCGCAGGGTGCCCAGCAGGTCCTGGCTTGCCTCATAGCGGCCACGCATGTCCTGGGGCATAGAGGTCACTGAGTTTGGGGGAGCCCACCTACTCTCTGCTAGTTCTACAGGGCTGGGCCTGGCCTGGGCAGGAGAGGATTCCGCTCTCCTGCTCTATGCCCTGGCCAATTTTGGAGTATTCACCTCCCTGTAGTCTGAGCCTCCAAGAGGGGCTGACACCACCCCCAACTCCACCTCCCTCTTGCATCCTGGCTCCTCCCTTCTATTCCGCCCCTAGCTCCCAAGCTCCTCTCCTCCTAGACTGATTCCTCCTCCCACACATTTTTACCGATCCCGGTTCTGTGTATCTCTTCTTTGCGTGACTCAGGCTCCGCCCCCGAGCACTTCCAGCTTTGGGCTCAGATTCTGACAGAGTTCTCAGTAAACCCCTGAGAACTTACCTGCCTTCCTCAGTTGCTACTTCTCAGGGCCTTGGCCCCACCCCCAGGACTCAGGCCCCGCCCTCAGGGTACCCAGGCCCCTGACTGCAGACTGCAGGGGGGATGCTCAAGTCCCTTCCCACCTGGACCTGTAGCTGGCGCTTATGCAGGGCGGAGTGGATCAGTGCAAGCATGGAGGAGTCTGAGCAGGCCGGGGACGGGCCTCGGCGTGGGGAGCGGCCGCGGCTGGGCGAGGAGCGCTGCGGTGGGGACGGGGTGCGCAGGCCGGAGAGCCCCCGCAGACTGCCATCGGAGACATCTACTGTGCGCTCTGAGCCGCTCAACTGGACACCGCTCTCCGTGTCAGACAGGACAGCCTGGGTGGCAGGGATAGGCAGGAGCAGGAGCCCGGGGTTAGCTAAACAGACCCAGGTGAGGCGGCCCACTCTTCACAAAAGCCCCCTTCCTCCCAGCAGCCTTCCTGAGTCCACCCCTTCCACCAGCACACAGACCCCAGCTCGCCAGGTAAGGCCTCATATACTGCAAAGACACCATTCAGTGTTTCTCACACATAGCCTGTCAGCCTCCCTTCTGAGATGGGCTCCCCAGGCAGAGGCAGGTCAGCTAGCAGGATGTGGAATAGCAACAGCCAGGGTGCCCAGCCCCCACCCACTTCCAGTTCAGCTGAGGTCCCCCACCACACCTGTGCCAGGTCCTTCAGGGTCTGCTGCAGCCCCTCACCATCATCTGTCTCCAGGGCTGCCTGCTCCTGCAGCCGCAGGGATTCCTGGAGTGAGACACAGAAAAGGTGGGCCCTGGCTCTGTTCCTAGTTCCCAGGAATCCCACCTGGGAATCCATCCCTGGTCCCCCCAATCAGATGGTCTCCACAGCTGTGCCTACAGGCCAGCTGCCCAATCTGCCCCATGGCAGCCTACTACCCTCACTGAACAGAGGAGGCCCAGAGAAGCACAGTGCCCTGTGTCAGTCACAGACTCCTGGAGGAGCGCCCAAGCCACACAGAGGGTGACCAAACCAGGCAGTGCCCTGGAAGAATACACCTCTGGTGGAGAGGCAGCAGTGCGACACGCCTGGTTCAGAGCCCCCTGGGCCTTGCTCTTCTCTCCTGAGCAGTAGGCTTATGCTGCAGGGCTGCTGGTGAATGTCCCATACCAGCCTGGCAACCGTGGTGAGCGATGACACAGTCTGAGTGGGATGCTCTGATGTCCTAAGCAGCCCGGCCCTAAGCTGTGGTCCCACCCTGCCTGGTCATCCCAGGGAGGGGCAACTGCATCTCACCAGGGTCTCCAGCTTCTCAGAGAGAGTCTTGTTGACCTGATCCTTCTCCAGGTTCTGGTTCTGAAGGCGCTCCACCTCCAGGGCCAGCTCTGTCACTCTGGAGGTGGGAAAGCAACAGAGGTGAATGGCGCCCCATACCAGCTTCCCCTCACATCCACCAGTTTGTGTCCTTCATGCTTCCACCAAACCTAAGAACCAAACCCCAGGATCCACTTCCCTAGCTATGAGACCTTGAGCAAGTCACTTCTCTCCTCCGGCCCTTGGACTTCTCATCTGTATAATGGGAATGAGATTACCACCAGCTGTATCTCATGGGAAAGCAGTCTGGGCCTCACCTAGGAGGTGGGAGTTGGGGGGGGGGCACACAATCTGTCACAGGAGGCTGAATTGTTCAAGATGTACATGAGCCATGGGCATGAGCCCTCTGAACCTCAGACAGAGTGCCTGGGAAGCCTGGCTGAGCTCATGCAGGGGAAAGGCCTGTTCCCAGAGAATAGACACTCCTCCAGGGAAGACCTCTGCAGGGAAACTGGCCTTGAATGGTGCCAGTCACCACCCACCTGGCACTGAGGTCAGCCTTGTCCATGTCCCTCTGCACCTGCAGCTGGGTCAGGTCCTTCTCAACTAGCACCTTGACCCGCAGCTGCTCCTCCAGCTGAGCCTGCAGCAGCGCTTGCTTCTCCAGGGCCGTCTCAGCCCGACTCTCTGCCAGCTGCAGGCCTGAGCTCAGCCTCAGGCCCACCTCCTGGACAGTCCGTGATGTCCGGGCCAGCTCCCCTCCCAGCTGCAGCAGGTCCCTGGGGAGAGAGCATGGGATGTGGGTGGCTCCCAAGTGCAAATTGAAACTACGCCAGGATGCCATTTGTCACTATCAGATTGGGGAAAAAATGTCACGCAATGCTTGGTGTGGGTGAAGCTGTGGGGAAATGGGTCCTCCCCTACACAGCTGGCAAAAGTGCAGGTGGGTACAACCGCAGTGGAGGTTCACCTCCATTCAGCTCCGCCTCTCAGAATGCATCTTACAGATATACTCCAGCACAAAGGAATGACCTGAGTACAGGTCACTGCAGTATTGCTCATGTAAAAAATACTGGTGACAACCTAAGCAGCTATCAAAAGAGGACTGTTATTAAATGATGGCACACCTATCACTTAATCATTTATCATTATTTATCATGACATACCCTGTGGTCAAGAAAAGCCAATAGGGAAGCTTTTTCTAGCCTGATATGGAACCACCTCCCAGTGTAACAGGTGGAGAGAGCATCTCCAAGACCTGCAAAGAAGCCGGGCCTGGTGGCTCACTCCTGTAATCCTAGTTACTCGGAAGGCAGAGATCAGGAGGATTGTGGTTCAAAGCCAGCCTGGGTAAAGAGTTCATGAGAGCCTATCTAGAAAATACCCAAAAACAAGGCTGATGAAGTGTCTCAAGTGGTAGAGCGCCTGCCTAGCAAGCATGAGGCCCTGAGTTCAATCCCCAGTACCACTAAACACACACACACACACACACACACACACACACACACACACAGGGGACAGAGGAACATGTTAAATGACACCACAGGGATCCAGGCAGTAAAATCCAGATGGGGATTCTCTGAGGACAATTGGCCCAGTTTCCTGAACAAATAAGACTTTAAAAAAAAAAAACACATTTTGCAAATGTCTATGACTTCTGATTCAAATAAACTGTAAAGACAAAAAATAAAGTAGGCTATCTGTAACTTTTTTTTTGAGACTGTTTATTGTGTAGCCCAGACCATAAACTCACAATCCTCCTGTTTCAGTCTCACATGTGCTGGGATTACAGGCATGCCTCACCATGCTCAGTTTATCTGTAACACTAATGAATCAAGTGGAAAATCTGGACAGTGACTATTTGATATTAAAAAAAGAAAACATTAACTTAAAAAATTTGTGACTGTGGAGTGGCTCAATGTCTAGCATGCAGCCCCAAGTTCAAACCCCAGTACTACCAAAAAAACATTATGCAAAAAGGGAAACATGTGGGTCTCTGTCTCACAGCTCTCTGGCCACTGTCATGCCGACTGTTCACAATGAGCACAGCTGGCCTCTGCTCAGAGCATGAACAGGACCACGCTCCCCAGCACAAAGTTGCCTTCCCCTTCCCTGCTCTTGACTCCCACCTCACTGCCTGCGGTTCCTCCCACCCCCAAGTCCTGGCTCATGCTATTCCCGTGCTTGGAGAGTCCCCGGCTCTTCCACTCAATCCTGCCTATCCCTCAAGGCTCCATTCGAACCCCACCTCCTCCATAAAGCATCTTCCTGAGACGCACCTCCTGTCCTTCAGAGCTTCTGGGACATTCCTTCTGTCTCCCTCATGTCGCTGACCATTCCTTCCCTCAGTCTAGAATTTTGCCATTTCTTTCATCATTAGAGGTTGCAAGGTCCGTGGTAGCAGAATTGAATATTCTAGTGCATGATAAACAGCTTCAAATACTAACTCAGTCACTCACTGCTGTGTGTGATCCTGGGAACATCACTCAACCTGACCAAGCCTCCATGTCCTCATTGATAACAGGGAGTATTACAGCTCCTGCCTCCCATGTACAAAGAGCCTGGCTCCAGGTAAATGGTGACCTCCTCCACTGTGGTAAGAGTTCACTGCTACAAGTGGCCTCTGCCTCTCCACGGGGCCTGGAGCAAGCAGGTGTGCAGAGTTGAGTTGGACTTGGAGAGACAGTTGCTCCCTGAGCAGGCCCCATCCCCAGCCGTGCCTCACCTCTCTGTGCCCATCTTCACCTCGCCGAGCAGCCGTCGGAACCCCACAACCTGCCTCCAAAGCAGGAGCAGGCGGCTGTGCTCGCTGCTGAAGTAGGCATTGAAGGACTGGGGGGAGAAGAGCCAAGTGAGGGGCTAGAGGAGGCTGGCCAACTCCTCCCCCCTGGTGCCACCAGCTCTGACCATGGCACAAGGCACATGGCCCAGGGTCTCCCTGTGGGCAAGGGCTGCGGAGCTGCATGCTTGCACTCTCAGGTTTCCCACTCTTCCTGCACAGGGAGCTGGGTTTTGGTGCCACACTGGTGGCGAGGCAGCAAGGAGGGGTGAAACATGCCAGGGACCTAGGTTTTCGTTCCAGCTGACAGTGATGACCGAAGGCTGGTTACTTAACCTCTCTGTAAGTGAGGATAATGACAGCAACGACCACAGGCCATTCATTATGAGAAGGAATAAAAGAATGTGTGCCTGGCACATGGTGCAGTCTAATAAAGACCAGATCTTACCAAGATGACTGTGACCTCTGCTAAGGTGTTCACTTGGCCAGGCTCCCTGTGCCTCTCCAGATTGCAGCCTTCACCTCTCTGCACAGATCCCACCCCCATCAGCTGGCCAGCCAACTCTCCAGCACACCTCCTCCTCTCGCCTCCATGCTGCCTCCCGCTGCTCCAGCTCCTTGCAGCTGCGGGTCCAGTCGCTGGTTACCTTGCGTATATCCTCGCTCAGAGTCTTGTTGGCCGAGCCTGCCTGGTCTAGCTGCTCCCGCAGCATAGCGTTCACCTGGGCCAGGCTGGCGCTCCTGGGCAGGGTGAAAGAGGCCAGTGAGTGCTTGCTCACTCAAGGGAAAGAAGGGTCGCAATACCAGCCCCACACCCTCCCTACCTCACCCTCACCTCTGCTGCTCCTCCTCCAGGCGGAGGAGGGTGCTCTCCAGGTCTTGGGTGTGCTCTGTGTCCTGGGTGGAAGGAGGGAGCATCAGGCTGGGCAGACAGAGGTGGGAGCCTACCCCTACCACATCCTGGCACCCACCCTCAGCCGCTGCTGCTCCAGCTCCGTAGACCTGTCCAGCAGCTGCTGCTCCAGCTCAGAGCACTTCTTCTTGTACTGCAGAATCTGAGGATGGTTGAGTAGCAACATTAGGCCCAGGTGGGGGGGGGTGGTAAGCATGGGGGTGGGGCAAAGTAAAGCAAGGGCAGGAGCAGGAGTGGGTGGCCCTGACCTTGGCCTGCAGCCGCTGCACTAGCTGGGCCTGCCGCTGCTGACCCTCCTGGTAGGCCTGCAGCTTGCGCCGGTAGGAGGCTTGCTCCTCCTGCAGCTGCCTCCGCAGCTCCACACTCTGCCGTACCAGCCCCCTGGGCTCCTGCACCTCCAGCTCCCCAGACTCCAGTCGCACGGCCTGGTCCAGCTGCAGGGAAGGGCCCTGGATAAGAGGACTGCATCTCCTAGGAAGGCAGGTACAGGCCTCTGCAGGTGATGCCAGGCAGGGCCCACACCCACAATGCCTTGCAGGCTAATAGCCTAGCACCCAGAGAAGCAGACACATGAAGGCAAGCCCAGGACACAGTGCACACATGCATAGGCTAATCAGCTGTGGGAGAGTTAATGCAGCATGCATGGGCATACAGGTGAGTATGCAGGTAGTCCCACAGCCACGTGTGTGCAAACCGGAAACCACCTGGGGGGTAGGCCATAGACGCCCTCAGTGCACCTGTGTGCCTCTCCCCTGGAACAGTTAACTTCTTTTAATTTATTATGACTAGATTTGTTGCTATGTTTTCCTACCCCAACCCTCCCCAAGGGGAGCTCAGGAAAGCCTGGATTTTTGTTCCCCATTGTACCTTAGTACCTAGAACAGTGGCAGTGGGTTGACATTGCACACACCCGGTAAAGATTTGAGATCATGAACTAATGGCACGCATTCAAAACAGGCATGAAATGCATCTGCAGATCTGAGCTTACAGTCAGGCACACACGTAACACATACAGGCATTCTCAACTGTCCCAGGGTGACACAGATGAGCCTCCCCCATATACACAGCATTAAGACCTGTAATGTAATCCCATACACACCTGCTTGGCACCCTCTCACCCCCACCTCTGCCTTACCTCACGGGAGCCTCCTTTGCCCCTTTACTCCACCCCTACGTAGCATTCAGTGTCATCTTCAGATCCTGTGGGCACAGGCAAGACACCTGCCTGGCTCTGTGTGCCCCCACTAGCCATGAAGACCTCTCAACCTGCTTAAGGTACCCACTGATCCCAAGTGATCCCCTCAGCCTCCTCCACTGCTCAGGGAGGGAAGTGAGGGAAGAGGGGCTGAGGATGAGTAAGACTCAGCAGAGTAGTGAGAGTACACAGGAGGGTGGGGAAGCTGGGAGGTATACATAACACCTAGCTGACTCCAAAAGTACCCATCATACTCACCATTCACCTTCCTAGCACCTGGCCTGCTACAGCCTAGGCAGGGCCTTCCCAGTCTCAAGCATTCAGGGCCACACCAGTCACATGGAAGTCACCAGAGGAATGGCTTTTCTCGCCCACATTACTTAAAGTCTAGGCCAAGTCAGTGGTAAGGTCAGCCACATAGACCCAAGTATTCCCAGAAGATTCTCAATGAGCCACCTACAAAGCAAAGACCACTGCATCTCTACCCACCCCACTCTGGGACACACTGGGGGACAGATGAGTGTGCCCACCGGGGCCACTCCAATAGGCAGGAGCTGGCCATGGTCACATGGGGCTTCACCATGAATGGGGAGGAACACAGGCTAAGGCTATTGAGGGAGGTGACAGTAGGGGCTCTGCCTGGATGCTGGCTGCAGGCCCATGGCAAGTGTCTGCATGAAATCCACCTAAGGTGGGTGGTGCAGTGTCACATCCATATGCGGTGATAGTGGCCTCGAGAGGTGTATGTTGTTGCAAGTATGCCTCACTGGCCGTGAGTTGGGTATGTTTAAACATTTGTGTCCACATGCCACCCCGTGTGTCTTAGTGTGTGCTGAGTGCATAGCAACAATTTAGCCCATCTGGGTCTTCATCTGGACCTGGCTGAGGCGGCGTCCATGATGCGACACAGGCACTGTGGCTGTGTGTATGAGGGCATGAGTTGATGTGTGATAGGAAGGCATGGCACATGTGAGGGGTCTGGCAGTGTGTCTGGGCCACCCGTGTCGCTGGTGCATGGCAGTGACTGTGTTTTGTGCATCTGTATTTTTGTGTGGCTGCTTGGTGGCAGTGCTGTGGTCTGTCTGTGTTTATTCTTGAGACACAAGACAGTGTGCTATGCTGTCTGCATTGTGGGTACAAGGTGGTGGTGTGACCATCTGTCCAGATGCTGCTCTGTGCCTGTGTGGGGATGTACACTCTTGAGCTGTGGGTGTGGGCTACACTGCACACACTCTGTCTATCTGAGTGAATCTATGAGGTAGGTGTGTTTCTGTGTGGTGTGTCTTGTGTGGGGTGAGTTGTGGCCTACAGTGTGCTCTGCATTTCCACATGACCCCAGTGTTGCTGGCTTCTGTGATGTGGAGAAGTTCTGGAAGCTGCCAGGGGTGGGGGAGACAACCCCTTCCTCAATGCTCAGAGCCAGGCTACTCCAAGCCATACCTCACCTCTCTCCACAAACTGCCCCTCACAGAACAGCCTTTCAATTCTACTTGCAATTCAAAAGGGAAGGAGGCTGCCACAAGCTAGGATGAAAGTTGTTTACTGTTCCCTTAGCAACCATGGCCCTCCCGCCTCATTCAATTCACCAAGTCCATGTTGCCATGGGCACTGGAAGTGTAGGGATCAGTCCTCTGGAACCGAAACCACTCCCTCCTTCCCTTCTGAGCTCACCCTACTCCCAGGGGACCCTGAGGTCTCTGACCTGGAGGTAGCCTCGGAGCCCCTGCCTCTGTTTTCCCGCAGGACATCCAGTTAATAGAACATGGACCCTGACCCTCTCTTTACTCCCTATCCCAGGGCTGCTGCAGGGTTTGAAAGATCCGAATGACCTCACTTAGTGTCTCCCATGCAAGTGTGTACCCATGCCTCCCTGACACACACAGACACACACACATGTAAGTTCATGCCCTTGATACACTCAGACAGACACAACACCTGCACCGCAGCCCACCATGCAAGTTATAGCCACAGGGGCATTTGCCAGATGGCTGCAGAGCCCTGGACCAGGGTCTCATCATTCCAGCTTTGCCAATGACCATGGGCCTATCAGGCCTCCATCTCCAGGCCTCGGATTCCCATCTGCAGTAAGGTGATCACCAGGCTCCGATGTTCTATTGACCCCTCTCCAGGAAAAGACTTCAAGGTCATTCATTCTCATCCAATCCCTGTCTCCATGTAGACCTCACAGAGGACAATTCCAACACCAGGCTCCTCCAGCAAGTTCCCCACCCTCCACCGTCACATGAGGGAACTTTCTAGACTAACTCAGACTCTTCATGCTGCAGCCCCAGCAGCTGTGTTGAAGCAAAGAAGGGACCTGCTACCTCCCACCTCTTCTTCCCTTCCTCTGCTAGCTTCCCTGTCACTGAAGCTGGCATTTAAAAGGCTGCCCCTAGGGGAGCTTGGCAATGTGCCAAGGACCAACAGGGGCTGAAACTAGGAACAGACTGGCTCAGTGCCCCATCACCAGTGACAGTGCAGGACCCAGGCCAGCCTGCCTCCATACCCCCTAGAGACCCTGGGAAATGAGTTCTATACTGTTCCAAAAGCTAGGGGCCACCTTAGGCCCCCCATTCTGCTTCTTAACAAGCCCCAACAAGTAAGGGGATTGTCCAGGCAGGCAGCTACTAGGACACGGGTACACCCCACAACAGAAATGCACACATCCCCCTTTCCCAATACCAGCATGCAGGACTCTGTACAGACAGGCCCAGCTTAGGGGTCCTGGACCAACCCTGGTCCTGCTATGAACACACAGGGACTCTAGAGAAGCCCAGTGGCTCTTTTCATACCCAGGAATCAAGTGCTGGGAGCCAGGAAACCTGGGAGCTTGTCCTAACTGGCTATGTAACCCAAGCATGATGCTTTCCCTCTCTAAGCCTCCATTTTCCCCTCTTAAGCGAGCATCACATTTCTCCTGATCTAAGTGCTGTAACGACAAAGGGCCCAGCACGTTCCAGGCACACAGTAAGCACTTAATAGGTGACAGCAACTATTACAACTGTTATTACCGCCCACAGCCTTCCATCTGCACACACACCCTCCATCCCTCATACAACGCTCACGTATTCTTTGGCCACCGTTAATTCCCTAGGGTCACCTGCCATAAGTCTGGGGGCCCAACAAAGACAGTGTACGTAGAGCATACTGCACCCTGGTTCCCACCTATCTCCCACCCCAGACCCTGAGAAGCCCCGCAAAATCCTGCAGCATAGGTCCCTGGGCAATGGGAATCCTGTCTGGACACGCAGATAAGCCTGACTCATCCTTTCTTCCCTACCCAGGCCTCACCCCCATGGGGAGCAGCAGCAGGCCTTGTTGGCAGAAGCAGACCAGCCTACACAATGTGGGACTGGAGGAGTGGCTCAAGTGGTAGAGTGCTTGCCTAGCAAGCTTGAAGTCCTGAGTTCAAATCCCAGTACCACAAAAAAAAAAAAAAAAAAAAAGTCTGGTGTGTGCATCCAGTCACTGCCTTGACCCCAAGGTCCATGGAAATGGGAACCCAAGATGTCCAGAGCCTCAAGGAGCAGGAAGTGCCCCACACCCCAAGCAGGCCTGCATCAGATGGGAATAAAACACTCCTGCACCAGGCACTAACTCCAATACCACCACATAGCAACTGCCATCCGCTACAGAAAACAGGCTCCCAGAGGGGAGCGAGGCCACTGATTTGGCAGAGCCACAAGCTGAACCTGGGGTGGCCTGTCCCGTGGGCCCACCCTTGCTCCCCTGGAAGAGGGGAGCTCCAGCACAGCCCTCAGCCCCAGCAGCACCCACCCGCTCGCTGACAGCGTTGTACTTAATAGCAAGCTCATCACGCTCCGCACGGCTCTGGGCCAGCAGGTCCTCCACACGGGACAGCTCCTGCTGCAGCAGTTGGTTCTCCTCCTGCAGGGACAACAGCGAGGCCATCTCTGGGGCCGGCGGTGGGGCTGGCAAGGGACAGCAGGCACATGGTTGGCTTCTGCCTGGGTCCAGTGGGACACCCTCCCCCCCATTCATCCCTTGGGGCAAGAGGATGAACCAGGCTCCTGGCAGGAGCTTGGGTGAGAGTGGCTGCAGCATCAACTGATAAACAGAACAGAGAAACACGAAGAAGATAGGTAAGAGAGGCTGAGAGTTAGACTTAAGCGGGCACAACTACAGCAAGTGTGGCCCTGCAGCCCTAGGAGGCGCAGGAGGGAGGCACCGTCTAGGAGCCAGGGAAACTTCCATTTCTATCCACCCCACCCAGGGACACAAGGTCCTTCTCTGATTCTTCTCAGGGCCTCAGTTTTGCTCATCCAGATGGAACAGTAACCAGATCCTGCCAGGAGAGCAGGAAAGCCTCACTGGAGGGCAGTGCTTCTCGTAACTTCCAAGGTCAGGGCTCAAGATAGTGTAGGCCGGGTTTCGAAGAGGAGGAAAAGAAAGGCAGAGGAAAAAGCAGAGTTGTCCATCTTCTGTGGACTCCACTTTCACCCTGGAAGAACTGGACACACCCATAGGCCTCACACAGCTGCCCTTCCAGCCTGGGGTGGGGACTCTCCACCCCCTCTCTGGAGCTCTAGGGCCAAAACGTCCCTGGTTTTGCCAAGGAGAGGGCTCATCCCTGACCGGGCAGCTAAATGCAGACTGTAACAGGAGCACCAAAAACAACCCAGGCCCAGCTGCCAACATACCAGCCGAACCATGTGTGCCCTTGCCCAGACACTCAGGCCACATAAATGAGGCCCTGCAAGTTGTGCACCAGGAGGAGCAGGGGCCATTCGACCTCTGCAAAGACCTGATCTGAGCTGAGCTGCCCTCCTCTCGCAATCTCAAGCTCACCCAGATCACGCTTCATGGTATTTAGGGTTCAAGTCCTTGTAGCAGACTGCAACCACGCGGGGAAGGACCACTCAGCCCTTCCCTTGTGACCCAGAGGGAATAAACAAATCTGGCAAATGATCTATCAGCCTCCATCTCCTCCTATGTGAAATGGGTACCTCCACCACAGGGCTGTGCCTGCCTAGAGGTGAGCAGTCAAAAAACTGACAGTACAATCCAGAACAAGGACAGGGGTGTGAAAAGGGGAGCATGCGCAGTGTCCACGGAGGGGGTGGCACCTGGGCTCTCAGGCTGGGAGAAGTTGCTGGTGACGATCTCCCTGATTCGGACTGGCAGGCCAGCAGGTTGGGAGGCCTGGGCCGGGTCGTGCACCCTCAGGCCCTTCTCCTGGCCCGGCCCCAGGACGCTGCTCTCCAGTGTCTGCAGGGAATGAGAAGAGTCTTCAGGGACCTGGGAGGAGAGGAGCAAAGTCCAGTGGCCCAAGATATGGGTGCCCAGGAGACCCTTGGAAATCCCTGCCTGGGTGTTAGAATCACAAAGAGCTCCATGGGAGGAGGGAGGCTCTTGTGCGACCCTGCCCTGGGAACTAGTCCTAAGGGCCAGAGAAGAAAACCAACCCCACAACCACGAGGGACAGTATAGAGTGTTGGGGGCTCCAGTGCAGCTCTGACCCAAGGTGGTTAAGAATCTTGCTAGGCCAGAGAGCATCTGAACCTAAAATCGTGCAGCCGGGACCCCTTCCCCCACCACAAGGTACTGGGATAAGGGAGCCCAAACAGTTGCACCCCACGTGCCCCAAGGAGCTGATACCTGGAGCCCCCGTGCACCCACCACTACATGTCCCTCCCCTCGACTCCCAAGATGCACCTACCTCCCAACCCTCAGGCCAGGCTCGTATGCCCAGCCCTGGACAGGGTGGGCACAACCCTAGGACCCACCTGGATAACGGTCTCCAGTGCCAATTGGGCCTCCGGCGACTCCGCCAGCCCCAGGTTCATGAGGGAGGCGGACTGTAAGGATCCCCCCGCCCGCTTCCCCCGGGACTCCAAGACCAGCTCAGCACGGGCACCCCAATCCAGGCGGCTACGCTGAGCACTGCGCAGATTAAGCTTAAATCCGGCGCGTCCCCACGTGACCACAGTGGGCGGGGCGGGGCTGAGCCGAGAGGGGAGGGGAGAGGAAGGGAGGACGGCGGGAAGCTGAGGCCCGAGAGCTGAAGGGCCAGAGGAAGGATGTAGACGACAGGGGAGTGAAGGGGAGGGCGTGGAGACACAAGGGAATGGACGGAGCCGGAAGGAAGGGGTAGGACTTGGAGGTAAGGACCCCTGTACGCTCTCCACCCCCGCTAAACTGCTGGGTGAGCCGTCCAAGTGCAGAGGGTGGGGTCAGCAGCCGGTGGCGGGAAAGGCCACAGTCCCAGGTCCGCAGGAGCATCTCTGCTGACCCGGAACGGCTGGCGAAAGTTAAGAATGTGTTTACAGGGTGCAGAGAGGAGGCCTCCGCACAGCAGGTGCAAGGCAAAGAACGTAGGCAAGCAGGGTCGTGCAGAGCAACTAGAACTGATTCCCGCCCCCGGGGGAGATGGGTCCCCAAGTCGGCGTCTTTGTCTCTGAGCCTCTGTACCCTCTATGTAAAATGAGGATAAAAAGCCAGACATGGTGGCTCACGTCTGTAATCCCAGCTACTGGAGAGGTAGAGGTTCGGGAGACCCCATCTCAACCAGTAAAAGCTGGGCATGGTGGAACACATCTGTCATCCCAGTAAGACAGGAAGCCTAAATAGGAGGATAGAACTCTAGGCGGGCCTGGGCATAAACTGTGAGACCCTATGCAAAAAATATTTAAAGCAAAAAGGGTTGGGATCGCGGTCAAGTAGTAAGAGTGCTTGCCTAGCAAGCACAAGGCCCTGAGTTCAAGCCCCGTAACTGCAAACAAAGAGAAAAGGTTCAGATCGTATTGGTACCAGAGTCATGAGCTGTCTAGAGATTAAACAAATGCCATCTGCATGTCAACAGCACTGACAAGGTGCCAGGTCACACAGTGACCACTCCATTAATACTGATCTCATTCATTTGAAAATCCAGCAGGTTTAGTCCCTGGACCCCTAGAATGACTCAGTCATCCGTGCTTCTCCCTGCAGTGAGGAGCCTGCATGGCAAAGAGATTAGGCCCACATTCTGGAGCACACATTTGACTGGAGTCCCATCTGAGGCCAGGCTCTGCCACATGCTCACAGTATGATCCCAGACAGTTACTGCTGAGAGCCTCAGTTTTCCCATCTCTAAAATGGGAATGATAGTACCTATCACAGAAGGTTATTGTAAGGATCATCTCTCACTCTAGAGATGACCCACTTTCAGTCTATTGAAAGTGTACTCTTTTCCTAATAAACTTCACTATCATTTTCACTAAATAAATAAATAATAAAATGAGTTGAAAGGCAAGGGGTTGGGAACCACATGTGGCAACTGGTGAGCAGCTAGCTTACAGGAGCTGCTGTTCCTAGCTTCATTAGCATCACCTGTCTGGGCTCCTGCTATCTCTGTGCCCTCTGGGTGCCCTCTGCTCTAGGGGGTATATGCACACGATCTCATTAAATCTTTAACCTGACCCATTTCCAGATGAGCAAACTGAGTTTCGGGAAGGTTGGAGCTCTCAACTATTGAAGGTAGGGAAGAGGTAAGCTTACTCCCAGTGAGAGCCTGAAAGGCAAGGCCAGGCCACTTGCACTTCAAGGCTCTATCACTCTATCTAGGTCAGACCCTCCTGGGTACTCATAAATGCACATTGGTCCAGTCTGCACCCCTCATGCCCAACTAAGGAATCTGTCTTGCAAGGGGAAAGCCAGGAAATAGAGCATACTAACCCAAGAAGATGAGTGCCACCGAAATGTAAGCCAGATTTAGGCCAAACTAAGCCACGCAGGCAGAGAACTTCCACTACAAAACAGGGAATCAGATATGGGGGCACACATACTATAATCCTCCTGAGGAGACTGAGGCAGAAGGATAAAAAGTTCAAGGCCATCCTGGGCTATGTACCAAGACAAAAAAAAAAAAAAAAACCTCAAAGACCATCCACCTCCAGGTTGCAGTACCCATAACCAGGCAAGAGGGGAGCCACCGACACCCCGAGCCAAGATATGCAACCCCTGCATGCAGAGCTCAGCAGAGGAGACCCCACATAGGCTTGGTGAATGGAACTGAATTATTCTGTGCCATCCCCAAACCAGTGCTCTAAGGGATGGGGGAAGGGAGCAGGATGCGAGATCCTGGGTACTATGGGCTCTACCCCAAACCTCCTCCCCCAAGAGTCCTGCTGGGTTCTATTGCTCCCGAGAAATCCTAGCTACACCCTGTGTGGATGTGCACAGCATCCTATTCTAAAACACAAAAGCCCTGAATTCCTCATAGGAATCTGAATGCCACAGCTTCAGCAGCTGCTATCGTCCAAATGTGGTTTGTCCTTTCCAAAACTCATGGTGAAATTTGGTCCCGAATGTAAGAGTTGAGAGGTGGTGGGATATTTAAGAGGAGAATTGGCTGAGGTAGCTCAGTGGTAGAGCCCTTGAACTGCAAAAAACAAAGGGGGAGGATTAAGTCAAAAAGGATTGATGTCTTTCTCAAGTAGTAGGTTAGTTATCGCACAAGTAAGTTGTTTAGAGCACAGCCCCCTTTTTTTTTCTTTCTTTTTTTGGCAGTACTGGGGTTTAAACCCAGGGCTTCACATTCTAGGCAGGTGCTCTACCACTTAAGCCACTCTACCAGCCCTGGCCTGGCCCTTCTTACTCTCTCCTCTGTGTGTGCCTGCTTGCCTGCTGCCTTTCTTTCTTTTTTTTTTTGCTGTTTTTTTTTGTTGGGGGTTTTTTGGGTGGTACTGGGATATGAACTCAGGCCGCATGCTTGATAGGCAGGCGCTCTACCACTTGAGCCACTGCCTTTCTGCCATGTCACAATGCACACAAAGTCCTTGCTAGATGTGACCTCCCAATGTTGGACTTCCAGAAAGTGAGCTAAACAAACATCTTTCCTCTGTAAATTTCCCAATCTCCAAGACAGCATCTGCCTACCTGGACAACAATGTTGGCAATACCTCCTCACCTGCCATATGACCCTGCACAATGACGTCACAACTCTGAGTCTCCATTTTCTCATCTGTAAAATGGGATAATTGGAGCCTGATAAAAACATCATGAGAATTAAATAAGATGCTCTGTGCTTAGTTGTGTGGCTGAATATGGTACTGCAGAAACTGCTGTGGGCTCACAAAAAGTATTTCCAATTCCTTTTGGGAATATGGGGCTGGATGCAGGGCTCAAATGGTAGAGCACCTGCCCAGCAAGCACAAAGCCCTGAGTTCAAACCCTAATGCTGCCCTCCCCGTGTCTCCTCCAAAGAAGTTCCTGCCTTTTAGAAATACACCTAGAAACTGTTTCCCAGACTTGGCTATGTGATCAAGTTCTGGCCAAGAGAATTAACACAGAAAGAGAGTGTGCTACTTGAGACTAGCCCAAAAAACCTCCTGAGGGATCGCTAACCACGAGGTCCTAGGGGATGCCAGAACCAAAAGACGGAAGGGGTCTAGGTCCCTCCCTGGTCACTCCATGGAAAGCAACATGATAAACAACCAACAGGACTTCATGAACAAGAAGTGAACTTCTACCGTGATGAGCTCTGAGGTTTCCAGGTTACCCTATCATTTCAGCCATGGCCCCTTGATTATTCCAGGCAGATCCACAGTGCTGGCAGCATTACTATACTGGCTCATATAGTAATCTAGAGCCTTGTGCCTGCTCCTAGCACGTCAGCCATGTTTTGGTAAAGAAATAGAGAAGAATAAATAAATCCTTTGTGCTCACTCCCTTTCTTGGCCCTACTATTTGCCAGGAACCTGCCCTTTGCCAAGCCTTGCAGCAGGCCAAAGATCCCCCTGACGATTATTCACGTGTGGCAAACATATCAGCTTTTCTTACCACTTACCCCATTATTTTCTGGTTGCTAACTAGAAATTATTACAAAAATCTTGAACCAACCATGAGCCAGGCCGTGTGCCCAAAATGTTACATCTGTACCATATGTGTGTTTCAGCCTTCTTGACAGCCCTAGGACACCAGTGCTGCTCCATCCACTTTACAGATGGCAACACCAAGGCTCAGTGAAGTGAAATAATTTCTCAAACTCATCAGCCAGAAGCAGTTAAGCCACAGCTGAGACCTAGGTCTGACTGGTTCTTAAGTTTTATACAGTACAGCAAGGACCACCATTAAGTAGCCCTTACTTTGACCAGGCACACCCAAGGGTCTCTGATGTGTATCATAGGCCACCATTTGCCTGGACTGCTGAGATGGCTCCCCAGGGGTCTCCTGCTCTGTCCCCAACTCTATCTTCATACAGTAGAGATCATGGCCCTTGTCTGCTTACACCTAAAATAACGTTCAAAGGCCTGCCGAGCCTGGCCTTGGCCTTATCGCCTCTCTCCACCATTCATTCCAATCTAGTCATTGTGGCCGTTTTGTTTGGTTGGTTTTAGGAGTTTGAGGGGTTTTTTGTTTTTTGCTTTTTTTTCTTTCTTTCTTTCTTTTTTTTTTTAATGGTACTGGGGCTTAAACTCAGGGCCACTCCACCAACTACAGTCCCGCAAACTGTTTGCCTGGGCTGGCTTCAAACCTCAATCCTCCTGATTTCTGTCTCCTGAGTAGCTTGGATTACAGGCATAGCCACTGGCACCCAGCTTTCTTTTGTTTTTGGGGGGTGGGTTTTGGACTAATTTGGTTTGGTTTAACTTTGGTGTTTTGGAGTCAGGATCTCACTGTGTAGCCCAGGCTGACCTTGAGCTTGAGATCCTCCAAACACATGCTCCCACCTCAGGGTGCAACCGCCATTTTCTCTGCCTGGGATGCTCTTCCTCCTTCCTTTGTTTGTTGGACTGCAACTTGCCAACCGTATCTTGGTTCAAAAGTGTCACCTTCTGAGAGCTAACCCTGACCTCCCAACCTAAAGTGATCTCTGCTGGTAGTCAGTCATTCACTGCACACATTGTCTCTTCCAAGGGCAGGGACCAAGTATGCATTGTTCATTGCTATCTGC